CTTGAGCTCGGAGGAAAGGGAGAAGAACACGTTCGAAGGGAATAGGGACATATTCTTGGGGGATCTCTCGAGGATGACGCTTGGCAGGAGTTCCTGGAGGAATTCAATCGAGAAGTGGGCAGCGAGACGACGCTGGACAAGTTCAAGAAGGAACTGTGGGACGCAGTAGTGAGATTCGGGGAACCGCTCCTGATAGGAACGGGCCTGGATGAGAAAGCAAGAAAAGAGCTGCTGAACAAGCTAGTGGAGCTGAGGAACGCACGATCGAAGACTAGAAAAGAGAAATGTGAGGACAGCTCTACTCTGAAACAAAAAACTGTGGATAAAATGGTTGATGATATAAAAAGGGATAAGGTTGGGACTAGTAATATGATTAAAAGTACTAATATCCTTAAGGCTCGAGCAGGGGGGAGGCAAGAGTTGGAAGGAGTGGATGGAGAGGTAGAATCAATGATGATAGCCACAACACCCTCGAGCAGAGATGTGAAGACTCGCAAGAGGAAGAGAGAAGTGGAAGGATGGGGTAGTCCTTCAGTGGATGCTGTTTCGGAAGGAAACTTGAGAGAGACGGCGCCCATCGTTATGGCCCGATGCAAGACGGCGGCATACAAGAACAGCTCGGAGCTCAGGAAACCACTTGAAGTAGAAAAGGAAATAGAGGTTTCCACCAGTTCTACGTCAGAAGAAGACTTCAAGCCTCAGAAGGTAAACGTGAAGAGAGGTTCAACGAACGGACAGGGAGGGGAAGTGGAGATCGGCAAAGAATGGATCTCGAAGGCACATCAGGACATGGGCAAACAAGTGACGAGTGATCCATTGGAGAGGAGCAAGACGAGGAACACTTCCCGGACGTGGTGGGTGGCCCTCGAAACATTGAAGGAAATGGAGGACTGCTTGAAGAAGTTGGATAGTGGAATAGCTCGCAGGCGACGCAATTGGGCCACCCAGCAGAAAGCCGAGGTTAATAAGATAGAGATGGTAAGTCATCTGAAGAGGTCCTGGCAGAGTTTGTTGAAGGATCATTTTGAAGAGGCGATGAGAACATCCTCATCAGCACCGCCACTAATGGCGAATCCCTTCGTTAGAACGGCGGGACAATTAATGTTCACCTGGAGTCTGGTGGGAATAGAGTTGGAGACATTGACCTCGTATGACAGGCTGAAGTTGGGAAGCAAGAAGCTAGAGGTGTATCAGGCACTGATGCAACACGTGGCCAGGGACAATTCAGGCTTGAGCCTGGCTAGGAGAAAAGATGCCACATGCTTCTTGAGATGGACAATGTCAATGATGTCTGATAGCACCATCCTGGCATGCCACCAGAGAGCAAGTGGAAGTAAAACCATGGAGAGAAGGGTCTCAACGATCATCTTGAACGTATATCAAAGTACAGGAATAGAGAAAGAAGATGGTTCCAGACTATCCTTAGAGAGCCATCGAAAGCTGGACGAGGTACGGAGGTTCTCTAATAAGAAGTTCGAGGAAGAACATGATGTTCACCGTAACCTGGCCTCGTCAGAACAGTACTCGAGACTCAGTGAGAAGGGGGAATACCAATACGTGTCTGGAGTGCTGGGAATAGCCTACAATCCCTTCTTAGACTCGGAAGCTGGAGGAGCCCACAGAAACCATGAGGTAGCGGAGCTGCTGAAGTTTTGGACAGAAAGAATAATGGAGATAGACGCGGTGGAGAAAGAGGGGCCGAGCCTGGGCCTGATTCTTGAGAAAACACCAGAGGTGATAAGCATGCCGCGCTCAAACAAGAGAGTTGAAGTAAACATGGGCGGTGGAAATGGCTTGTTAACCACGAACTTGGGAGTGATATGGAAGCTACTAAGACCCTCCTGGTGTCCACATCCCCATGCGAGTCTAATCGAGGAAACCACCGAGCGAGTGAGGTTAGCACCAACGGAAGATGAAGATCTGGCGAAGTTGAGTGTGCTGCATAAGCTAATCACGCCCCAGATGCAAGAGCCAAGCGAAAGGACGAGCGACCCCGGGTCAACAAAGAAATTGGAGCCGGGTAGCTGTCTGGATTCGACGTGTGGGAACGGAGAGCACATCTGCGATGGACGGTCATGCGTCAGAATACTGTCGTTTCAAAAAGAAGATCTGGTCACTTGGTTCGAAGACATCACAGAAAGGGAGAAAAGTGAAGTGCAAATAATAGCGGAATGTTACGCGAGAACCACGGTGAATATAGCGACAGCTCTCGGATTCTTCTCGAGAATGTGTGGTCTGCAGGCACTGGAGAGACTGGAGTCTGAACATCATTTAGTGACGGCGTTGAGCGTAGAATCATGGCCCGGGGTGTTGCAGGTGACTCAAAAACACATCCGGAGCTGGAAAGTTGGTCTTGAGGCGGAAATGGGATTTCCCCTGAGCGAAGCTTATGGCTTGCCATTGAACGCGAAATCACTGATAGGGTCAATGATGGCCAACTTGTGCGGAAGTCACTACCCGCTACACATGGCGATGGTGGAAGTGTCCAGCCAGAGAATACTGGTGGATAAGGCCTTCTCAGTGCCCAAGTGCGTGAGGTTGGCTCGGATGTCGCATCACTCGCACAAGTTGTTGAGAAAAATCAAAGGGACAGTACCAAAAGAATTGAGAGATGACTTAAGCGAAATCTGGGGAGAAGATCTTCTGAAGTTGGAAAGAGAAAACACAAGCGATCACGAGAGACAAAACGTGATCGGGAAACCTGTGGGAAGTACTCCGAACCTGGAAGACAACGACACGATGCACGAGAAAATGATGGAGCTTGAGCCTCTCTTGGAAGCCTCAGGGGAGCGTAATCTCAGGAGCATTGAGATCTCTCATGGGGAATGCCCATGCCACTGTTTGGCACAAACGGTGTGGTATCCAGATCACAAGAACCTTTGCCTGGTGTGGGATGTGGAAGAGATTCGGTCGATCGGACTACCGGATCACCGGCAGAAGGTGACGCTCTTAGTAGTGAGTACGATGTTAGCTCTGAGATGGATAGAAGAGAATATAACGAAGTATCGGGAGGCGACGACGCCAACGGCTGAGTCAATATACGCGATAGACTACAGCAGGAGACTTGAGTTGTTTGAGACTGCGTGCAAAGTATTCGCCATACCAACGGAAGTCAGGCACGTATGGAGTCGCTTGAGGTACTTTCCATGGTTTCGGGCGACACTGACGTCTTGGTTGTACAGGGCAACGAAAGATCACATGAGAAAACATCAAAAGGAGTATCGACAGTTCCAGGCCGAGATTGGGCCGGAAGCTTTCAAGAGACCCCTGCTAACCCATCGTAATGCGATCACGACGGGATGGAAGAGAGTGGGTAAGATGTCTAGAGACAACACCAAAGCGTGGGAGTCGATACTAGAGGAAGACCTGGCGAAGAACGTGAGCTTGAGCCTGCACAACTCCTTTTGCTTGAACCGAGAAGCTAGGGTGAAGGCACTACCCAACCAAGCAAAGAGATTGCAGGAGCAGAGAGAATGGATGCGATCCTATGAACAGCTGAAGGCTTGGGAGGAGATTGTGATTAGTTCCGATGATGAAGAGGAACTGTTGAGACAGTTTGCCGCATCTAGCACTTCAGGATGCAGTACCTCCAAGGCGAAGAGCACGAGATGAATGGGCAAATCGGATGGATCTTGAGTCTTGAGAGGGAAGGGGGGCTTGAGTGTGAATCCGAGTGAAACTTGGATTCACGAAAAAGAAATTTTAACAAAGTAAATATTGTTACTAATATACTATATCTATTATATAAATCAAAATGCTGCATGACAATTTCCTGATTGAATAGGACAAAAGAGATTTTTAAATGATTGGCTTGAAAAGCGAAAATTCAAAGGTGCAGGTAAATGCAGATTTTGATTGCTGTCTAGCAATAGTGTGAAAATTTTAAATGGTCGTGAATTTTGGGGTGTAGATAATCTTAAATCTGCTGCAAACTTCTGTAAATGACCACTGGCACTGTATCTTGAGCAACACTCGGTTTTTCTGGGACTCACTGGCAGAAGACAGCGCGCGATGAGGACATCGATCTCGAGTCCGGGGAGTATGTGCCAGTCGGTCATATTTGGAAGTTTGACCTTGAGAAGAGCAGAAAATACTTGATTTTGAAGTGAAATTTAATTTTTCAAAATTTCGAATGGAACATGTCATGCACGATTTTCTCGCGATAACTGAAAATCAGAAAAAGAAATCAGAACAATTTTAGAACAATTGCGGGAAAGTTGTCAGATAAAAAACGAGTGGGAAATTGCTATTCGCAATTTCCATCATAGTGAACAAGAGTAGAGCTGTCCTATCTGAAATAGAAGACAGAGTATTCCCGAGAGAGCAATTATTCGAACTGGACCAGAGTGAACCTTCGACGGAAAGGTGGACAGCTTGAGTGTCCCAATGGTCCACATAAAACTTCGTTCTTGAGTTCAAACTTACCCTTACCATTCAAACTGATAAACATTGAACTTATCTAGTTACTTTAGTTAATTCTAGAGTTGCTCACCCATTTAATTACTTCCTGTGCTTGAGCGCATCAACATGTGAGTCCTTAATTTAAATTTCTAGAGTGTGTTTTGTGATTGTTATGTTGAGGTAAGGCGAGTTTTAGGTTGATCCATCTGAAATGGATCAAAGTCACACTGTCTAATAAAAAGTAACCTAACGGATTGTTCCAACCCGGTTTTTAACGGCGTTCATGTATTTTGGGTATCTAGAGACCTAAGTATGGGGACGTTCTTAATTCTAGAGTGGGGGGATATTTTAGTAGTAGCCTTTAAGCTGTAACGGGTCGTAGTCTCATGTCACAAGCGAACCGAACTGGCTCCGACCGTTCTTGAGGTGGGAAAACACAAGAGATAGTGTCCCTGACCCTTGAGCCAGTGGTTATAGGGCCTATTTTTCTTAAGCCTCATGTGTGACTGCAGTAGACGAATGTTACAGTTGTCCTTCACTGGTTTGTTGCATGGTCCACATCTAGTAGCTTTTGCTTGAGACATATCAAACCGGAAACTATTTAATAAGTTTATCACAACAATTAGGCTAATAGGCAACACAGATAATTTAGTTAAAGTAACTTTTACAGTGATGATTATATTTGATAACAAAAAAGCATTGTAGCATCATGTAAAGACAGGTTTTGAATACTGAAGGTTTCAGAAAAAGCGTTAGGTCAGTGTTCCGGTGTAGCAAGTCACTTTTTTTTACAATTTTCAGAAAGTAACAGCAATTTTACAAAAATTCAGAAAAGTCTAGTACAAGAGGGCTGGTTAAACTTCCCAAAATTATAGATCCATTTATTCACCTTAACTGTCTATCAACGTCATATTGCCGTATATTGCTATGTATATGCAAGATATAAGTTTGTCGAAGACGCGTTGCTGCGTTGTTTACGCTAGGTTACGTTCATTTGACTTTTGTAATTGCTTACATATTTGTATACTGCGTTTTCTTTTTATAAATTAGCTCATTTTCAACGAATCAAAGTCTCTTTTCAGATATCATTGACTGGCCTTTTAACGGTATTGGAATCCGGCAATAATATCTGATTTTTCATAATAGAAATGAAGCTCAGTGACCAGGTTCTGAAGAAATTCCGGGTTGCAAAAATTTTCAAGGAAAATACCGATAAAATCAATTCAATCGACTTCTCGGAAGATGGAACAACTCTGATTTCGAGCAGTGACGACGATTCAATACAAATTTACGACGTGGTCAAAGGAGTTCCTGGAAAAACGCTTTTTAGTAAGAAATATGGAGTGGATATAATTCGGTATACCCATCAAGCAAACTGTGTCATTTACAGCTCCAATAAAATCGATGACACTCTGCGATACCTTTCTGTTCACGACAACAAATACATACGATACTTTGCGGGACATTCCAAAAAAGTTGTCACTTTATGCATGTCACCAGTTGATGATACTTTCCTTTCTGGGTCTCTTGACAAAACTATTCGTCTTTGGGACTTGCGATCCACAAACTGCCAGGGGTTGATGAATCTGCCCGGTAGACCAGTCGCTGCCTTTGACCCCGAAGGATTGATCTTTGCAGCTGGAATAAACTCTGAAATGATCAAATTATATGATCTGAGATCATTCGACAAAGGGCCTTTCTCAACATTCCGACTTCAACAGGACAAGGCTTGCGACTGGACTGGTATGAAGTTTAGCAATGACGGTAAAATGATACTGATTTCTACTAGTGGGTCTATAATTCGATTAGTCGATGCGTTCCAAGGAAACTTGCTGCAAACCTTCACTGGTTTCAACAATACCAGAAACGCTCCTTTGGAGGCGAGTTTCACTCCAGACGCTCAGTTTGTGTTGTCTGGATCAAGCGATGGTAAGCTCCACGCATGGTCTTGTGAAACAGGGGCTAAAATAAGCACAATGGAGGGCAAGCAATCTTCAACAATTTACAACGTTCAGTTCAACCCCAAATATATGATGCTAGCGAGCACCTGCAATCAAATGAGTTTTTGGATTCCGGACATCGAAGAAGACGCTATGAATGCAGAGCTTGGGGCATTCAAAAAATGAGATAGCTCTGATATAATTAGCGATAAATAATTTCTTCAAGAATAGGCGATACATTTTGTGCATGTTGTTGATATCAATTTTTATCGAGTTTCGAGTGTAATATCCATGCTTCTCTTTCAATAATTTCTTTCTAGATGTTTTTCCTTTGTTTCAATTTAACTATCTTCTGTTTTGTTTTGATTTTTCTCCAATTTATTTTTCATTTTGGTGACTTCAAAAAAATATTAATCCATCTCCATCTCAACAATTAGCTTCAAATATTCTTTGGGTTTTCAGAGGATAATGCTAGCAGAATGTGGCTAAAGCATGTTTGTTTTCGTATTACACATGCGGTCAATCCAAATTCATGCACCAGGTTTTATCAGCTGAGATCAGTGTACAGACAAACTAATTATTGGCCTCCTGATAGGGAAAATGATGGTTATACGGATGAGACTCGAAATGAAGTAGAGAAATATTGGAGCGAGGAGCTGCAAAAATACATGAGGAGATATCATGATAAAGTTAAAAACAAAGACAAAACGCTGCCTAAATGTTACTGCTTGTCTATGTTTCCGTACCCATCCGGTAAGTGAGCGTTAATTGTACTTCAGCCATCTCTTTAGATTAATTATGTTTAGTGACATTTAGTTTCGGTGATTTTTTCATATGATACAATTATTGATTAAAAATACTCAAGAAAAGGGTGGCCTTAGAATTCTAATTTTACGGAATACTGGATTAAATTAGGTTTTCTGAAGCATTCTTTAACGAAGAGGTCAATGGTGGTATTTAGCGAAAAGGCGGACTGTTGTGATGATGACCCTTAGTATGCTAGACACAATCCTCTTGAGGTAATTAAAGAGCATCTTTGCCGACTCCGATTCAGAAAACAAAATTGTAAACCTTATGACTCTGAATCATTGGCTCATCTGCACTCTTTTTTACCAGGTAATTTACACATGGGTCACGTGAGAGTGTACACGTTGAGTAATCTGTTCGCCCAGCTCTACCGCATGAAGGGCTATGACGTCATCCACCCCATAGGATGGGATGCATTTGGACTGCCTGCAGAGAATGCTGCCATTGAAAGAGGTGAGTAATTGGCTGTGGAAGCATAAAAGTTTTATGAACTTAACTCATTGCGATTGTTAGAAAAATTACACATTGCTGATGTTCCGTCATTTAGCACACGATCCTAAGTTTTATCGATGATTCTTTTTGGATTTAGTTTTCTTTCTCATTTTATATGTATAAGAGTTCACTTAAGAGGAAATATATAGGTCTTGGTGTTTTGCTCCGACCATTGAAAAGGGGAGGAACTTTGTATTCGGGTGTGGTTTAGTTTTCTCCACGCAAAATCAGGTACCATAAATTGGACTGGTTCGAGTGATATATAATTTTAAAGTGCTTTCAGTCGCAATTTGAGGGACATTAAAAACTTTCAAAAAAATGTGTGTCGAGAAAAACTGTTGAAAATAGTTGGAAGTTGTTTTCTGTGCTCTTAGTCAGTGTTGGTCCTCTAATAACAAAGTACGTTTTAAACACTGTTTAAAACGTCTGTCAGAAATAGCGTGTTATTTTCTCGTGTCATAAACGACGTCATAACAAGCCAGCCTCCGATATGTACTTGAGATTACTTGCATTTGTTCCCACCTCGGCCGGCTTCGAAAGAGTTTTCTCGACGATGGGAATGGTTGAAGACGGAAAAAGAAACAACTTGGACAGTGCAAAAACAGCAAAACTTTTATTTGTACGCGTGCTCTTAATTCAAAAATATCTGCGTAACGTTCGGCGTTCTACTACTGTGCCTAGTGAAATGTATCTTGATGGTGAAAAAGCTCGCTCCGACCAAGATAAAGCTGAACTTTTCAACCGGTATTTCCATTCCGTCTACAGCAACATTCCATATGATTCAAACCTAGACAGTGATAATGCGACCCTCCTAAATCATTTTCATTTTAATATCATCGAAATAGAAGACATTTTAAAAAATCTTAACATAAACAAGTCAAAAGGACCTGATAGAATGGGAAACCTGCTCTTTAAACAGCTCTGGAGCTCCATCTCAAAATCATTAATGTTACTTTTCAATACGATTGGGAACAAGCAGCAATTCCCATCTACTTGGAAAGTAAGTGAAATAGTGCCTATCCACAAGTAAAATAACAAACAGGTAGTCTCCAATTACAGGCCAATCAGTCTTCTGAATGCTACATCGAAGGTATTAGAAAAACTGATGTGTGATAAAATGTACTCGAAGGTGCAAAAACTGCTGCATAACTCACAACATGGTTTCAGAACTAAACGCTCAACCATTACTAACATCATACTCTATCTCCACGAAATCTATCTAACGTACGACAAAAAGAATGTAAATAACCTTTCATCCCTGTATCTCGATTTTGAAAAGGCGTTTGATAAAGTCAACCACCTGAAACTAATTGAAAAGCTTTCTCATACCGGCTTCAGTGGCGCGTGCCTTGGTCTGCTGAAAAATTATCTCAGTGATAGATACCAGCAGGTGCGAATCGGGCATTGCATCTCAAAATTACTGCCAATAACACTTGGGGTTCCGCAGGGATCAATACTTGGCCCACTAATGTTTATTTTGTACATAAATGACCTGCCAACGGTGGCCATGTCCAACTGCTTCGGCTATGCTGACGACTATAAAATTGTCTCAGATAACGCAATAACCCTGAATATCGACTCGAATAAAATTTGGAACTGGTGCTCCAAGAATTTTATGTGTTTGAACCTAAGTAAATGCAAAACCCTTCAGTTTAAAGGCAGTATGTCTGTTTGCATGAAAAAACAGAATATACCAGGAACGGATCTTATGAAAGATCTTGGACTTATAGTCACAAACAACCTGTCTTGGACGGAACACGCTAAAACTAGATCCGCTAAATCGCTAAAAGTTTTCTTCTCTTTAAAAAGAAACCTAGCCAATAGCTCGACCATAAGCACTAAAAAGAATGCATACAGAGGATATGTAGTGCCAACAATCAGCTATGCATCGTCTCTTTGGAAACCATCTAAGTCTGAACTGGCACTCACTGAGAAGGTTCAACATCGAGCAAGTATCTGGATATTAGGCACAAACAAGCTTTCATATAAATCGCGTCTTCAAAGACTTCACTTACTACCACTGTCCTTATATCATGAAATGCATGAAGTTTTACTTTTTGCTAGGATTATCAACTCGAAAACTGACCTTGATTGGGAGAAGTATGTACAGATTATTGATACAGGCATAACAAGATCTCACGCAATACCCTTTTATACCAGCAAATGCTTCCGACTGAAAAAATGCGAATCTGATTTTTGGCAACGAGCATGTTCACTTTCAATTATATTTAATAGGCATCTCAACCAAGATGTCATCAAATCAACGCAATGCAAAGAAGAACTGACAACTATCTACTGGCGCTACTTCACTGCGAAATTCAACGAAAACCTCCCCTGCACCTGGAAATTATGCTGCGACTGCACAAACTGCATCAATACTGCAAAACTGAATTTCTATGAGACTCAATAAACTGAAAGTGACAGGGAAGCAATTCCCCTGGAACTTATCCTAAATCCTTCATTATTATTATTATTGTTATTATATTGAATTTCATTAATAAACGTTTTTGCTCAGTTTTTATTTTTGACATTTTAAACATTAATGACGTTATAAACGTTTAAAACGTTATAAACGTCCTTTTTCCAAAAATGACAAATTGACCAACACTGCTCTTAGTGCATTTGACGACAAATCCCAGAAGTTCATTTTTAGTCGGGACTTCTATTTTAGACTTTCGTGTCTGCTAATTTTTATCGGCTTAGATCCCGCAGAAAGATTCGGATATCTTTTTAGCAGTTTGAAAGCATTTTTGTTTCAGGCATTTTGTCCTTTTTAGCAATTTTTATCTTTTACTAAGACAATATGATTAAGGTCGGTGCTGGTAATCATATTCGTACATTTTTGTATCGCAAGTGATGGGAAGCTCTGCTTCGCCTCTGTGTTTTAAGTCCTTTGTTGAAAGGAAGGCAAACTTCACTATCCAACAGGAAGGCAAACTTCACAATTAGTTTTCAGATTTCCCAGCGGAATTAAAATTTACAAATTATCCACAATTGATTTACGAAGGAATTTAAATATTGATCCAAGTTTTTCAAATTGGGTTAATAACTTGCTTTTGAATTACAATGAGCTTTAAGGCCATACTTTTTTGTCTTGCGTCCATTGACTGAATTTCGAAAATTGCGTCCATTGACTCCTATCTTACTGTCTGTTGGCTCGGTTTTTTTTTAGAAAAACGACATGTGGTTTCGAATTTTTTATCGCTACCGAAACGACCAGAAAGTTCTGTTAAACATGTTAACTTAAAAATTATAATTTGACAGGTATCGACACAGCCACCTGGACTAGAACCAACATTGACTCCATGCACTCTCAGCTGGACAGGCTGGACCTTCTCTTGGATTGGGACAGTGAGGTTGTTACTAGTGATCCCAAGTACTATAAGTGGACTCAGTGGCTGTTTCTCCAGCTGTACCAATATGGCCTGGCTTATCAGGCCAATGCCACTGTCAACTGGGATCCAGTTGACAAGACAGTTCTAGCCAATGAACAGGTAGAGTGATTGTCGTTAACTGGGATGATAACAAGGGATAGTCAGCTGTTTTTAAATATCTCAAAAAATTCCATCAACTTTAAGTTAGATTATCTTTTTACGTTAGAACTTGACTTGATTCAAGTTTATGAAGTAGATTTGGTCAGAATTTTAGAATTTTTCTATTATGTTAATGACTGTCATTACCTGTGGCGAATAGCTAAGGTTGTTTAATGGAAGGGGAGAAATATATGAATAAAAACTTAAGGTCGAAGCAATTAATTATTTTTTTCCAATTTAGGTCGACGAACAAGGCAAGTCCTGGAGATCGGGAGCAACAGTTGAGAAACGTCGTCTCAAGCAGTGGTTCCTCGGAGTATCACGTTTCTCTAAATCTCTCCTTGAAGGCTTGAGTAATCTAAAGTTGTGGCCGAAACACGTTAAGGAACTACAGCGACAGTGGATTGGGAAAGAGTTGGGTGTTACATTTGTATGCGATGTAGTTAACTCGTCCAATGAGTTGGTTGATACCCTCTCAGTTTTCTCTTTAGACCCAGAAAAGGTCAAACACTCCACTTGTGTGTTTGCGCACATTGATAGCTTTTTACATGGAGAAGAGGCGCTCTATGTTAAGAATCCAATGTCTGGAAAAACAATGAGTGTACGTGTTTTCGATACGAAAAATTTTGCAGATAGCGGTAAAGTTTTTTTCGAAACGGATCAGACAAAAAAAGTTTCACATGAAAACCAATACAATGTTAATTCGAATAAATTGCAAGAGTTTGTTGACTCAAATATCAGTAAAAGTTGTTTTGTATCTACGAGTCGAGTGCACGATTGGCTGATTTCGAGGCAGCGATTTTGGGGTGCACCGATACCTGTTGTACATTGCGATGATTGTGGGACAATTCCAGTGGCTGAAAAAGATCTCCCAGTTTCACTGCCAGACAGACAGCCAGACAAAAGCGCTTTGAGTGATTATCAAGATTGGCTGGAAACGGAGTGTCCAAAGTGTGGTAAATTAGCCAAGCGTGAATGCGACACGATGGATACTTTTGTAGATTCATCATGGTACTTTTTACGCTACTTGGATTCAAATAACGAAAAGATGATTTATAATCCGATCAAAGAGAGCAAGTTCATGCCTGTTGATTTATACGTTGGAGGCATAGAACATGCAAGAATGCATCTACTGTACGCCAGATTCATAATGCATGTGTTTTACGATTCGAAGCTAGTGTCGAGCAAAGAACCGTTTTCTAATTTACTGTGCCAGGGACTAATGTTAAGCCAGTCATTTAAACTAGAAGGATCAGGGCAGTACGTTGTACCAGAATCAGTTACCGCAAAAGATACTTCGAAAGATTTGATACATACAAAAACTGGACAAAAAGTTGTGACGCAGTACGAAAAAATGAGTAAGTCAAAGTACAATGGTATAAACCCTGACGATTTGGTGAGACAATACGGGTCGGATACTGTAAAGTGCTACGTTCTTGACAATATAAACCCGACGAAAGAAATTTTCTACAATCCCAGAAATCTGATGGGCGTGATTCGATGGAGAAATAGGCTGTGGATTTTGGTTACAAATTTCATAAATCACCATTCATCGGAGGAAAATACTCGTTATGTGCAGTCAAAAAAAGAAACTTCAGTTGAGCATTTGTGGAAACAAAGAAATAAAGCGGTTTTGTCCTATGAAAATATGAATTGTTTTGAAGTTGCCGACTTGCGACCTGATAAGACTTTGAGGCAGACACAAGCTTTGACAAATATGTTGAAAACTTTTGACCCGTCTTATTACGGAAACTTGATATTTCAAAGAAGCTTACTTGATTTGGTTATCATGGTTGCTCCTTTTATGCCACTTGTTTGCTCAGAACTTTGGTCAGGATTGTCCGATCACGTGGGACTAGAAGTGAAAAGCATGAAATGCTATGATTTCAAGAAAAGTGTGCTAGAACAGAAATGGCCTGAAAAAGCAGACGGGTCTGAGTTAAACATAGAAATAAATAAAAATGTATAATTTGTAAAAATGAAGCCTTGTTTCTTGCAGAAATCTATCACTGAAAACTGAGTATTCGTTTTTTTTACTTCCTCGAAAACAGCAGTTTAAAATCAATATTAACGTCATTCATATTAAAATGTTCCCAAGTTTCATGGAAGTGGCATTATGCAATCATTTTTTTGCTGTTATTTTAAGGCTGATTCTTTCAGATTGTTGACTGAATTACATTGTGTTTGATAACGTCTCGATCCGTCATGCCTTCTGATGGGGGCGTGAAGGAGAAGAGAAATGCTTACTTGAACCGGGAGGCGTACTCTTTAAGAGGCCGAATAATTATCATAACAGGGGCCAGTGCAGGAGTGGGCAAGGAGGCAGCACGTGACTTGGCCTTGCGAGGAGCTACAATTGTGATGGGTAATAGAAACCTGGAAAAGAGCTACCGGGTCATCCAGGCACTTAGAGAAGAAGAAGGTAGAGAAATGTTACCCGATGATCGCTTCGTGGTTAAAAGACTTGATTTATCAGACTTGGATAGTGTTCGAGAGTTTGCCGAAGAGGTCAAAAAAGATTATCCTGTTATTGACGTTTTGATAAATAACGCGGGTAAAATGGCGGGAAAGAGAATGGTTACAAAAGATGGTTACGAGTCCCAGTTCCAAATTAACCATTTGGGTCATTTTTTATTGACTTTCCTGTTGATAGAAAATATTTTGGAGTCTGAAAATAAACCGAGAATTATAAACGTGTCTTCGAAAGCGCATAAACATGCAAGTGACAACTTCATTAATGACTTGCAAAGTGAGAAGAGGTATGGTTGGAAGGGAATCGTGACATACAGTAATACGAAACTGATGAATATTTGGTTCACAAAAGTTATGGCGCGTAAATATGAAGGTAGAATTACCTCATACGCCGTGCATCCGGGCTGTGTAAAAACAGATCTGAAACAAAATAGCCTAACGTGCAAACTTATATACTGCGGTACTTGGTGCTGCTCCAAGAGCGTGCGGAAGGGTGCATATACGACAATTTACTGCACTGTGAGTGCAAAAGCAGGTCAACAGACGGGGCTTTATTACTCGGGGTCAAAGGTCACAAAGCCAATGTTTATGGCAGAAGACGAAGAGTTGGCTCAAAGATTGTGGATTGAGAGCTGTAGAATGTTAAATATTAATTGGGATTTAACGAATCTTAAGGAGAATTTCATAAGAAATAGTGAAAATTCAAGTAAAAAATACGTATCGACTGCAAATGATTCAAAACAGGAACAAAGCTACGACTGAAGTGCAATGTTTTTCAATTAAGGTTTTAAGGATCCCTGTCTGTTGACTTTGAGATGACGTTAATATGAATTAGAATTATCGAGATAAGGTGGCGAGAAAATCATAATAAAAATGATCAGACGTTTAACGGCAACCGTGTTGTAAAAAGGTACGATGCAATATTGAGTTCGGGTGTCATGTGTTGTTTTGTGATTTTCGAGTATTTGTAGAAGAGAAAATGCATCGAAAATGGGAAACATCACGCTTCGTCATGAAACTGTTTAAGTCGATGCGTATTTACACTAAATAACTTGAAAAAAAATTTGAGCGCTTTCGTGGAAATACATAAAATGAAAAAGGGGAAAATGTATTCATCAAAAGATGCGTATGAGTTGTATGAAATGTGAGCCAGTTCAGCGGATGAAGCTAACAAGGCTAGTGGCTTCAATTAGCAGTTTTTGGTCAACTAGTTCTTTTTTTGTGACACTGTAGTCAGCGAACTTTCAAAAAGTCATCAAAAATGTCATTTAAACAAGAATTGTCTTTCGATGAGCAAGTAGCACAGGATAATCTAAATACGATCATTTATTCGGAAAAAACGCTTATGAAAACTAAACCAAAACTTGTTATTGAAATGAGTGAATTAACATTTCTTTAGATCGATATCTTGAAATCATATTAAAGTTGTTCACGGTCAATTTTTTGGCGTGGTAATGATCTGAAGCTTCGTTTTCAAGTTCAACTGGCGAGCGCTATTAAACCGTAATATAGACTACTTTTTTTCGGGTTAACTTTTTTAAAACAGAATCACTTGTATCTTGGTTCATATTAAACTCAAACCTCCGTGCTTAGTGTCCGGCACTTAGCATGGAGGTGAAGAATACCCCTGGGGCGGCAAATGTTGTGAGTTGGAATCTGACGAGGAACTCCTTTTTTTCAAACCTCAAATATTCCCTTCCAAAAAAATGTCGGCATATAGTTTGTCTGCTAGTTTTGTCGGCTTAGTTGCCATATTGTAGAATTGATTTTTTTGTACGCAATTTTCTATGTAGTTGGTGTCAGTATTTTAAGTTACGCCTGCGCTTTTTAATTTACCTGGCCTTGACTTCGATTTTTTTGCTAGTTTTTTTCTTCACTTAAAAACTATATTTGGCTTAACTGATTTCGGTTTGTTTTTTATCGGCTTAGTGACCTAATTTGTGTTCATTTCAAAGCTAATGAAAGCATCTGTTTTTTTGTTTCATTTAGGATCGTATAAAAAGCTATAGTTCTCAGAAAAAGTTTTATAGTTCCAAGTTTTTCGTGGCTTTAATTATGTTTTTGGTTCTACGGAAAATTTTTAAAATTTCGTCGGCTCTGTTGGCGCTTGTTAGTTTTTTCAAAGTTTTCATTAATTGCCTTCGATTGTGTTTCTGGACGTGTTTTTTTGATTTTTTGGGACCCAGTGGTTTTATTTTATGTCTTCTATCTTGCTTTGATTTTATGTTGCTTGCATGGCAAAAGGTGCGAAGCTCCACTTCGCCTCTGTGTGTCAATTATGTCAAATATTAATTCCGAAATTTTCATGAAATGGATATCTTAAAAATTTCACAATTACGCTTTTGATTAGCTTCAAACTTTATTACGGAATTTTGACTTTACAATTATTTTTCTGGACTTTTTTTTCTCGTGGAGCTTAAGTTTCAACTGAAAACTTGCTTGAACTCCCGATCGTTGGAAGTCTTACCGGAAAAATTAAATTACCTCTTAATGTCTCTCTTTTTTAATTACTGTGGTTAGGTTTTGGACATGCGAGCTTGCAGGCGTAATCTCGAACGGTTAGTCCACTTTTCCAATCAAATTTCAATATCATGCAATTTTTTTTGCAAAGTGCCTCCTAATTAAAAAGGCGAAAGAACGAAATTGGTTTATTGGAGTTTATTGTAAGGGCGAAATAAAATAAATGCGGCCAATTTAGATTTTTCTGTTGTTTGTAGCGCATTTCTGAGAAAAGTAAAGTAAGACAAGAATGAAATAATTGCGACAGAATTGTTTCTGAGAAACTATTGTTTTTGAAGTATGTAATTATCAGAATTTTCTTTTTGATGAACAAATAATTAAATTTGATTTAAAAATCTAATTTTGAGTGCGGCAGAGGGGCAAAATAAGTTGAAGGAGTGAAATCGGAAGGGCGTGATTGAAGCAATTCGGAGTTTGGTTGCCCTAGTTTCGATGGCGAGGGACTTATATTTTTACGTCCCCCTAGGTTTGGAGGTAATGAGATTTATTTTTCAACTTTTTTCGCTTTCTTTGTTTCGGTCTCATTTTTTATTCGCTAGCTTGCAATGCTACGCATGTGTTGTATCGCAAGTCATGCGAAGCTCCTGTTTCACCTCTTGATGATTAATTTTTTCAAATTAAATTTTCGGATAAACTGGAAGTTTTTTTCTGATTCGTGGTTTTCGTAGGTTGATTTTTTTTAAAATTTGCAAATGTCAGTTAGATTATCTGATACGGGTTTCTATCGGCTTACGTTCCAAAGCATTGTTGTTCGTTCTAGTTTAAAAATGTTTTAATCCTAATTAAAAGTTGTTCTGTAAGTTGTGGATTTACCAACTAGGTTCTGAATGTATATTTTTTTCGTACGGCTTGTTTTTTTTTAGATTTCAGCCTATGTTATTTCGGTTATTTTAATTTTTATTGCGCAGTGGAGGGAAAAATAGTTTGTTTAGCCTTGGGTGTTGCAGGAGTGATGTGTCGTAAAAAAAAGAACTTTTTTCAAAACTTTAAGCTTCAAAGTTTTAAAACTATTAAGCCCATTTTTTGTGATGGAATTTTTGTCGATTTAGTTACCGCTCGGTAAATGATTCTCCATGCTTTTTAGACATTCCGTCTCTTTACTTTTCATTATTTTTTAATGCAATGTTTTTGGATGTATCGCTGCGAAGCGAAGATCCTCTTAGCACAAATTTAAGCTCACATTTTTGCTCAATGCATTGGCGAGCGATATATTCTTGATTTTTTTTGATGTTTACTGTTGTATGAGGTCTTGAAGTCTCGAAACGTCAGCTTACACAAGTAGCTGAGTCAGAAAGAACAATGCTTCCTAGTTGGAAAATCCGAGGTTTCAATCCCGTATTGGTTCTTTTTGATTTTCAAAGCTTATTTACTTTTCAGATATTTATAGCTAAAATTGGGACTACCTCTTTATGGCTGGTGCAGAGACTGAAAAGAAAGATGCTTACTTGGACCGGGAGGCCTACCCGGTAGCTGGCCGAATAATTCTCATTACAGGAGCCAGTGCAGGAGTGGGCAAGGAAGCTGCTCGTGACCTGGCCTTGCGAGGAGCCACAATTGTGATGGGAAATAGAGACCTGGAAAAGAGCAACCGGGTCATCCAGGCTCTTCGAGAAGAAGAGGGAAATGACAAATTACCCGAGGGCCGCATTGTGGTGAAGAGATTGGATTTGGCAGATTTGGAAAGCGTGAGAACCTTTGCAGAGGAGATTAAGAGAGAGTATCCTGTTATTGACGTTCTCATCAACAATGCTGGTAAAATGGCAGGTCCTAGAATAGTTACGAAAGATGGATTCGAGTCTCAGTTCCAGACGAACCATCTGGGTCATTTTTTGTTGACACACTTGCTAATTGATAATATAATCAGTTCTTCCAATAAACCGCGAATTATCAATCTATCATCGAAAGCTCATGAAAGCGCAAAAGCTAACTTTTTAGAGGACTTGCAATGCGAAAAGTCCTACCCATCTCAAGGTTTTGGAGCTTACTGCAACACGAAGCTAATGAATGTTCTCTTTACTAAAAGTCTAGCTGCAAAATACGCTGGAAAAGTCAACACATACGCTGTTCATCCGGGTTTCGTAAAAACCGAATTGGACCGATCCAGTAAAATATCTCAATGTGTATACATGTTGACAGGATTCTTTGCTAAGACTGAAAAACAGGGCGCACTTACTACTATATATTGCACTGTGAGTGGGAAAACAAGCGAAGAAACAGGGTTGTATTATGCAGACTCTGCTGTAAAGGAACCTACTAAGATAGCGAAGGATCCAGAGCTAGCTCAGAAGCTGTGGGATGCGAGCTGTGAGCTCCTAAATATAAAATGGGGGGTCTAAAATTATTGTAAATTGTAAATTATGGCAAGTTTTTTTCCACGTGATTCAATGCTTTTCCTTAGCTTCCCCCTTAGTTCCTCAGCTCTATCATGAATGCTTTCTTCAATTTATTTAAGGGTTCTGGAAACCTAACTTCATCAAACCATCTTGTGACCACGCTAGTAGCAGAGATTCATAAATGTAAAATTAGCCTCTTAGGTTGATCTTTTCAAACAATGGTTTTTTACTAATAGTGTAGCGTGTTCAAATGTGTTTTACTCCTGATTGTTCAACGGTGCAGAATATTTCCTTAATATCTTTTCTACGATAAATTCTACCTCCTTTGATGGATTTTATTACAATAGATGTCAATCTTTATCTTAAGCTTGAAATAAATCCCCCTCTCTATTGTTTTGCAATTGAGCTCAAGCTAGCTTGAAGCCAGGATTTAATGAATGGTATTTCGGGAGTCTAAAGAAAGGATGTCGCCCTTTGATTTTTATTGACCATCTCTCGAAGCGTCTCGAAACGACCTTTGCAATTGACCTCGAATTGAATCCAAAAATCTTGATGTCTGTGTGATTGAAATTGAATTAGCTGACCTGAAAGTCTCGTTCTTTTTATGGCTCCCATCTTTTGACGTTCTTTGAATGGTTCATTATTTTGAGTGCCATAAAATGTCTTTTTTGTTCATTGACTGATACTAATATTACGTAATAAAACTTGAATTAAAATGTTAGGTCATTGTGGTCAAGCTTTTACCCGAAACCTTCGAAAATGCTTAATTAGAGATTTTGCGTTCCATATTAGTATCTAAGTATCATTTCTTTTAGACCGGCTTTATTTGTTTTCGCCTGTCTTAACACTTCTGACGCGAAAGCCATTTTGTCAATTAGCAAAACCATCGAGGTATAAACAGGACTGTTTAGACTTTTTTGGTAGGACTTATGGTTCTTATGGCTTCTAAACGTTCATGATTTTTCAGGTTGGTTTAATATGTACATATGGCAAACTGGAGCTTAAACCACTTTTACGGTGCTTTTTAGACAGCATTTATCAAGTATTTGTCTATAAGAGCAGAAATTTTTGCAATACATTCCAAAATATAACATTCTTTACATGAGACTCAGCAAGAAACCTTCATATCAAATATTATACATTACCAGTACCATATGAATATCAATTGAATAGTCGAATCGTGATTTGTTTTTTTAATAACTTTATCTACTTTGATCCCCGCAAGTAGTTGCGTTCGTTCTACTTACTGTACGGCGATTTGATCCGATATGTGGGTCGGAAATGAACAAGTTTTGGACCCGACCCAGCAGTTCGAAAAAGGTCGAATCCGAGGCCTGCAAGAGGAGCGCATCCGCGTGCAGCAAAAGACATTTACAAAGTGGATCAACTTTCACCTGAAACCTACCGGGATCCATGTGGAGGACTTGTTTGAGGATATTAGGAATGGAAGGATGTTGCACCAGTTGTTACAGGTCATTTCGGGGGAGATGTTGCCCAAAGTGAGTCGAGGAGTGATGCGAATCCAGCAGCTGGAGAATGTCGGCATCTCTCTCTCATTCCTCTCCAAAAAGGTTGCATTTCCCACAACTTAATCACAACTCAAAGCATAAATTGACAAAGCGGCACGTTAAAGCCAAAGCCGAAGTGTTACTTTCTTGGCATGGCCAAATGTCTGTTATTAGTTTTTAAGTAGGTTTTTCAAAACCTTAGAAGAAGATAATTTGAATTTTTTGAGAGCTTAAAGAAACGGTTGTACATTGAAAGATGAAAACGATTAGAAACAAGCTGAAAAATAAATACTCCGATATTATTAAGTATTATATTTGTATGAACAATCTATCAAAGTTTTCGCTCTTTTGTTCCAGGTGACGTTGGAAAACATCGGCGCTTCGGACATCGTAGATGGGAACAAGCGACTCATCTTAGGGCTCATCTGGACCATCATCCTCCGCTTCCAAATCCAACAAATTGTGTTCGAGGAACAAATCGTCCAGGAAACTGCACCAGAACAGGTATGGTACCACTCATATAACCTAACTGTTGTCTGTTGATACGTTTGGGGTTTTCTATCCAATTGGTTGCATAGTTTTTGAACTTAAAATTTAGAGATAAATTTAATAAATATTGAAATTGAAATTTAGAGATAATTTTAATAAATATTGGAATCAGTTCAGCAATCTGCCCCATTCATGAGTGGCATGGAGGGGGCTCAATAGGTATTTCAGGCATGTTTGTAACTACGTGAAAATTGTTGAATGATATGATTTCAAGCACAATCTTCTCCAACACCAAAACTCATAATATCAAAACTGAAAAATTCGGAGTGAAAAATTTCCCCTAAAAGGATCATACAAAGACGGCTCTTTTTCTGTCTTAAATTTTAAAAATGTTGCATTTCTGTACATTATTCGGGGCTGCGGAGAACATCTTATAGCATTCAGATGCAAGGTTAGAGCGATTGAGTTAGTCCTTTGTTTCCAATAGTCATTGAGTTCAAGATGAATAAACACTGTTTGGTCTCGTCCCACACCATTTACCCAAAACTTTTAACGGAACTTGTATCAATTATTAGGAAAAAATATGCGACGGGCAAAATGAAATGTGCCACTTAAGTTGAGAGAGAAGCGAAAAGTGTGAAGATCAGATAAGATAACGTTGTTTAATGATTTGATAAACTTTCAGTGAGTTTAACTCAATGAATCCAATTTGCGTTGATTGTGTATCTGATTGTCACGTTGTTTATTTGTAAAAATAGGAGAGTTCAGTCAAGAAGTCGGCAAAGGAATCGTTGCTACTCTGGTGTCAGAAACAGGTGGAACCATACGACAACGTAGATATCAGAAACTTCGACAAGAGCTGGCAAGATGGGCTGGCATTCAACGCTTTACTACATTCCAGAAGGTAAAGTAATCTTTGTTAGTAATTGAGCTTTCAATGCCCTACAAAATGTAAAAATGACGAATTGTTGATTTCAAAGCCTTCAAAGAATTTTTTAAAAGATGGAAGGTAGTGACTGCTGCAACTTCAAACTTGACCTAAGAGGCTCATTTGGCAAAGCCGAGAATCAATTAAGAAAGAAACTTCACTGTTTTGGAACGTCATTTAGCCTGTTTGAGATTTAGCCTTTTTGAGATAGCAAAATAGCTGCGAAATGTTTTTGTTCCAGGCCCGACTTGGTCAATTACGATTCGTTGGACCCAAACAATGCTGAATGGAATCTGAGACACGCATTTGACTCAGCTGAAAATGAGATGAACATCCCGAGACTCATCGACCCTGAGGACGTTGTTACGCGTCCCGACGAGAAAAGCATCATGACTTACGTCGCCCAAATCTACTCGACTTACGCAAAGATGAAAGCAGAGAAACGAAGTGGTCGACGAATGGAGAATGTCGTCCGAATGTTAATGAGCATTGACGAGGCTGAAAAGAAATACGTTGCTCTATTCAGTGATCTGGTTTTTTGGGTTCGCCAGAAAACAAAAGAGCTGAACAACAGAACCTTCCCAAATTCCCTAACTGGCATCCAAGAACATCTGAAAAAATTTAACAGATACAGAAATGAGGAAAAGCCAATGAAGTATAAAGAAAAGGGAGAGCTTCATATGATGTTTCACTCCATAAATGTGAAATGCTTCGCCAACAACAGAATTCCGTTTTATCCGCCCGAAGGACACCTGATTAAAAATCTGGAGGCAGAATGGGATGTGTTGGATAGGGCGGAGAGAGAACTGGAACGGGCGATTGTGAAAGAGTACATGAGACTGGAGTCACTGGAAAGAGTTGCGGAGAGGTTTAAGAGGAAAGAGAGGCTGAGGATGGCCTGGCTGGAAGACATGTGGGAGATCATAGAAGACCAGGAGCAGTGCCGGGACTCACTTCCTGTGTTGGCGGCGTTCCAGAGAAACGAAGCTATTTTGCTAGACGTGCAAGCAAGGGTTTGTCTTTATTGCATTTATTACCAATTTGATATGGCATAATCGATTAAAATCAATAAAACCGCGTTTTTATTTGGTTTTAAAGGTGGATAACGAAGGCGCTGTAAGTTGCACTTTTCTTCACAAATCTGTCCAAATTGTGAGAATGTTTCTTTCGAGGCACTAGAGTATAAATAGTGTTTGAATACTTATTAGACAAGCCAGTTGGTTTTTCTCTGCAACTTTTTTTTTAGCAACTGACAAATGTTACAAAGTTGAATTAAAGGAGTCGAAGACTATTTAATTGGGATGTATACTGCAAAGTATGTCTACTCTGTCTATCGTGTAGCGTCTGATCTTAAATGTTGAATCACGAATAATTGCATGCTTGGTGAATCTTTTGACAGTCGAAGCTTAGATAATAGTTGGTTTTGATTCAATCGTGTTGGGAACCTTGTTGGTTTTCAGAAAGGCGGACCTAAAAATTAAGCGAGGAGTTCAAAAAATGGGAAGAAAGTTTGATGTTTTTTGTAATCGGCAAAATTAATTTTCCGAGCTCTTCTAAAACACTTGAATGATGCTGCTGTGCCCAAATTTTGGTCTGGGAACGCCTGGGAATACAAAGGGCCTAGTTACGAATTACATGTTTTTTCGAGTGAACACTTACTTTTGGAGAAATCCGATCGTAGGAGTGATCAGTCTTCGGATTAGTCCAGTTCTTTTACTGGTGTATCTGTCAGATTCTTAGGGACTGGATAGAACACTTGAAGCAAGTCGCTCAAACTTGGTTATTCTATTGATCAAAGAGCTGTTTAGATGTAGTACCGGTGTAGTTTCTTCGTGATGATTGCATTGAGAGAGCGTTTAATGCTTTTTTGCATGTTTTTTTTCAGAGGAGATATTTTTTGTTTCAAGAAAATTATCGGCCTATTGTTTGTCTGCTTATGTTTTGCCGGCTTAGTTGCCACAGCATGGATTTTCTTGCGCTGTAATCGCTTGAAGTTTTTTTAGCTTCAATTGTTACGGCTTATATTTCATCGGTTTTGTGGCATTATTTTGCGTCGTTTCAGAACTTGTTGTTTTCATGACCATGACAACAATTTTGTTTTCGGCTCGATGGGAATTTAACCATTTTTCGGCTTAGTTACCTTTCGATTTGATAAGTAATTCAGAATACTGATTGAGCGCCGGTGACGGTGTTTCTGCTTGTTTTCCTCAAATGGAACATTAGTCCAGGCAAAATTTCGGAAATTTGTTTAGTTATGGTTTTCGAAATGTTTTCATGTTTTCCGAGTTAGTAGTTTTCTTTTCATTTTCTGTCTGATAGTTTGCGATGGATGAATGCGTAAGGCGACAACTCGCAACAAAATTTTTTCGTCTTTCTAGTCTATTTTTTACAAAAATATTTTCCAATTATCGAATTATCGAAGTTCTAATTTTTCGTTCAGATCTTTTTATTACACCACGCAGAAAAAAATTGCTGCTTATTTGAAAAAATTCGTTTTTGTATTTTTCTTAAGACTATGGTTGGAACATTCTGTGTTACATTAACCGGCTATCCTTGTTACGAGTTGTCTTTTGTTGGAAATTTTTGCGGAGCCGGGTGAATGACAAGTAGCGAGATTTGATGGAGAACGTGAATTTAATTGTCAATGACTTGAAAAATTAGCGCAGGAAAATTCAAGATTGTTGCTATTTAAGCAATTTTTTCACTACCTTATTCCCTCCAATTTGTCTTCGTTTTGTCAATTACCAGCTAAATGGCGTTCTTTGAATTGTTTTATTTGTTTACTCTTTTAATTGACAATTAAGTTTACTGTCTACATCAGACGTCAGACCCGTCTGATTGTCATTTACCCTTAGCAATGCTATGTCTGTGTGGTATCACAAGTGTTGCAAATCTCCGCTTCCCCTCTGTGTGTGTTTTTATTTTTATAATAATAGTAATTTTAAATTGTTTCTAGTTGATAATTTCCTAGAATGTAGTTGTCCAAAAACTCATGATTGAAGATTAGTATTTGATATTATGCGCAGCCGTGAATGAAGATTACAAAATATGGGTAGTATTTTGAAACAAAAATAACAAATTTTTCTTTTCTATTTGAAGTTTCAAATCAGTTTTTTTTTGCTCGAGCAAACGACAACCGTTAAAAGCAGCTCAACAAAATCAGTATTAGTTTTAGAACAATGTTGTGAATGTAAATTATTTCAGGAGGAGAAGTTTGCCAAGGCGAAGGAACTGGCAAAATTCCTGTGGACGAGCGATTACCACCAGAAGGTTGAAATCAACAAGAGAGAGAAGAAGCTGAGGAGTGAGTATGAGAGGCTGAGACAGTCAGTACAGGCTGCCCACGTGGTGTTGAAGGGGGCCAATGATGCTGGAGTTGTAGCCAGACAGACACATCTCATTCGACAGGAGATCAAATCAATCGAGGTAGGATAGGATCATCCAAAATTTTAATTGGAGTCTTTTGTTCAATTTAATTTCGACCAATCAGATTCAAGCGTTTTGCTCACAATTTCAAAATTGCACTGATCAACTTTGAACCGTCTTACGGATAAGACCCTAAGGTTTTTTTCTAAGAATAATGAACGTAGTGAGTTCTCTTTTATAGATCTTGGTGATTTTTTTGGTATTTTTTCCGGAAAAAGTTTTAAAAAATTTGTTCATGCTCATTTTAATTTTTTTTGCGGCCTGACCTTTGGTTCCTATTAAAGTTCATTTCGTTTCCTTTGTTAAAAGGGAGATAAACTGCCATATCGAACATCACAAATGTAAAGATCAAGAAAAACGTGATCGACTTTATTTTTTCGAAAACGGAAATTAATTATCAGATGTCCGAGCGAAATTAAAATTTTACCTATTGATCCAGTTTTCTCAAAATGGGTTAATTTTTATCAAAAAGGCACCTTTCACATAATGTTCAAAGAGCTTTAAGGCCATCTAGTTTTTTTCTTGGAAATTCAAAAGTCCTTCTTGCGTTCTTTTTCTCTTTTCCAACTGTCAGTTAGCTATGTTTATAGGATGCAAATTTGTGAAAATGGTAAAACTGTTAAGTTCACCACCAGCTTTCGCAGGAATGATTCTGACATCGGGTGTTTTTCTTCCGCGCAAAATTAGGACCACAAAAAAATCATAAGGCTAGCTTAGGCATCGTGTTAAAGCACTATTGCCATAAAGGGCTATCATGTAAAAGTGCTATTGGTTTTCTCTCGTATTATTTATACAGGTTTTCGAAACTAACCATTTTTGAGGAAATGCTTTTGAGTTTGGGTGTTGTTCGCATAAAGTTAGGGACCACAAATAAACGATAGATGGGTCAATTTAGTTATCGTTTCAAAGCGCTTGTGCCAGAATTCAAACAAAAGGAGCGATTTTTCAGAATGTGTCACTAAACATACTGAAGTCCTACAGATGAATGAGATTTTTTTTCGATAGAAAGTCTTAGAAGTTATGCAGCTCTAATTGTATTTTTTTGCGGTCCCAATTCTGATTCATTCTGATATTCAGTTAAAGTTTATTCGATAAAGAGAAAGCAAGTTGTGCTCTGGACTAACAAAAGTTCAAATGGTGCAAAATTACATGATTGACTTCTAGTTTCATAAATATATATAAATATCAGTTTTCTCAGCGGAATAAAAAGATATCAATTGATCGAGTTTCCTATAATTGGGTTAGTTTCGTCAAAAATTGCCAATAGAAAAAATTGAGGAAACCAGAAATTCAGGGTGATGTGATTTTTTCTTTAAACTTGAAATTTGATTTTTTTTCCCAAAAAAGTCAATCATTTTATTTGGTCTCCTTGAGTTCATTGACATTTTTTTCATCTTTTTTTTTTGCTATTTTTGCATATCCAAAGAAAATTTATGCATTCAGCTCAGATTTAAAAAAAAATATTTTCGCTGTGATTGTTTCTCCTCGGGAGTTTGATATTTCGTTTTTAGGTCAGTTTGATATTTCATTTTTAAGTCATGGGAGTTTGATAATGGGTCTTTCCGGTTAAACCCGCCTAAATGGATATATTCCTCAGCTAACTTTCGGAAAGTTTATAATGAAACAGACGCTATTTTTTTTTACTTTGATAGTGAGGTTCATACCTAGTGCAATAGATAAAAAATGGCATAAATACGTATTGAATGACAAGCAGGAGCACGCTTGTTGACTCATTCTTTTGCAATTTTGCGTTAAAAAGAAACAAAAATCAGCTTATCAAACCGGAATATAGACTTCTTGTTCGTATTAACAACTTGTTTAACAGAATCAATTGAATCACTTGTATCTTGGTTCACAAAGATTTCAAATTCTATGCGGTCACGGTTGACTTAGCCTGGAGGTAACGATTATGCCTGGAGCGGGAAAGGTCCTGGGTTCAAATCTGACAAGGACGTGTTTTTTTGTCAAACGGGAAAAAAATCTGTTTAAACAAGCAAAGCGTTTAAACAGAAGAGTTTTTTCCTAAGCTAAGTCGCAAATAAAGGTGTTCATTTAGTTGCACTTTTCCAATAATCACGATCTGAAGCTTAAGATTTTTCATAACATACTTTTTCTGCTTTATTGGTGGCAACTGTTTTACGCTTGCGATAAGCCAGCGACGTTATCAAAGCGGAATATAGACTTTGTTCGGATAAGCAATCTCGTTAACAGAATTCAATTTGGGGCGGCGAAGGTCCTGGGTTTGAATCTGACCAGGACCTGTTTTTTTTTCAAACGGCAAATATTCTGTTTCAAATAAAATTGCCGGGCAATTATTTGTCTGATTATCTGTTGTCGGCTTAGTTATCACTTCTTAGAGAAGTTTTTTTTTGCTGACCGCATTTTTCTTTGATGTTGCTTTTCGTGTTTGATTTACTCCTACATTGTGTAATTTTACTTACCTTGACTAAGTTTTTTCTTTGTTTTTTTTTTGTTTCGCTAAAAAAATCCTCGGCCCAAATTATTTCCACCTATTTTCTACTGACTTAATTACCTATTTTTGGGTCGTTGCTAGGGAAACGCATTTTAACACCCCTCCGCCTTTTGTCAAGTTAGTTGTATGTTTATCTATCGATTTGTTGAAATTTCTTAGTTTTTTTGTCATGAAAGTTTAGTGCTTTAAGAGAGCTCGGAAAATCAATTTGGTCGACCTAGAAAAAAGTCGTCAAAATTTTTAGAAAATTTGCCCCCCTCGAGAAAATCCTAGATCCTAACCAGGGGTTCCGCAAAATATATGGCCATATAATGGGGTTTCCGCCCTACATTATGCCATATTTATCCTTCTTTCCCTCCATTATTTCCATAATCGCTCAGGAAAAATAAATAATGGCCATTATGGGGTTTTATTTGTTCCATAATTTTGAATGAAAAATCAAAACAAGTAAATCAATTTTACAAAGTTTTTTAAACGAGTTTAGTATCCCAAAGCTCTTTATTGACTTTTAAGAAAAAAAGTAGCCTCAAGGTGATGTGGAGACATGCTTTACAAACTCGGTTTGAACAAAGCAAAACGACGCTGGCTCAATGCGAACAATACAAGTGCGCGCGTTGTTTGTTTTGCAGGTAAACGCGCTTGCTTGCTCACTATTTGTTTTACATAATGGGGTTACGTCATCCCTAAATTATGGCCATAATCGAAGGCAGTTCCGTACATAATGGCCATACTTTTTGTCCTTTCCCTCCATTATTTATGGCCATAATGGGCACCTACCGTTATTTTTGCTATGATCCTAACCATAGTAAGATCATTTATCCACGAGGGATGGGACCAACATACGAGCTGTACAGTTCATCACGGCGAACCGCTGTTGTGCGCCTGCTTAAGAACTACATGCAATTTTTTTTGGTTATTTTTCTGGGCTGGGTAATGTTGCCTCACCCTCAAGCAACGAGCACGGATCATGGTGGGCCTCGAACATCCGACCTTTCGATTGAGAGGCGGAGACGTAACCACTTCACCACTGCTCCCCCTATAAGGGAAGGGGGGAATAGTTAACAAGATACCAAAGGGAGGGGGAATAATTAACAAGATCCCAATTATTTAAGGATAACTAAACTTTGGCTATATTACATGTTAATTCAATTTTTTAATATATTATATTATTATATATAATAATATATTATAATTCAATATTACATGAAGTTAGGATCCTCCACCCCAGCGCATAATATAAATTAAATTTGCTAAGCGCTGCATGTAAAATGCTCGATTCTGAGTTTCTGATTGCCTGAAAAATCCCCAACTTAGAACCAAGTTAACATCCTCCCGCCCAAACGGCTTTGGGGGGGGGGGGGGGGAGGGGGAGGATGTTAACTTGGTCCCGGCTCCATTATTTCCCTAACTTGCGCTTGAAAAAAAATTATTTCCTAATAATTTGTCTAAAATAAATTTTTTATCAGCCGGTTTTAGGTGGTACTAGTACATTGCCAACTCTAGGACCAATCATAGTAGTTCCGAGTCGCCGACCTCAGTTCTGATGACGCGCTGTTAAGTTATTTTGGGCGAAGTTGGTAAAAGTACCCAGAAGCTGGACAAGAGGCAGTACAACAGTGCCGAAGTACAACAGTGTCGAAAATGAAAAAGTGTTCAACAGTGCCGAAAATTGATGATATTCGGCACTGTTGAACAATAAAATTATTTTCGGCACTGTTGTACTTCGGCACTGTTGTACTGCCCTTAGAGGGGCGTTCAACAGTGCCGAAGTATAAGAGTGCCGAAAGTAAAATTTTAGTATAAGAGTGCCAAATTGAGTCCACAAAAAACTTACTTTTAGGTGAAATATAGGTCGAGGTCTTTCTTTCATACTTACTCATGCGAGAGCTGAGTTTTCATTCAATTTGATTCGGTGGTATATAAACCAGCCGAAGTATCAAGCAGCCGAAAATACGTAAGTGTTATATAATAGTTATGTGACAATTATGTAAAAGTTAAAAGTCATGCAAATTTCATTAATGTGACTTAACGTTCCTGCTGGCCTTTATACTCCGCACATTTTCGGTTGATTTATAATTCGGCTGGTTTATTTACGCTCGGTGAATTCAACTGGTGTGTAACAGTGCTGATTTAAATTAACCGGAAAAAACGAGCTAAACTTCAAATTTAAAACGCGTTTTTCTCAAGTTAGGCAAAAACTTAAGAAGACAAAGTTGCTTAAAATTTTAGAATTAATATGGTGTAATTTGTTTTGCAAAATTCGGGCCCAAACTTTTACCCCAAAAATGGGTCATTTTGGCTTTTCTTAGTTAATCAAAATTTACGCCAAAAAATACCCAGTCGATCACAGACATAATTATATCAAAGTGAGCTCCTTACGTAGCCCAACAAACTTTAAGAAGGGTATATTCTCCAAAACATTGTATAAGTTAATTAATAGACAAAAAAGGTCGTTTTTACTATAAAAAATAGCAACTATTTATTTAAAAACAATTTTTAAACGATTGGCAAATTTTTTTGGAGAATATACCCTTCTTAAAGTTTGTTGGGCTACGTAAGGAGCTCACTTTGATATAATTATGTCTGTGATCGACTGGGTATTTTTTGGCGTAATTTTTGATTAACTAAGAAAAGCCAAAATGACCCATTTTTGGGGTAAAATTTTGGGGCCGATTTCCGCAAAACAAATTACACTATATTAATTCTGCTAAAATTTTTAGCAACTCTGTCTTCATAAGTTTTTGCCTAAACTCAACCCAATTTGAGAAAAACGTGTTTTAAATTTCAAGTTTAACGCGTTAGTTTAATCAGCACTGTATATTCAATGTTCAATTGAATAGCTAGCTTGTTTGAATTTATACTGCGATGCTTGACTGTATAGTAAGCATTGTTGGTGTAGGGGTATCATTTGAGATTCCCATTCTCAAGACACGGGTTCGAGTCCCGTACAATGCAAGTATTTTACTTTGAGCTTGTGCATTCTTTTTAAAATCAAACAAGCTTAGTTAAAAAAAGATAATTTTATGGAAGCAAAAAGCTGAATAAATCGATCAATTGATGTGATGATGTGTTAATTTTCTGGCTCTTTTCCAGTTTCCCCCACTTTCAAAATAGCGAGTGTTAGATTTGTTTTACGTGTTATTACGTTAAATAGACTTTTCAAAATTGAATTTGAAGGGGGGGGGGAACTGGAAAAGAGCCAATTTTCTTAAATGAACGTTTTGTAATTTGTATCCGAAGACTATTAAAAATCTTCAGCTCGTCATATAAAGAAGTAATTTTCTATTGTATTGTAAATTGCAACTAACTACGGATCTCTTTAACTATATCCCCCCTCCCTATATAAAGAAATAGGTACTACTATGATAGAGTGGTCCCTCGAAAAAGCAACTATGATAGGTACTGGCTCTTTTTCCTTTTCCCCCCACCTCACACGAGCTTCAATATATTAGTGTAACGAGAGGTTTTACGAGGTTGAGTATGAAGACCAAATATGTTTGTCGTGGCCTTATTAGTCTCTAGGTGAATTTTCATTACAATCGGACAATGTGGTCAACAAATTTACATGTAAAAATTTGCAGGTGGGGGGGGAAAGGAATAAGAGCCCAGGTCCCGCATGCATTTAGCGTGTTATAATTTAGAAAATTAATTGTGTATAAATATTCATTTCAAAAATCTCGCGAAATATGTTGAGCCAAAAACTTTTCAGATTAAAAATTGTACTCACTACATGTTTTATATCAAGAACTTTGCTCGCTCCAACTTATTTTACAGTTTAAAAATCATAATTGGATTAACTTTTTTGTCATCAAAACACAATTTTGCCTTTTTTGAATTTTCCACCTTAAAACGGCGAGGGGGGGGGGGGGGGGGGATATATACTGTGGCAGTGTGACATCTTTATGAATGGCGAAATCATAATTATTAACGATTTGAGAGGTGACCAATCAATAAGCAAAATGGTCTAAGAGCAGAAAGGGTCCAAGAGCAAAAAACTGAAAAATTTCAACTTTTATAAGCTAAAAGCGGTTAATTAATTATCAGAAATGTCTACAGTAACAAAGAAACGAACATTTTATGCATAACTTGAATAATTAAAAAAAAAAATCGAAAAATTTTAATCAGAAAACTTGATGAAATTATTCAATTCATGCATAATTTATTCAATTTCATGGTATTTTCTGACTATTCTAATAATTTGCTTAATCAGTTAGCCCGTATTTTTTTTCTGTTTTTCTGCTCTTGGACCCATTATGCACTTGGACCAGTCGGCTGATTGCCCCGCCTCCGATTTGAAAGCTCTAGGTATCTTATTCTCGAGGGACCTGGTTATTTTCAAGGGACCACTCTATCATAGTATTCACCAAAAAATAAATCAACGGTTAAGCATATGCGATTTTTTTTACCTACTAACGAATCTCCTTTTTTTTGCAAAAGAGGGGGATAAAATATAAGAGATCCCTAACTACCTACCTATCTTGGTACAAGTGTGATAGAGTGGTCCCAAGAAACTAACCGGGTCCCAAATATAAAAAAGAACGCCTCAAAATTGTTCAATTTAGTGCTTCGATGTCAATTTGAGTATCGAATAAGTTGGCGTGAATAAGGTAGGTTAACTACGTTTGAGAAAAAAGTGTTAGAAAGACCGACGGGCACATATTGAGCTTAAGTTAGTTATTTGCGGTATTTGCCTAAATTTAATGAAATTTGGGCTATTTTCCAGTCCTCTCCTTTGATTTTTTTTTCTGAATTTCATTATATGAAAGTTTATTCAAAATAGCTTTTCATGGTATAAACTGCATTGAAACGTGCTGCCGTGAACAGGTGAAGAATTTTTTTTTATATACATTGACGTGTGAACAATTTTTGGGTCTTTTTACTTATTCCGTCAAAATCAAAATTTCAGCAACTTGAATTAAAACTCGAACAGTTGGTGTGCGGCTCGTATATGATTGGTCAATTTTGGCCAATAAAATTGAAGCAGCACGCTAAACTAAGTCATAATTTTTTAAGTAGATGGGAGGGAGAAAAGTTTCCTTAGTTTCTCGACAATAGCCCCCAAGAACCCATTGTTTGGGGTAAATCCGGCCAATATTACTTCTTCGTCGCGAAAATAAACTCTCATCAATTTCGACAATTTCCCTCCCTCCCCTCTACTTAAGGGAGGGGACGGAGGAGGGAAATTGTCAAAATTGACGAAAGTTTAATTTCGCGACGAAAAATTAATATTGGCCTGATTTACCCCGAACAATGGGTTTTTGGGGGTTATTGTCAAGAAACAAAGAAAAGTTTTCTTTATGCTGTTCCTGATCGCAGCGCCTCAATCCTTATCCCTATTATTCGTCAATCAATACGCCCTGGCACGTTTATTTGCTCAAAAGAAAGGAAAGCTAATAGTGATATCATTAATGAAGGGTGTCACCATGAAACGGTAAATCATAGCCAAAATTTTCTTATTTTCTTCCTGCCACATGAACTCTATCGAATCGAAATGGCGAAACGCAAAAATGAGAAATAAGCGTCAGTGCGGGACCGCCAGATCACAAATGGACTCGTCTCTATGCGAATTTATGTGGAGAGAGAAACGAATTGTGAATAATCGCAATCCATTTGCTCAAATCATCAAAGAAATTGCCGACTTTTGGCAGGCACCATAAACTTTTTTTATTTGCTTTGTGAAACTCTTGTAATAATACTTTGAAACTGAATATTTTGTTTAATTTGAAATTGTTGTCTGTTTTCATTTTGGGCCGAATAAGTTATAAGACCCCAATTTTTGAACAGCTTTGTTTTGTATTTTTTCGAGGGGATGGGAAACTGGAAAAGAGCCGTAATTTGGGACACCTCTCTCACACTTGGTTTTTACCTGTATTACTCTTGTACCTGTATTACTCTTGTATTATTCTTGCAGTTGCTAGAAAGTAAAATTCGTTTACTAGTAAGTTAATAGTAAGTTACTTTTACTTGCTAGTAAGTTTCAAAGCCTCAGGGTCTGCTTGAAAACTACCAAGTTTGAAGACTATTCATTTTAAACAAACTCAAAATCCGCGAAATAAACAATCTGATCAGTATTATCAAGTAAAGCAGCGTTGCAGTATATGAAAACAAGTTTATCTGCTCTTTCGACTGATAATTGAGCCTCATTTCTTTCAAAAATTATTTTGGTTCAACTTACTAGTAATAAGCCTTATTTTGCTTACTAGTAAGTTACTAGTACATTTACTAGTAACTTACTTACTAGTAAGTAAATCCGCACAACCCTAATTAACATCCTCCCCTCTCCCTCCCGCAAATAGACCAAAACCTGATTGGCTCAAAAATCTCATCTTAGAATCAAGTTAACATCCACTCCCCCCAAAGGGCTTCGTGGGGGGGGGGGGGGGGGGATTCGGAGGAGGATGTTAACTTGGTCCTTGTACACCTATCTTATTATCTATAATTTTTCAAAGTCGTTGCTAGAAGGGACTTGTTTTTCTAGCCAGCACTGCTGTCGCAAGAGACTGGCTCGCATCTGCTGATGGTGGAGGATCTTCTGAGGCGACACTCTATGCTGGAGGGACAGATTGTGAGTATAGATGCGAGGATAACCCAACTGCAGAACAAAGTGAACAACGTAGTGGCCGCCGAGCACTCGGACAGTGAGCAAACTGTCAAGTCATACAATGCACTCAAGAAGGACTTCAAGTTGTAAGTATCCTAATGGGCTCTTACCCCCCCCCAACCTCGCATCAGCATCAATTTTATGGTGTAATGAAGGTTTTTACAAGATTGATTATGAAGACCAAATATGTTTGCCATGGCCTAATTAGTCCGCATATCAATTTTCATAACAATCGTGTTGTATGAACAGCAATTTTCATAACAATCGGTTGGCAACAGTAATTTTAGTAACCGTAAAAATTTGCAGCTGGGGGAAAGGGAAAAGAGCCTCGAACACGCGTCCAAATATATAAGGCAGCAAAATGGTATTGTGAAAATATGTTACAACAAACAATGACTCTCAGCCCTTTTGTGACCAACCGTAGAATGCCTTCCCCAAGCACAAATGAATTCTGAAAAATAATTCTGTATGAAATGTGCATTTCATACAAACGCGCAATTACAATTGGTTTTTACTTTTTTATGCACTTTATGCATTTGTTATGAACTCTTTTTTTTTCCAACCTAAGTCGCAAATTTCGTTGCGACGCAAATATCGTTGCGACAAAATGTGTTCATTTTGAAAAAGCTCATTTTGATCAATAACCAGCTATTAAGTACAGCCAATGCTAAAATATTAAATTAGACTATTATATTACAAATTGCATTTTAGCTTCAAGGTATCAGAGTCGGAAGTTTTTAATGAAGCTTTTCGTATACTAGTTAAAATGCGTGCGCACTATAAATTGAGGCATGTTAGTTGATAAATTCACTTTTTTAAAACTGACTGGTACTGCTAATGCGTCATATTTGGCTTGAGTCTCTTAGCAGTTTTGTAGACTCATAATTGGCGTGCGTCACTTAAGAAAATTTCTAGACTCAAAGTTTTACTCATTCAGTTTTTCCCAGTAGTGTTATCGGTAATATTTTTGCTTGTGTATGCAAAGTGCAACTTCGCCTCTGTGTTTTTACAGAATTTGGATGTATGCTTTCCAATTCATTACATGCAAAGTTAGCGTGGATGCCTTATGTTTGTTATATTGCAATTTTTTACATGCAAAATTATGTCTGTTTGTATTTGGTGTCACTTTTGCATTTGGTGCCACTTTGGCTGCCTCGCATTGGCAATTTAATAGTATATGTAGCTGCTTTATTGGTGACAAGTATTTGCCTATTGTTACGCGTTCGTGGGGTGACAAGTATTTGCCTATTGTTACGCGTTCGTGGCCGAGAAGGCAGGGGGTAAGCCCCCAATTCTTGAGGTCATAGGTTCGAAGCCATGCGTACCAAATTTTTAATAAATCGAGGCTTATTTTTATTTCTTCTTTCACTTTATAAATCTGCTTTTTTGTTCTGGCTAAAGCAGCGTGTTCCGGCTAGTGTTTTTGACGCTCAGCTTCGCCTCTGTGAATAAGTATAAGTCAGCCATTCCAAAAGATGAAGAATTCAAAAAATTGTCAAAGTTGAGTTTTGATTGCAAAATATTTAACCCAATCATGGTTTTTAATTAGCAAAATAAGGTAAAACGAGCATTTTTAAGAGTCTATGAACATAGTTCAGACTCTTATATAGTTCGTGATGATTTTTTAAAGAGTCGATGGGTGCTCATGACTTTTAATTAGTTTATTTTTCAGGAAGTGTCTTTAAAATTTTTCAGGGTCTTTTCGCGGTTTGACTTATGGTTTATTGTTAAGTTCAGTTCATTTATTTTGTTAAAAGGAAAACAAATTCCACTCGCAAAAGTGTAAGGGTCGTAAAAAATGTGATCGAGTTCTATTTTCGAAAGTGGAGTTTTCAGATTTTCCAGCGGAGTCAAAAATTTACCTACCGTTCCAGTTTTTTCAGTTTTAATCAAAAATTTGTCAATCTTAAATTGTCAATCGCTAGAAATGCAAAGAGTTTTTAGGGCATCTATTCTTTTCTTTAAAATTCCAAAGTTGATATTTTTTTCAAAAAGAAAAATTTTGTGTTTTCTGTTCATTTGCGTTTTTTGACTTTTTTTCGTACTGTCTGTTGGCTATGTTCGTTTTTTTTTCAGGAAAAGTCTTGAAATTTATTCAGGCTCAAAATTATTTTTTTTTCGCAGTTAGACTTTTGAGAATTTCATTTTCTTGGTTAACAGGAAGGTAAACTCCACTATTGAATGCCTAAGTGTAAAGGTCACGAAAAATTACGACTTAAATTACGAGATTTTCCAGCGAAATAAAAATTTGAACTATTGATTCAGTTTTCCAAATTTGGGGTAATTTTATTACACTTGGGGAGCCAATCTGCTCTTTGTTAGTTCTCTTTATTTTGTTCTCTTTGCAAATATTTTGTTCTCTAAGGTCTGGGGTTGGAGTCTCAGCCGGAACTAATTTTTTTTAGAGTCGATGATTGAAGTTCAGACTCTTATATAGGTCATGATTATTTTTTTTTCTGGAAAAGTCTAAATTTTGTTCACGCTCAATTTTGATTTTTCGCATTTGACTTTCGATTTGTTCTAAGTTCACTTGAAAAGAAAAGCAAACTCCATTATTTATCGACTTCTAATTTCAAAAATTGATTTTATACGTCAGATTTCTCAAAATGGGTTAATTTTGTCAAAAAGTGTATCATAAATTGTTCTATAACTTCAAAAGAGATTCAAGATCATGTGATTTTTTCTTGACAATTCAAATTTTCAGATTTTTCAAAAATCAAGTCAATGTTTTTTTTATTACTTACTTGTGCTCATTGACTCTTTTCCAACTACCTGTTGGCTATGTTTCTTGATATAAGCATAGTTCATGATATAAACATCTTCTGAAAAGTTTCTAATTACGCATATTTCGAGATATTTGAAAGCATAAAATATTCACAATTTAGTTTTGATATTATTGCATGCGAAACACATGCAGGACTAATTCAACGTTTTGCGCCCACTTTATGTCAACACTGAAAGTTAACTTTTATTCGGCTATATTTTTTCAAAATCAACATTTAATAAATTTCCAAAGTCAACGCCTTATAAGAATTAGGCAGAATTTTTTATCAAATGCAGGATAGCATCTGCGCTTATTTTTTTGCCTTGCGATAAGCAAGGGAGTTGCAACCGGGTACTAGACTTTTCTCCTATAAACATAATTGTTCGCAAAATGTCTGATGTGAAAATGTTTTTACGTAATTCAACTTGCTTTGTAATAAATTCAAATTCAATCAACTATCCAGCACATCTGGTGTATAGGTGACGCTTATGTCGGAGACGACAAAGACTCTTGGTTCGAAACTGACCGGGATCTGTTTTTTTTTTTCAAACTAGAAAATGTCTGCTGTACTATCGGCCGTCTGTTTATCCTCCCTGGCTTAGTTCGCCTTTGCACCAACTCTTTTTGAAGACTGAGCTTTCCTCTATTTTTCTGAATGTCATTAGTGGGAGTAACATGGTGACTTTTTTGCGGAATTTCTGTTGGGATTTTTGAAAAAAAAAAAAGTTTTTGCAATAATAATTGTTTTCCTTTTTTTAAATCAGACTGTCTGAGAAAAATGGAAAATATACTTCTTTTGCCATGTTGTGTATGTGCGCTATCGAATTGATGAAAAGTACCCCTTCGCTTCTGTATTAAGATTATGGTGAACGCATTAATCTTACGAGTTGGATTTATGAGTTTCATAAAAACGATTTTAAACTGAAACATGACCGCAGTCGTCTACAATGTCGATATTTGTTTTTGACTATTTCAATGGTAAAATTTGATTGTCGATTTTTTCTGTTTGTAGTGAAACTAAAAGCGAATTTGACTTTTTATAGCGTGAAAGAGCGGTCGAACGGACGTCGGAAAGCCCTGGAACAGAACCTTGAGCTGTTCCAGTTTCATCAGGACGCAGACGAGGAAGAGATGTGGTTGGACGAGAGCAGCCAGATCATGATGCAGCCAGTGGTTGCACGTGACCTCCTATCGGTCATTGAGCTGCAGAAGAAACAGAAGGCGTTTGAGCAGAAGATAAACACGCACGAAACGTTCATCAAAGATATTTTGAAACGAGGCAAGAGTCTGCTGAAAATTCCAAACAGTTTTGGAGTGCAACAGCGAATGGAAATTCTTCCGAAGAAATTGGAGGACCTCAAAAGCTGTTCTTCGGAGCGTTTAGAACGCCTGCAAGAGGCCTTAGAGACACAACAGTATTACACAGACGCCAACGACATTGAATCTTGGATGAAAGAAAAGTACCCACTGGTATCGAACGACAATTACGGGCAGGATGCTATGAGTGCGACCAACCTCTTTGATGCTCATAAGAAATTAAACGAACAGATAGCCGAGTTTGCCACTGATGTCTCGAAGTTACGAGAAGACGCAGATCGATTGAAGAAAACGGAGTTGGCGCTACAACCAATGAGTGGAGGAGTTGAGTCGGGTGTGGCCGATGAGTTTATCGAAGAGGAGGTGTACATTCCTGTCGAAATCGAAGATCGTGAAATGATCGCCAGGGAAATTGATCACACAGACACCGAGGTTCGCGAGATCCCCCGCGTCGCAACATTGCGAGAATACAAAGACAAAAGTGGATTTATAATTAAAGCAGGGACACAGTATGATCTTCAGGACAGCTCGGATGAACTTTTCTGGGTCGTCAAAGATTCAAAAACAGGACGTGAAATGACTTTGCCCAAAAATCTTCTGAGAGATAACGGAACAAGACATGAAGAAGTGCATGTGAGCAAAGTCCACACCGTACACGAGGAAGTTGCGGTAAAGAGAATCCAAAAACGAAAACAAAAGGTCAAACGAAGGAAAACATTGAAGACTGGAATATCTCCGATGCTTGGTGAAAAGGTAACCAAGAGCTCTCGTTTTGACGCTGAAAACATTCAGCTGCGTCAACAAACGATCGAGAGTACGTATAATCAACTTCAAAAGTTGTCCTCCGCGAGGTTGCAGATGTTGCATGATTTTGCAGATTTGTTCAATTTCTTTGTCGGAGCCGAAGAGTTGCTAACATGGATCGACATAAAAGATAGATGGATCCGTTCAGAGTTGAATCAGAAGAAAGATTCACCGGACTCATTGCGACATGTTTTGGAAACCTTTTTGACAGAATTGGTAGCTAACGAACCAAGAGTTGCTAGGATACTAGCCGAGGGCGAGAAAGTAGCGCGTGGTTCAGTCGGAGCATCTAACAAGCGAAAGATTTCAGGAATGACCTCAAACATTCAAGCAAAGTGGGGAGCTTTGAAGAAATTGAAGCTGGAAAAAGAGAAGATTTTAGCTGGTGCGGCTGGACTCAATGCATTTGAAGCTGATATGGAAGGAGCGATAGACATGGCAAAGGACACAATTGCGTTGCTGGAATCTGGAATTGCTGCAAGCAAGAATCCAGATGCAGCTTCGGCAGGACTTTTGAAGCATAAATTGTCACCCGAGGATGTGCAAGCTCAAATTAACAAACTGAATAAAACGATTAAACCTTTAGACGAAAGGATAAACAAGCTAATTGTTCTTGGAAACTCTCTTGCATCAACCAATCCTGGTCAGGCTGCGTTGGTCAAAAAGAAAGTGGCTGAACTCCAAGCTGTGCGAGACAATCTTCAAAGGCTACTAGACGAAAGGCTTGGGCAGCTAGAGCGAGAAAAGAAATTATGTCAGTTCAAAAAGGACTGCGAATCTCAAATTAGTTGGGCTGACAAAGCAAGGGATATCATGTCCTACCGTGAACAGCCAAGTGACCTTGAAACTGTGTCTGACGCTCTTGCAGAACATGACACCTTGAAAGACGAAATCGATTTTCGTGTGCCTGTTATTGAAGAGCTTATCAAGGAATCGGAGGCACTGAAGCCCATGGCTGGAAATGATCGCGATTTTGGTCAGTTGGGGCAAAAAGTGACGCAGCTTCCAATTCAACTTAAAAATGAATGGGTTGGCCGCGACAAGTTTTTGAAAGACTGCAAAAATGCGGCTCAGTTTTACAGAGAAGCTGACGGTGTTGAGGCGCAATTAGGAGCTCAGTTGGCCCTTTTGTCATCCGATAATTTAGGAAAATCGGCAGACGAAGTCGAATCGTTGCTGAACCAACTGAACACTCAGAAAGATAAAATTCATTTGTTGGACGATAAGACAAAAAATTTGGACACTAAGGCTGCCAAGATGACACGTGATCGAAACGTGGCCTCGAACAAGGTGAACGAAAAGCTTAAAGAGGTTAAAAGTCTGAGAGATAAAACCATAAAGGCTTATAACGAGAGAGATAGGAGTCTACAGGATAGTTTGGACTACCAGACTCTTTTGAGGGACGTCTCTGAAATGGACGACTGGATGCTGGAGCGACTTGCGATAGCGCAGGATCCAGCGTTCAAAGAAATGGTGAACCTGGATAAGAAGCAGAAAATTATATCAAATCTGGAGTCTGAGCTGGAAAAACGTCATACTGATCTGAACGAAATTGCCGAACGTGGCAAGCATTTAATGAACCAACAACACTATGCTTCTCCGGAAATCAGACAAGCTCTGCTCAATTTGGCAAAACGCTGGAAAGATTTGAAATTAGCGGTCGAAAATGCAGGCGGAACTATTGGATTGTCGCATAAACAGAAAGTGCTAAGAGATGATATCAAGCATCGAAATGAACGTTTAGCGGAGCTCGAAGATGAAATTGTAGCAGAAAATCTAGGCAATAGTTTGAACGAGGCAAAAGATTTGCTCAAGGAAAACCAAGTAATCGAGGAGGAAATTCAGGATGGTTGTGATGATGCTAATGGTAAGCTGCTACGAGAAGTCGATACTTTGATCCAGAAAGGCCATCACGACCCTGACGGTATTCGAAAAATGCTCTCGGATTATGCAGACTCTGTGAAGAACCTTCAACGCCGAGGAGGTGAAAAGAATCTGAAATTGAAAGATTCAGTTGAATTTTTCCAGTGGAAAGAGGATGCGCTTTCGCAGAAAGAGTGGTTCCAGGAAAGGATGGACGAAGCGGAGAGCACGCATTTTGGATCCCACTTGGACGCCACAGCGAATCTTTTGACAAGACATCAGGCTCTGGACCAAGAGCTCTCAGACAGAGAATCCTTTGTAAAAGAATTACTTTTAGGGGCTCAGAAGATGATCATGGCCAATCATTGGGCAAAAGAGCAAATTGAGTCGATAGGAGACGAAATTACATTTCTTTGGAACACAATAAACGCAGCTTGCGTGGACAGAATGTCAAATTTACAGTCTGTTCTGCAATACCATAGATTACTAATGTCACTTGAAGATGCTCTAGAGTGGGTAGATGAAAGACTGTCTCAATATCATTCACGCCGAGATCTAATCAGTTCGCATCCTGATAAACTAGACGAAAGGAAAACTGCAAATGCCTTGTCAAATCATAAGACAGACGAGGTTGCAGTATCCAGATATTGTACTACTTTGAACGATTTAGACGAAAGTTGCAACGAGTTTGTTGAAACTGAACATCCTCTCTGTGAAAGTATTAAAGCTAAACAGAACGAATTGGGAGATCAATTGGAGAATCTGACAGACGAATTGAAAACTGGTGGAAAATACTTCGAAGCGTGTCAGATGGCGGCTGAGTTTCAAGTAGAGTCAACGGAGCTCTGCGATTGGTTCGTTGAAGCGGCACATAAGGCTCAGAGCTCGGATTTTGGGAAAGATTTCGAATCCTTTGAGAAGGTCAAGATTGATTTCAACAAGCTGAAAGAAGCAGTTGACATGCATAAGAGCAATCAGTTGCGAAATTGCGAGCAGCTGTGTTCTAAAATTTCTCGGACTTGGACCGGCGATGATTTCAGCTGGGTGGAGGAAAAGCTTGATGACCTTAACAGTATGATGAATGACCTTGAAGTAATGGTCTCAGAACGTGAAGATATGATGGAATCAGCAGGAGAGCTCCATAAATTCAATCTAGATGTAGTGGAAGCTTTAAGTCAGATTCAAGAAAAGCAGAACGCAATTCCAACCGCACCATTGGCAAACCCAACGTTGCAGGGTGTTCAGAAACTGCTTAGGAACCACGAGAGCTTTGAGACCGGCTTGGTTGCGTTAGAGGCGCAATTGCATGCGCTAGTTGAGGAATCGGATCGATTGAGTCAAGTTTACCCTGGTGAAAATGAAGAAAGTTTATTGGAAAGTAAGAATATAATGGTCAATGCTTGGCAGAACTTGAAGCGAGACTCAGCCAAAAGGAAACAGAATTTGTTGCTGACTCTTGAATTCCAGAAATATAAATCAGCCGCGAAGGATTTGATTGACTGGATGTCAGAGCAGAAACGAGTAGTGTCGGCGATCAAAGACTCAACACCTAGTGCGGATTCGATGAATGATTTACAGGAGTCGTTGAATGGGGTAAAAAGTGGACTGAAGAATAAAGAGGAGGATTTTAAGACTTTGGTGGACAGAAGTGACAGAATGATCACAAGCGAAGAAATCTATCCAGTGGATGAGGTATGCCAGAAGTTTTCAGTTTTCTTACTTTTCAATTTGAATTTGCTGGATGAATGAACTTTTGGTTTTTGAATTTTATTGACTGTGGGCCATATTTAAATCAGATTTTCAAAATGAGTTTTTTATGAGTGAGAGTATGCTTCTTTAACTGTGCCCTTGCCTGAGAAATAAAGAGTAAATGAACGCTCAAGAAGCCTCAAGTTTTTAAAAATATATATCGTTTGAAAATGAATGTCGTAAATAAGTGTCCTTGAAAAGATCTGCTGTGTAACAAGTTCAGGCAGTCAGAATTTTCTTGAAGAGGCTGCTGCTTTGCAGTAAGATCAGAATGTTTAACGATTGATTTTTACTTTCAGGTTTTTACAGACGAGCAGGTAAATTAAGTTCATCTTTAGAAATAGGACATATTTAGAGTTCACTTTTAAGACATCACTCGTGAGGTGTCCGTGGTTGAATTTGCCCAACAAGAAGCATTGTCTGATAATTTAACAAAATTTGTCAGAAATTTGTTTTTAAAACGGTCTTCAAGAGGTTGACCGAAGTCGAATTTTGAAACGCTCAAATTTCTAAGACAAGTTTTTTGTTTAAAATTTGAATAATTTTGATTGATGTGTAGATCGACCAGGTGCTCAATACAGTGTTAAGCGGGAAATCTGCATTGGAAGACGAAACTGGTTATCTGGACGCGTCAATCACGCATCAGACTCAATTCTTCGCTTTCCTCTCTAAATACAAGAACCTCAAGCAACTGATGATGAACGAGACTCAAATATTGAACTCAAGAAACAGTCGCAAAGTGTCCCTTCATGACCCTAGAGGCAGTGTGCGTGAGCAGGAAGCCTTAGAAAATAAGATCAGCAAAGAACAAGTTTTGCTGGACGATATCAGAAAAGTTGCCCAGGAGCTGGAAATGTCTGGACATCCAAAAGTGAAGGAAGTCAATGCTCTGGTATCAGAACTGGAAAGTACCAGGTATCAAGTTCTGGCCAAATGTCAAGCCAGACGTGCTTTGCTGGACGCTACTGTAGACTACATGGATTTCAACATGCGAGCAGCTGAAGAGGAATCTTGGCTGAAAGAGAAACAAATTTTAGCTGACAACGATGACTACAAAAAAGCAGAGACGTTTGAACAGAAAATCAAAGTGTTACAGAAGCATCAAGCTCTTGAGTCTGAAATTGAAAACGGGAAGGATCGGTTTGGAATTTTAAAAACGGATGCTCAGAAGGTTATCTACCCTGGACCGTACGCTAAAGATTGTAAATCTACCGTCAACAAGTTGGAAGTGCTTTGGAGGAAGCTCCTGGAGTCTCTGAACCAGAAGAACTCGGTTCTGTCTGAAGCGCGAGAGGTGGTGAAATTTTTCAATGAATGCGACGAATCTGAAAAGTGGCTGAAGCAAAAAGAGGTGCTGCTTAAAATGAGAGATCTTGGAGATGATTATGAGCAATGTTTGTTTATTTTGGACAAATTGAATAAACCTTCGCCTGACGAAATCACGCCACAGAAACTTAAAGAACTGAATAAGTTAGCGGATAGTATTGTAGTGAAGGGTCAACTTGATCCTCAAGCAGTGCGTGAGAGAAAAAATGAAATTAACGACAGGTACCAGAAGGTCAACAGAGATATGAAAACGTACACGGATGAGTTGAAAAAGTCATTAGAAGTACACAAGTTTATCCGTGACAGTAACGATTTGAATGATTTGATAGCAGAACGTACTTCAGTGGCTAAAAGCGACGATGTTGGAGATTCTTTAGACTACGCCCAAAAGCTACTTAATAGACATGAGCTGGTACAAAAAACGACGATCCCAGAATTAAGTTCAAAAATGGAGAATTTAAAAGCAGAGGGCCTTGAGTTGAGCCACCGTCAACCGGCACGTGAACAAGAAGTGTTCGAAGCCCTGCAAAAAGCCAACTCTAATTGGGCTGTTTTGAATGATGTCACAGCACAGCGTCAGAAGAACCTTAAAAACTCTGTAGATTGCTTCACATTTTTGCATAATTGTGCGTTACGAAACAAATGGGCGATGGAATTAATAGACTCTATGCATAACAGAGTTTTGCCTAAAAATTTGAAGGAAGCTGACAACAATTTCCAAAGTCATGAAAGTTTGAATAAGGAAATTGGAAACAGTGGAAAAGACGTTGAAGTGTTGTTACAGAGTGGTAAGGAACTGAGTTCGAAGGTACCTAGAAACGCAGACAAAATATCTCAAGCTAGTTCAGAAGTCCGAGACATTATGCATAAATTGAATGATGTGTGGGGTAAGACAGCGAAAGAACTGCATGATGACATTGCCTATCAACAATTTTTGAAAGAAGCTGCAGATTGTGATATGGCGATAACAAACTGCGAACTGATTTTCAATACTTCGAACGTGGGCGATTCTTTATCAGCCGTTGAATCGCTGCTATCAAAATACCAGTCTCGAGTTTCAGCATACGGGGAAGTTAAAAGCCAGACAAACGAGTGTATCAAAAAGGGCGAAGAGATTGTCGAAAATGGTAACTACCTGTCACCGAGAATTGAATCAAGAATGGAAGAGTTGAAAAACAAGCTTCGCTCAAGTGGAGAAAGTTGTTCTAGACGTAAAGATAGACTCAATGTTTCTAAAGAAGTCCAGTTGTTCTTGCAGAAAACAAGGAAACTACTGCTTTGGGTTGCCGATCAAGACAAAAAGGCCCTAGACGAAAATTTCAGAGATCCCACCAATCTGTTGCACAAAATCGAGTTGCATTCAACGTTTGAAAGTGGAATTAAGCAACATGGAAAGCAAGTGGACGACTTGAAGAATACAGGAGAGCGTCTTTTGGCAGAAAGTTTCAAGCCAAATGAAGGCATTCTTAGTGACGAGGAAAATCTAAAATTGGAAATTGAAGCAAAAATAAGAGAGCTGCTAGAAGAATGGCAAATGTTGCTCGACCACAGTGGGGACAAAAAGTCTAAACTTCGTGAGGCACTGCAAGCCGTCGAGTTCAATAGATTGGCTGAAAACGTTGAGCAATTCGCAGATGAGTGCGAGAAAGATTTCGAAAGCAATGATTTCGGAGATAATCTGAGAAGCGTGAAACGTGTAACAGCTAAACATGAAAAAATGAAGGATAAGTTGCATGAAAAGTCGGATAATGTTGCGGTACTTTTGGACATGATGGAAAGCTTAAATGTTTCGACAACTTGTCCAACTACCGCCATGCAGCAAAGACTTGACGATATTGTCCAGCGTTACGACAATCTGACACAAGGAGCGAAACGCCGCGACGATCAATTGGAATCCAGTCTGATAGTCCAGACTTTCATTGAAAAACTAAACGCACATATAAAATGGACTGATCAGAAAATGCTGGAAACCCAGTTTGATTTTGATTGGACGAAAGATAATTCGACTAATTTGATCGATTCAATGTTGGTCGCTAGTGAAAATTTGGACAAAGAACTCGAGAACAGTCAGGAAACACTAACAAACTTAGAAACGGAATCTCAGATTCTTGCAAATCACCACCCGGTACACCGAAATACGCTTCGACAGTCATTTGGAAGTTACAAAGTTAAGTTCGACCGACTGAAACAAGCCAGTGGGGACAAAACGAACGTACTTCGGATTGTGCAGACGGCGTTCAAGCTGCTAACCAGAACTGGTGAGACTAGAAACTGGCTGGCTCAGAAAGAGAAGTTTTTGCGTGATATTGATAGCCAGAGGTTTGTGAGAGATGAGCAGTCGTGTCAGAATGTTCTAGACCAAGTGGTCCATTTTGAGACTGAGATGAAGAACCAACGAGCAAACTTGTCTCAGACAGAGGAAGATATTTCAGAAGTGGAAAAGTCCGAAATTCTGCCAAATAAGGAAATGTAAGGAAATTTTCTGCAAAATCTAAAATTTCCAAAGAATATTTCAGTGGGCGTGAATTGTTCAATCGAGTTTTTCTTGTTCAATTTTGTACTATCCCCGTGTGATTCTTCAAACTGTAATGAACTTTGTTCAGGTTTTTAAACTTGAGAGTGCGACCGTAAGTCTCATATCGTCGATGTTTCCTTCCGAATGCAGTCTGCAAATATGTACAAAAGTGTCCCTATTGTTAAAAGCAGCATGTACCCTTAATGCATTAAAGCGAAAACTATGATACATGTTCGTTAACGTCAACAGTTGTTATTGTTGTTTTTAGCCCATATGTCAACAGTTTGACCTCAGTTAATACTGTAAACGAAATACTTAGTTGAATTGCCAAATTTTTGAACACTCGAAAACATCTCCTTGATGTTGAACACTTTGAAGCTAAAAAAGAACACATGTATCCCTTATTTTGTTAGTGTCACTAAAAAGCTTGATAGAAGTAATCACTGTATCAATTTAAGCGCATGAAATGTGAGGGTTTGAAACTGGGGGAGAACTTCATCTATAACCCTAATTTTGTTTCAGTTTGCGAGAAAGACTAGAAGAGCTCTACGCTTACTTCGACAAAGTTCAGTCCTTGTATGCTAAGCGTGTGGTGATTCTGACAACTCAACTCAATCAGTTCCTCTTTTTAGTCGAGGTATGATAATCACATTATAGCTCACTATCCTGTTTAGTTGGTTACACAAGCGTAGCGAAGTGTATTATTAAGAAGATTTTTTTCCTAACCTGAGTCGCAAATAAAAGTTCTCATTTGGTGGCTTTTTTGTTTATTTCAATTTAATCATATTTAAGCCTATTTAAGCATATGCAATTTAACAACAAATTTTGCTGCTTTATTTTTGGCTAGTGTAAGGTGCTTTTCAAAAAAAAACAGGCATAATGAAAGTGAATGGGTTTCGTTGTTTTTTTTTTGTTTTTTTTTGGCAAAGCTTCGGAACATTTTTGCACTTTTCGCAGAAATTTCAAATTTTCTCAAAAACTATTGTACCAATTTTCAAAAACAAGAAACCAATGGAAAAACCGGCTGCTCTTCAATGTGCCTGCATATTTCGCCTGTCTCTTTTCATTTTACCGCACGTTCTAGGCCTTCGAAATTTTCAGTAGAGTGATTTTTAACCTATTTGTGAATTTTTCTTTTTTTTCATGTATTAAATACACAAGTCTGAGATGAGGGTTTCAATCAAAAGAACAAATTATGGGAATTTCCTTTTTCAAAGTGGTTCTTCCTTAATTTCCGAAGAAACAACTTATGGCCTCGAACAAGCCCAATTTGTTATTTTGACATTTTGTTAATTTTTAAAACTTTTTGACCTTTCTCAAAAATACTGTCAAATCGGAGATTAAGGATAAAGTGAAACAGTGGAATATGCCAGTCTTCGCTGCGCGTGCAGTTATGCCCTGCGTTTTGAACAAAATGTGGCCTTAGAGAAGTGCAATTTTTGAATTTTTAACTGTTTTTGGAAACTTATTTTTTTTGCATTAACTAACCTGCTGATTCTGAGGTTGATAGTTCATTCAAACTAACATGGTGCTTAGATTTTTCTGGCGCAATATGATTTTTTGAAGAAAAGCTGAAATGAACTTGGGAAAAATCCATTTTTTGAAATTTTTACCGGTTTTTTTATAGAAATTTCGTCACTTTTCTTGAAACTCCTACGTTTGATATCAAGGGTTCAATCTAGGTTTGGACGTCTTCGCCGCATAAAATCTTTTCTCATGCTTTGGTAAAGAAAAATTTATAGATGCAGGATTTTGGTATTTTTAGTCGTTTTTGCAATCGTTTTCACTTTTTTTCCGAAAACTACCCCGCCACATCTGAAAAAGAGACGTCAAATGAAGGAGTGCGTAGCGTTTTTCTCTTTTAGATAAGCGGCTTATCATCTACTTATGCATAAAATCACTAGGATTTTGCGTAAAATCCATTTTTTGAAAATAAAGTATTTTCGTAATCAATACAATATATGATTACACTAGCCATCAGCTTAGTGTATTATTACGAACCTTTTCTAACCTAACTCGCAAGTAAAAGTGTTGATTAAAAATGATCACTTATTTGGAAATTTCACTGTAGCATTAGAAGTTGCATATCATCTTTTCTCTGCTTTTCTTGTGTTTGATGCCAATAAGCGTCCGTGGCTGAGTGGTTAGTGTGTGGGACTCTTAATCTCTGGGTCGCAGGTTTGAATCTCATTAAAATTATTAAAACAGGTGGATCCAGCATTAGCTGGGCCACTATTTTGTTTGAGAGCGACCGTGGCGCAGATGCGAGGACGTGAGACACCTAACTAACGGGCCGGAGATTCAAATCCGGAACATTGAAAAACTTTTTTTTCGAATTTTTGCTGCGTAGCATTGGCAATTTGATAGAAACTGTAGCTGCTTTTTTGATAGCTAGTGTTAGTAAAATTAAAAGCGGACTTGGAGCAGATGTGAGTACGCGATACCTCTTATGTCACTAAAATTTATTTCTCAAGGTGTATTCTTATTCTTTTCATTATTGCCTGTTTAGAGCTTTTTTGGTATTTTTCTCGCTTGTTTGCGAGCGCAGCTTCGCCTCTGTGTAATTTTTCAAATTGATTTTTCACGAGAACGTTTACCCAATGTGTTTGAAATTTTTTGAAAAATTATTGGGAAAATTATAGAAAAAATATATTTAGAATTTATTGATTGCATCTCATTTTACGACTGAATAAGCTTCACATGATGTATCAGTCGACTGCTTCTGACGGCTGTGATACCTCAATTAAAGCGGAACAAAACGCACCCGAATACGATTTTCCTTCTCGCTTTCGTTCGGTCGGAAGAAATTACCGTCTTTTGAATAGTTTTAGTAAAGTTATACTTCCCTATAGGTTGAAGAAAGTATGGACGAGTTGGATAAAGCAAAGGACGTGTGCAGAAATGATGACTACGGACATGACGTGGAGAGTGTAGAGATTCTTGTGGGGGATTTCAGAGGAAAGGAGAAAGAAATGATTAGTCTGGAGACAAGCTGTGATCATTTGGTGCAAACGGTGAGTGGAATCAAACTGATATTAATTTGTGCGCAATCTAAGGACGAGGGTTTTACCATCCTGAAATCTGGGTAGGAAAAAAGATGCTGTAAAATGATTTGTGACATGTTTAAGAGTCGATGAATATAGTTCAGACTTTTATAATGGCGCTGATGATTTTCTTTTTTCGTTTTTTTTTAAGGAGAAGTTTTAAAAATTGTTCGGACTACAGATCCAGTTTTCTCAAATTGGGTTAATTTTATCAAAAAAGTGTCTATCATAAGTTGTTCTAGAAATTCAAAGAGCTTGAAGGTCATCTTTTTTTATTCGAAAGTTTAGATTTTTTCAAAAAAATAGTCAATATTTTCTGTTCATTTGCGTTCATTGACTCTTTTTCAATGGTTTGTTGGCTGTTTTCATTGATTGGTTTTCAAGTTGGGACAAAATATAAGGGTTTAACTGACTTGTTTACTTCAGCAATCGAAATCTGTTTTATTCAAGTTTAAGAAATTATCATGTAATGCAGGCCATGAGCTCAACTCTGTCGGTTTTAGGGAATGAATTTGGCTTCGGAACCTGGAACACTTCCTGAACTCACAGCTAAAAGCGGAGAATTGAAAGCATCGTGCCAGGAGTTGAAAGCTCTGCGGGAAGCGAGAGCGGCCGCTTTGGAAGGGGCTCGCCTTGTACACAAGTTGAATCGAGATATCGAAGATTGTCGAGCTTCAATTCAGGACAAACAAGCAGAATTGTCGAATGAGCACGACATCGATGAATACGAATCGCTCCAACTCATGTACGACAAACAAGAAGACCTTGAAAAAGAAATTGAAAATTTGAATGAGCGAGTGAACAAATTGCAAAGCAATGGAGAAAATCTGGTGGAAAGGTATGGCAATGATGATCATGTGAATGGGAAAGTGAACGAACTGAAAGCCGAGTGGACAAAATTGAAGTCGATGTCCGGAATGCAGAATGATAAATTGAAAAGGCTTGAAAATGTGAAGGAGTTCTATGACATGTTTGCGGAAGTCATGTGAGTTTCTTCTGTGTTTATTTTCGATGTGTAAATTTTCGGCGAATTTTTCGCAAATATAGTTTTGAGACGCAGCATCGTATAATGCTTTTTTGATATAATTATTTCTAAGACTGGTCTCATGCCTATGAACGTTTTGTATCCCCAGCGTTGTAAAGGTTGATGAAAAGCTGACTGATTCGTGATTTAAGGCAATGGATTAACGAAACCATAACGACCATGAACAGCGACGACCTTCCGAGAGACGTTCCTGGAGCAACTCTGAAGGTCAAGCAGCATGACTTGCTCAAACAGAACATCCGATCTAAAGATGCCGATGTGAAAGCTCTTTGGGCCAAAGGACAACAGCTGATTGAGACAGGCGTGAGTGTTCAGGAAGACATTCACGAGAAGCGATGCAGAGTACAAGACGGATACAAAGTTGTGGAGAATACTTGGAAACAGAGAAGTGATCTCTACAAAATAAATCTGGACTTGCAGGAGTTCCTGGCTGATGTAGAGAATTTGGACTCCTGGATCCAGAAGAAAACACCAGAAGTATCCAGCAAGAATTGCGGTGTAAGTGCTACAGAGAAATGGAACAGTGAGCGCAATTTTTGAACATTGTTATGGGGAAATCTGTTTGGCAAATTCCAAAAAACCATAGCATTATGTCAAGGTTTTGATAGTTTGAAAGTTTATTTGAGCAGAAGTTAATGTCCATGATCTATAACGGATGTATAGTGAGATTTTTAACTCATCAGTGCATCTGTTTGAACTGAAGATAACCGAGTTGAAGACACTGATCTACATGCGTTTTTTTTTCAAGAAAAAGTGCACGCTTAAATTTGATTTTTCGCGGTTTGAATTTAAATCTTAGTTAAATTCTTTTCAAGGCATTTTGCTAAATGGAAGGCGAATTGCGTTTTCGAGTGTTAAAATGAAAATTGTACAAGAAAACTTTTGTGTCTTTAAGCTTCGAAAATAGATTTAGTTTCATAGAATTCCCTGTTGAGGTACAAGTGTGATAGAAGGGTCCCGCTATAAACCAAGTGTGAGAGAGGGGTCCCCAATCACACTATTTTGAGCGAAAACAGCCATTATCTAATCAATATGCGCCGTCGGTGGTTTCAAAACTTTTTCTCTAACGTAATTAACCTGCCTCATTGGCGCTAACTTATTCCATACTTAAGTTGAAAGTACGCAAATTGAACATTTTTGAGGCACTTTGTTTACATAAGGGACCCGGTTGGTTTCTTGGGACCCCTCTATCACACTTGTACCACTGTTGATTGTTACGCCAGCGAGCAGCTATTGTTTTTATTATGAAGCTTTTTTTGTTTTTCTTACCTAATTCGCAAATAAGTGTTGACTTGTGTGCCTTTTTGCTATAATCACAAGCTGAGTGGTTAGTGAGTGAGACTCATAATTTCGAAGTCGCAGTAGGTCGTTGGTTCCAGAAGTCGCCGAATTTTAACTAATTCGAGGCTTATTTTTTCTTTGTCTTATTGCATCTTTTTGTCGTGTTGTCGCTAGTGTTTGCGAAGCGCAGCTTCGCCTGTCTTAAAATTAAGCTTTTGATCCAGTTCTCGAAATGGGTTAATTTTTCATCAAAAAAGGGTTCAAAATGCTCTAAACAAATATCACAAGGTTTTGTCACTTCTCGAGTGCCTTGACATTTTTCCATCTGTATGTTGACTATGATTTCTTTATTAGACTCATCGGTACTTCTGTTTTAGAATGACCTGATCGAAGTTGAAGATCTTCTGAAGAAGCAGAAGGAGCTCGAGGAACTGATAGATGCCCAGAAGGAAAAAATAGAAGCCATTAACAGAAAAACCAAGGTAGGAGCTCGTTGCAGTAACCAGGAATTGCTCTGATTGAACTCTAATCGTAAACTTAAAAGAATACCTCTAGTTTTGTAAATGATAAGTTCGTCGTATTTTTTGACCGATTGACCTCTTCTTTAGATTGAGCATCTGACTATCAGCTAGTCTTAATATTATTCGTAAGCGCTATTTTATATACGCAACATTATAGAAATACTAGCAAGGCGATGTTTAGACCGAAAGGTAGCTTCAAAATCAAAAACCTGTTCAAGCCTGAAACGTATCAAGGAACGAAATATTATAGTTACTTTTTTTTAGCTCGAAAGTGGTCTAGCAGACTGGAAAGAAAGAGAAGAAGAAAGAGCAAGAGACGAACACCGTCGAAAGCTGCAAGCATCGATTCGCAAACGAGAAACTACTCGAATCACTGATGAACGCCACCGACGCAATCGCGAGCAGCGTAGACGAACACAGGAAATTGCTTTTTCTCCCGAAAAAATCATAACTAAAGCCGTAGAATCTGAAGCTATATCTAGTTTGGAGTCAGCATCGGAAGCACAGAAGGCTTCGTCGTTTAATTCAAATTCGAATCAAGACAAGAAATTTGTATCACCATTTTTGACTGATTACAACATGAGTGCGGAAGCGGCACAGCCGTTGTCAAGTGCAAGCGGCATGAACTTTGAATCCGGGTTGTCAAAAAGTACGGGCGAAAATGAATCGGGAGCATTCTCTTCGAATCCTATTCCGGTTCCGAAAGCACCGATTATAAGACAAGGTTTGCGGTTTTTCTAGTAATTATCAGTTGTTTCGATGTTATTTAAGGTGCGCGAGAAGCTGAAAAGACTTGACCGCTAATCTGCAGTTGATAGTTTGCAGGGGGTTGAAAATTACCGGGGGTTGAACATTTTTTGAACTGAAATAGCATTTTTCATTGCGGGGGGCTCAAAATTATCCGGGGGTTCCGCGAAGTTGGGTGAATTCTAGTACATTGAAAAGTGAAATCCAGCTAAAAAAAAGTTCAAATTAAAAATTGGATTTAATCCAAGTGACAATGGTTTTTCGTGGGGAAAAAAAAAACAATTTCTTTGGAGCTGGGAGTTTTTTCTGAAACTGGGTGTAAAATTGATGGCATATAAATTCCGGTGGGGTCCATTCAGACCCCTCAAATGTCTACGAAGACGTCGATTTTTGTTGCGGGGGTCCCGGCAATTAAGTACTGCATAGTACTGCTCTCTCTAGTTTAATTAATTTGAAATTTTAAGGCATCAGATTGAGGGTAACTTCTTCGGTTAATCGATCGAGATCGATAACAAGGAATGGTGAGTACAGTCCTCGAGAATCACTGTACATTCCAAGTCATTCCCTATGTTGCTAGAATCTAATCATTCCATGTAGATGTAGTCCTGTAAACATTTTCTACGGTGAATTGAAACTCTTTGCACATTTAAAAGTCGAATGCAGTAGATGCTGTTGCGTATTTAATTGAACTACATAAAACAGTGGCCTAAGTTTGATCTCTTAAATTGCTAGCCAGTCGGCGATACATGAAGAACTCATTCAGAAGCAAATTTTAGGATAAAAATGAATTTGTATTGGGTTTAATAAATCTGTAGTATGGTTTAGCGTCGTCTCTGAGCAAACAGACGAGCAAGTTGCACAATGCTTCGAACCCATCTAGTGGCGCTGCTAGTCCCAGAAGGTCGATGAGCGGAAACAATGCAGCAGATGGGACAAATGTGTCCTCTTCTCAAGGGGGATCAACCAGTCCCAGTATCAAAACTTCCTTCTCGCCCCCTCTCTCTCCTATGAGGTCACCTCGTGGAAGTTACTCGATGCAGTCCCCGCAGCTGGAGGTGACTTTAGTTTAAATATAAATAGCTGAAGTTCCAGTCATAACTTTGAAGCAGTGTTCTATTTAATAACTAGTCGACGAAAACTCAACCCCCCTCTCAGGGATTCGACCCCCTGAAAAAAGTTTGAAGGGGAGTGCGCGCCGAAAAAACGTGAATTTTCTGTCAAAGTTTTTCAAAAAGTTTCGGTCAAAATTTTCCAAAAAACGGCATTTTTGACCTGTTTTTTTAAAAAAAAATAAAATACGCGGAAATCAAGTTGATCGACCTAAAAAAGTTTAAGAATCCACCCCTGTCAACAGGTAAAAAAAAAGTATCATTTTAACATATTTTTTTTTCTTCAATTTTTTAAACTTTGTAATTACGGTTGCCATTAGCAAGCGTTATCAAATCAGAATGTAGACTCTTTTCGGGTTTAACAAAATCAGTTGAATCAATTGCTGCTGACATGCTCAATTTCATGAAAAATCAAACTCATCTGGGTGCAATGTTTATTACTGGGAACTTTTTCAGAAGTATTTGATTTTTTGTCGGCTTAATGGATTTCGTCCCATTTTCTGTCGGCGTACTTGACGGATGTATTATTTTTTTTGATAATTTTTCTAACTTGCTTGCTTCATAATAAATTCAAGTAACAGGCATGGACCAAATTTCTTAAACAAAAAGTTGTGGCCCTCGGAAAAGTCAAAATTTTTGATTTTTTGAAATTTTTAATGGGTCTTACTGTCCCAAAACTGAGTTTTTTGGTTCAAGCAGAACGACCTGATGTAAAAAGTGACCCCAAATAATCAACCAAACCTACTTTATACTTAATAATTGTTTTTTGTTACCTTTTTTGAAACCTTTGACTTTTCTCGAAAACTAGCCTCTGTAATCTGAGTTTTTGCGTTCAATCGAAAACAAGTTATCTTAATCTCTTATGTATAAGCGGCTACTCCCAAAAGTTTTTCACAAATAAAGCTATGAATTTCGGAAAAGTAAAGTTTTGATTCATTGACCGTTTTTTGGAAGTTTTTTGATTTTTCTCGAAAACTACCCTGCCAATTTTTAGATTAAGCAGGCAATCAAGAATTACGGTGTGCTAAATCTTATCTGTTAACGCGGCTACAATTGTTTTTTTTTTTGCAGTAAAAAGTTATTGATTTCAGAAGGACCCGATTTTTTTTGTTTTTGACCGTTTGTAGAATGGTTCTTGACTTTTATAAACTACCCTGACAAATCATGAGATGAAGGGTTCAATCGAATGAACCGGTTGCGTGGATTTTTTATGTAGAAGCGGCGTCATCTTAATTTTTTGCACGAAAATTGTTGTTTTTTGGGAAAATTTCAATATCGCATAAATATTCACCCTTCTCTTTTATTTTATTAGAGAAACAACTAAGGTTTGAGACAAAATCGAATTTTTGAAATCACCCATTTGATTACACATCAGTATAACAAAGTTATCAACACACCTACATCAAGCTTTAGCTGGACCCCTAGTTATCTTTTATCGAACAAAAAAATTTTGTTCTTGTTTTATCATTTTTGATTTTTGTTCTATTTCTTCATGTTTTGTTTTAATTTTCGTTTAATTTTTATCGCAAATGGTGCGAAGCTCCGCTTCGCCTGTGTTCAAAACGTCTTCTTATTTTTTTTGTAGAAAGGGTGATTGAATTATAAAAAAGATGCACGATTGAGTGGTGTATTAGAATTAGATATGGAGGTCAGCCTCAGTCAAGTTCAGTCTGCAAGATGAAGAAATGCAGTTTAGTTTTTTTTGTTACTGAGACAATTTTTTGATACTTTTAAGAATCCAAATCACAGATAATAGGGAAAGCTCGTGTGTGTCTTGTGGAATCGTACTAAATCAGATTTGATTCACGATTTGTCAGATACATTTTCTTTCCGACTTCTAGTGTATTGATACTATCAGATTACTAAATCAGATTTGATTCACGATTTGTCAGATTCATTTTCATTCCGACTTCTCGTGTATTGTTACTATCAGCATTTTTCTACACGATTGCAGGAAAGCGAGGTGGTAAGCGAGTGTCTGCAGTTCGAATTCCAACTGCGCTCTAGCTTTCACGAGGTGTCTCCAATACAGGAGTCATTCTATGACTCAACGTATTGGCCATTTGGCCAGGTAACATGCGACTCTTCATTGCTCGCTTGCTTGTCGGCAAAACCAAATTTGGTTTTTGAAATATTCCAGCGCGTGAAATTTTTCTTCTATTGAATTAGTGTGTCATATATTTGAGTAAAGAAAAAATAAGTCTGGGTTTTAGACATGTACAATTACGAGTATTAAAACTAAGTACTAGACTTTTTCCTTGCACAACTGGGATTACAGGATGCATTTCTTCGGATTCCCAGCTGATTTGACCTGTTCACTAACAGACAAAATTTGAGTTTTTAAGACGATTTATCCACAAGGGAAAGGACCAACATGCGAGCTGTGCAGCTCATCACGGCTCAATAAAAAAAAACGGCGAACAGCTGTTGTGCCCCTGTTCAAGAAGTACATGCCTTTTTTGGTTATTTTTTTGGCTGGGTAATATTGCCTCATTCTCAAGTAACGAGCACGGGTCATGGTGGGCCTCGAACATTTGACCTTTCGATTGAGAGGCGGAGACGTAACCACTTCACCACCGCTCCCCTAAATATATTTAAATACATCCTAAATAACCCCTCAATTTGAAATTTGTTTTATCTTGGTTCTAGATCTATCAACTTATTCAGCTAAAATTGTTTCGACCTGTTTTATATCGGCTTAATTTCCTCACGTTTGCAGGGCAGAAACAAATGTTGGTAGATTTTCATTCTGAAATAATAAAAAAAATTTCTAAAAAGTTTTTATAGCTCAATTTTTATGACATCATTTTTTCGGCTGAATAAGCTTTCGCCCTTATATTGTCGCTTAATTAACTATTTGTTTTTTTTAAATCCATTTTCTTGGCAGGCTTTACCAAATTGAATTTCATACGACGCGAATCGTGATGTGAGTTTTTTAGTTATCTTTTTAAGGAAAAATTTCCATTTTTTTCAACTCAGTAACCATTGTTTTTTTATCTGTTCGAAATTTTCTTCTAGATTCTGTTCTTTCCACGGATGTCATATGTGAGTAAATAGCACATTCTTAATTGGGTCAATCAGGCCAGACCAAATTTGCGCAAGAAATTGCGTATAATTATTATTTAATTTTAAGGGTATTGACTTTTTCCCTCGTGCCTCACATGTCAGTCCAGGCTGTGCTGCTTTAAAATCAGTTCGTATAAAAGTAAGGGGCACGCAAGAAACTTAATTCATTGTCGAAATTAATTCTTCGTGCTAACATCGAAAACTTCACAACCAACTACTTGAGGAAATAAACGCTTTCTAAGAAGAAGCTGAAACTAGTTTAAAATATGCGCATCTTTTTCGTGCTGTTTTAATGGAGATAAAATATTTCAGGGCCAGGCAAAGATCGAACAAACGCAGATGTCAATGAAGCAGGCGTTTTCGACTCATCGAATGAAGAACATAGAAGCGTCGAACCAGGGAGAATCTAATCTTGTGTCGCCCCAAGAAGTCAATCAAAATAACCAGCAGCCGGTTGATGCCAATAATGTGCACAGAACTCCGTCACAGAATTCGGTTAGTGCAATACTTTTACTTGAACAGAAACGTGCAGTCGATCGGAGTGGTGCTTGATTTCCTTCAGCTCGAAAATTTTTCCGATGAAGCTGAAGTGAGACACTGAATTCTATTTAATTATTAATTTTCTGCAGAATAGAAAAATAGTCGGAAATAACTACATACCATACCTAGACATAATCAGCTACGTTCGTTTACATAGATATGTAAGCTAGAAATACCTTGTGTTTTAGGGGAACAGTTACGCCAGCATCAACTCTGCGTGGTCAACTGCCCGCTTCACAGACGCCAACACTGACTCTAGCTCCTCCCTCTCTCCCTCGTTCACAGGGATGGTGGAACGGAAAGCAGTTATGCAGTCGGGATCCCGCAAGGCCACAATGCGCAACTGGAAGACACTCTACTGTGTTGTGGTATCACACTCAATCAAGTTCTACAAGGACGAGCACGCGTTCAGAAATGTTAATAGACAATTTCATTCTTTAAGATACAATTCCAATTCTTTCAAAAAATAACGAATATTAAAAAGTGATGTTTTTTTAAAAAAACTTTTAAGAAATATGCTAATCGATATTTTCATTCAGTGTAAAATAACAAATTGATTTTCAAGTTTATAGGTCTTGATGATTTGTTTCTCAGGATAAAGCCTCAGAAGCTGTACACGATTAAATTTGGTTTTTCACGGTTTGACTCATGATTTCTTTCGCTTCATTTCCACTATCCAGCAGCAAAAGTGAAAAGGTCACGAAAAACGTGAATGGCTTCTAGTTTCAAAAATGGACCTTAATTTCCTAAACTCTCAGTGCAATCAAAAAATTATCCATTGATTCAGTTTTCTCTTAATAGGAGAGCTTAACGAAAAACGTGTCAATCATAAACAGTATTTGAAATGATATATATGCACTTTTTGAGTTCGATTGAAATTCATTTCATGAAGTTTCCGAGATTTGACGCTTCTTAATGGTTTTTTCAAAAAAACAATTTTGAAACTGGACAAGAATTGAAGTTCTCTAGCTGTTATTAGGTGCTGTCGGGTTATCTTGCTTCAAAATTTGACCTCAAATCTTTTAAGTTTTCGAGATATGACGTTTTTTAAGATTTTTTCAAAGTTTTTCAAATAACCTAAATATAAAAAACTAGACAAAAGTTGAATTTCTCCGCTGTATATAGTGAGGTGCTGTCGGGGTACTCTCAGGCGCTGCAAATCTTGCATCTTATTTTGATTCCCAAATCTTTTACGCTGGTGTTCCGAGATTTGACATTCATTTGTATGATTTTTTTAGAAACTTTCAGAAAGTTCAGATTTGAAAAATTCCACGAAGTTCGAAATTGTCAACCCTGTTGTTAATCTTGCCGCCAAAGATGACTGCTCAAATATTTTTTGTTTCCGAGATATGACGTTTGTATTGAAACTTGAATTTTAAAATAAACGTTTCTAAATTTGAAATTCCCAACTCTTCGGGGGTTCTCTGGGTACTCTCAGAAGTTGCAGATCTTGACTCCAAGTTTGACATTGGAAAATTTTAAGATCCTAAATGATTTCCAAGTTCGAAATACTCAACACTATGGCGAGTGTTAATTTCAAATAAATACTTTCATCTTTTAAATTGTCGACTTTTTGTTCGGGTTATGTCAGGTTACTACCTGCAGATGCATATATGGCCTCTCATCCGAATTTTATTGCTCACATTTTTTCATGGAACTCACAGTTAAATTACGACAAAAGAATCTGATATTCAAAAATAATTACGCTGGATTATGAATCCCATTTGAATGGGGTTAGATGATTTTGCAATAGAATTTGTTTTTGTCGGCCATATTATGGTTTCGCTTACGAAGATCTGAAACTCAGTGGTTTTGGAGATTTGACCATTTTAGTTTAAAAAGTTTAAGTTGAAATTTTTTTATCGTTCAAATTTTGAAATTAAAAGCGTTGTTGGATTCCAATGTCTTTTTTACGGTTGCATTCATTTCGCTGTTATTTTCCATATTCACTAATCTGTTTGAAGCACCGGAGGTACGTTACGCGCTAGTTCCATTTAATGTTTTTTTTTTCTCGTATATAAAGATGCTTAACGGAGCTCTGTTGTATAAAAAGCAAGTATTGATTTGTAACAAAAAAATTTATCAAGTGTAAAGAGTTTTAGTTGATTTTTTTACCCGTTCATATTTCTCTGCGTATCTCCATAAATCAATGAAAATAATTTAACACTGTTATTATCCAGGGTGAAACCTGCAGCAGTTTGATATCACTTGAAAACGCCATCTGCGAAGAGGCAGTGGACTACCACAAGAAGAAACATACATTGCGACTTATCACCAAAGACGGCGGCGAGTACTTATTCGACTGCAAAAATGAAACCAATGCCAGGAACCTAATGCACGCGATAAATGAAGAGGCGGATCGAATTTCAGCAATGAAGTCTAACTACAACCAGACCCATTCGTCCACGGTGATGTCAGGTTATGGATCCCTTGAAAGACCGAATATTCCTCCGCCTCAGCCGCCCAGTAGTCTAGGAGCTACATTGGAACCTATCTCATCATCGAGTGGCCTTAGAGTGCAAACATCTCCTATATCTTCTCAAAGTAAGTGTCTGTTATAGGAAAAGTTCTGAAAAGAATATATATTTAGAAGGGAGTGGTCTGAGACGAGAGTGCTCAGAGACAGGGGCGGATCTAGGATACATAATCTGCCCTTTCTTCGAAAGTCGGAACAAAAAAGAGAGAATCCTTGTTGCGGAAATCCCCTTACAGTTCACAAAATACACAGTTTGGCCTCGTAATGTGTTTGTTTTAATCCAGTTTTTTTTTAAAATTTTTTTTCTTGTTTTGTTTTTATCCAAATTTTTTGTATTCTGCCCAAAATAACACAGCGCATCAGTTACTTATTATCAAATTCAGGGGCGGATCTAGGATTTTCTTGGGCACTTAAGCCCGTTTTTGGGCACTTAAGAAAAATTTTAGGGTCGGTCGGCCAAAAATGGAGTTCTGAAAAAGTATCAAAGGCGGGACCCCCCCCCCTAAATCCGCCCCTGCTCAGAGACGTCCGAAAACAGGCATAATTTGCCTAACGACGATCTCCCAGACTGGATTCTTCAAGTGATCATATATATAATTTATATCAATCCTTGTCAACCTATACTGGGAACAATTTATTAATGTTGTTTCTTGGTTTTTATGTGTCTGCCAAGGTCCAATTGACAAAACCGGTTTCTGACTTTTCAATTAACTCAAACTGGGTAGCAAAACTATTGGTTCTGGTCTCAAATCAATTCTCCAATTTGACCTGTTTGACAGCTTTGATTTGATTGCACCTGAAAATGGGTAGGAGTTATTGCATACTCTTTTGATCACTGAATGAAAATTGTTAACCAAACTGATTGTTAGGTAATCTTGATTCTAGATTGAAGAGTTTCCTGTTAGAAGTAGAAGCTAACGAAAAAATGGTCGCTTAGAACGTCTGCTTAGTTTAAGTTTTGGATGAGCGGTAATTCTCTCTTTGGTTGCCGCAGCAATAAATTTTGACAAGCATTTTGTTCTGAATCTAGTTTTCAGCTTATAATGCGATTTGGCAAAATAAGTTTCTGCTGTTGACTATACTTTTAAGAGTAATGAACGTATAGGTCTTGCCGATTTTTTTTCAGAAAAAAGTCCTAAAATGTGTCTCTAATAACTACAGATGTGCATTCATACGTACAGTGCTGATTTAAATTAACCGGACAAAACGCGGTAAACTTGAAATTTAAAACGCGTTTTTCTCAAATTAGGTTGAGTTTAGGAGAAAACTTATGAAGACAAAACTTGCTTAAAATTTTAGCAGAATTAATAGGGTGTAATTTGTTTCGCGAAGTTCGGGCCCAAAAGCTTACCCCAAAAATGGGTCATTTTGGCTTTTCTTATTTAATCAAAATTTACGCCAAAAATACCCAGTCGATCACAGACATAATTAGATCAAAATGAGCCCCTTACGTAGCCCAACAAACTTTAAAAAGGATATATTCTCCAAAACCTTGTATAAGTTAATTTATTTTGTTTGATAGACAAAAAAGGTCGTTTTTACTATATGAAATACCAACTATTTATTTAAAAACTATTTTTAAACGGTTTGCAAATTTTTTTTGGAGAATATACCCTTCTTAAAGTTTGTTGGGCTACGTGAAGTGCTCATTTTGATCCAATTATGTCTGTGATCGACTGGGTATTTTTGGCGTAATTTTTGATTAACTAAGAAAAGCCAAAATGACCCAATTTTGGGGTAAACTTTTGGGCCTGAATTTTACAAAAACAAATTACATCATATTAATTCATCTGAAATTCTGAGCAAGTTTTGTCTTATTAAGTTTTCACCTAAACTCAACCCAATTTGAGAAAAACGAGTTTTAAATTTCAAGTTTAGCTCGTTTTGTCCGGTTAATTTAAATCAGCACTGTATTGATGCATTTATGAATGCACTTAGGTATATATGCACTTTTTGAGTTCAATTGAAACTCATTTGCTGAAAGTGCCGTAAATAGCACTCTCCAAAAACGAACCGGGAAATGGCGCGAAAAAGCGTGAACGATTTATGATTTCTAGTTTCGGAAGTGGAATTTTAATTTTAGATTTCCAGCGGAATAAAAACTTTACCTATTGATCCAGTTTTCTCTAGCTGGGTTCATGTTATCCAAAAAGCGCCAATCATAAATTGTTCTAGAAATTCAAAGAGCTTAAAGGGTATCTAATATATTTTTTTTGAAATTCGAATGTTGAAATTTTTTAAAGAAAATCGTTTTTTTTTTCATGTTTACTTGCGTTCATTACTCTTGTTTATCCAATCTTCGATTGGCTATGTTTTCTGTGCTGATGAAACAATTTCATGTTGTCTTCTTAACATTGCATGTTTTTTTTATAGAAAAGGTTTTTCAGTGTTCAAGCGGAGCTCAATTGTCGCTCTACTGAAACAAAACGGAGAGCTAGTCGATTCTAATTTTGAAGTTCTCAGTGGAGTATATATTACAAATTAATTTAAAAGGCTTCTTTTTTTGTAATAAAAGTATACATTTACAATCATGTATTGTCATTTTAATTTTATTATTGTTCCGACGTTCCAAGAAATTGATAGATTAGTTGTGCGGTATTTTTCTCCGCACAAATTTTAATTCTCTTATTAACAGCTTTTTCCGAATTTTTAAACCATATTGGAAACTCTTTAGAAGCTATATGGAAGCTAATTTAGAAAATTCGAAAGATATTTCACTAAGAATCGGAGTTATCGAGTTTTTGTATACCCGGGGATTTAATTTGAGCCAAATTAAGGATTAATCGTCCAAATATAGTAATGCTAGACGTTAAATATCTGACTTTGCTTTTCGTTGTGTGTAAGGGGACCGTCAAAACAGCTTGCTTCTTAAAGTCATTTTATAGCAGAAAGTCTGAAATAACGCTGTACTAGAATAGCGAAATCTTTGCGCTTCACTTATTGTTGGGAGCACGTTCGGAGATTGATAGGTAAATATGGCGAACGGTTGATTTTTTTCGCATGAGTTAAGTTAGGAGGAGGCTTTTCAAGTGTGGTATCATATTTAAGCCTTATTTGTCATTTCTGAAAAGTTCTTCAGTGTCGAGAAAAATAGTCTGATAGACTCAATTTTCTGGTTATGATTGCCGACATAGGATCTGATAAAAGGGTAACCAATTTCATGTTACAATAGTATCTACTATTCATTTCAGCAGTAATTACTTAATTCCGAAGGTTTCGAGGTTGCACCCTAAAAATTTTTAAGGTTTTATTCGATTCAATTTGAAGGGATTTTAAAAATTATTTTGAGCTCATTGGAGTTATTTTTATACAACTCTGTTGGCTAGGCTTCTGGAATTGTTTGTTTTCAAATGCTTTTAGAAACTTCTATTAGATCGATGAACCTTTTAATGCTGAACTATCTAAAAATTTAATTTCAACTAACAAAACTGCATTCTGTTTAAGAATCTCAAACTAACTCTTCTGCTAGCGATCAACCTTCGCCTCCGCTGACTTTTTCTATGCTATCTCGCAATACACTTACAAACGGCTCCTTCAGAAAGCAAAACCAATGCGGAGAGATTACTCAAAGCTTCTCATCGACAAGTGTGAGCTCTAAAGGAGCTTTTGCACCTCCTTTACCACCTAAACAGTTTAGAGGTCAACTAAATTCAACTTCCTCGAATAGTTGGCAGACGCATGAAGTGAAGGAGTCTTTTCAAGTTACAAAAGTAACATCATTCAATGCAAAACACACCCCTGCCATAATAACTGCGAGTAATAAATTAGCTTCCATAACTCATGGATCAAATGCTGTTCCTCTTTCGCCCAATTTGCAAAGATCTAATTTTTCACAATCCTACAACTCGGGTATGTCAAGTAACGCGAATAAGAATCCGAGCTTCCCCAAAAGTACGAGCACGGGAAATTTCTCTTTGGGGCAAAGCTCGAACACAATTAGTCTCGAAGGATTCGGTGATAGACAAAGTAGTCAAAACTGGAGCTCGAGGAACCTTTCAAGTATTCCAGATGCCTCATTTGCCGAAATGGGAGAATCATCTGCACAGTATAGAAATAAGCTAAATTCCAGTTATGAATCTTTGAGCCGAATGGGAGATTATCCGTTTTACGAAGTGCCTCAACCTTCTTCTAACATAGCTGTTGAGACCAGTCTTGATTTCGCTTCTGCTCCTTCACAATGTAACCCTAGCTTTGATAACAAACAATATCTGTCCCCTAATTTTACACAAGACACTGCGTCGAATGCTAGCTCCCACACTATAGCTGTATCTTCGCTCAGTCCTACGTATAGTTATGGTAAAAGTATGAGTAATGGTAATAACAATTATACAGATGAAGATCAGCGCCAAATTTACCATCATCAGCAGCAACAACACAGACCTTCTTATTCCAACCAGTCAATAGCGAGTATGAGCACTGTGAATCCATCGCTTCCAAGGCGTTTCGACTCTATGGGCAGGCGACCGAATAGTGCCTCGCAGCGTCCTAGTCCTCCAGCTAACCCCCCTAACCACAACTTGAATGAACACAAACAGACATCGGGGTGGAAAACCGAAGCACCTTCTACTGCAAACAAACCTAACACAGCCAAACCTCGGCCCTCTTTTGAAACCCAAGTTTGATTTTCACAGGTTAATAACTTTTCTCACTTTTCCTTTAAAATTGTCAAGATGGGGCAAAAGTTTAGCTTATGTGAAACTAAAACGATTGAATGAAAAGCTTAGCTCTCCCAGCTTCTTTGCGATTATAATAGCTAGACGTTTACAAAAAGATAGACAAATGCTGCTTCCCTGTGTGATAGTATGCTATCAACTTAAGTGAATCACTCTAATATTGGTGTGCTTAGCTTGTGGGTTGAGTTAGATATAAAATTCCTTTTTCAAAAATGTCTTTTTTTTTGCTGTGATTGCATTACAATCTCTGCAATCAGCATTTAAGTTGAGTGATCAAGGAGCCATTCGAATTATGTTTAGCTACTCCCATTGAAACTGACTTGCCCTCAATACAAGAAACTCCTCCAGGCGAAGATTCTTTTGACGCTGACTCGTCCATCGCTAGTGGCGACGTTAGCTTCTCATCGCCTGCTTCTGTCGACGCATCCTCAAAGCTTAAGCACTCGCACTCGGTCGCTGGAACAACCCCCAACCCTCGGCACTCGAAACACTTCCAGGGCAAGTCGGGTATCAACCGACTCTTCAGTCTGAGCAGCAAGAAGAAATGAAAGCAGATTCTTCCATTTTGAGAACACGAGAAACGCAACGGGTTGACGAATCGGTGTATTTTTGCATTCGTTTCATCTTGCAATTTCCATCTTTTGACAGCTTTAATGCGCTGGTCTTTTTTAAAAAATTTTACCCGATTTGTACATAGTAATTTTCTTTGATCTGGCATTGAATTTAGAGATAAGTTCACATGCAGTAACTTCATTTTCCACTGAATTTTATATCAAATAATGTAATATAAATTATAAATGCTTATTTAGCTAATCACTTATTATTATGAAATAATTAGTGATCCTAGCTTGTACCATAGTTTATTGCTCCCGCTCACATTCGTACATTCCACAAGGTGTCTTTGTAATCATATCACATCTTTTATCCTAAAAAAACTTTCTGTTGTCCTTTATTTCAAGATTTGACCATTTTGCTTACGATTTAAATTAAAATTACAAGAGAGATTAAAGTTACAATTCAGCTTTGTATTAACATCCCAACTCTTTAGTTAATAGAGAACCAGCGCCCAGAAAATACGCGACGAAAGTTACGAAGGAATGTTTAAGAGTCGATGAACGTAGTTCAGACTCTTATATAGGTCGCGATGATTTTTTTGTTTTTTTTTTCAGGAAAGTATTAAAATTTCTTAAGGCTCAAATTTACTTCGCGGTTTGACTTTTGATTTCTTTTTTAGTTCAGTTTATGTCCTTTGTTAAAAGGCAGGCAAAATCCACCATCGAACACCAAAAGTTTAAAGGTCACGAAAAAGTTGATCGACTTCTTGTTTCGAAATTAGAATTTAATTTCCAGTTTTCCGAGAGAAAAAAGAAATTTATCTGTTGACCCATTTTTTTTAAAATTGGTTCAGTTTTGTCGAAAAAGTGCCGATCATAAATTATTCTAGAAATTTAAAGAGCGTTTAAGGGCATCTATTTTTTCTTTGAAGTTCGAAAGTTGAGATTTAAAAAAAACAATTCGGTATTCTTTTCTGTTTAATTGGGTTCATTGACTCTTTTCCAACTGTCTGTTGGCTATGTTTGTTTGGTTGGTTTTTTTTACAAAATAATTCTCAATCTGTAAATGAAAATATTACTTGTCCGAATTTTTCTTATACCATCTGAAAGATCGAAGTGTTTCATGAAATTGAAAGATAACTCGCCTGCGATGTTGTTTCGTTGAGTATATGGGTTTGAAAAATGCCTATTTGCGATAATGAGTCCTCGCTATATTGTCGGATATCGGTTTCAGTGTTGAAGTGAGTTTTCATTTTTTATGGTTATGCGCTGTTTTGGTTTTTGTTTCAGGAAATGTTCAATTGTATTCAAAAGTGTCGTCCTGAAAACTTTTTTCAAACATCTAGGTTAATTCAAATTGTATAGGTCGTGATGATTTTTTGTTTGGTTAGTAATCAGAAAAGTCTTGAAATTTGTTCAGTCTAACATTTGTTTTTCCGGGATTTGACTTTTGATTTCTTCTAAGTTCATCTCAATTAGTTCGTTATGAAGTGAAAGCAAGCTCTATTTAAACAGCAAAAGGGTAAAATTTGCGAAAAATGTGACGTACTGTACTTCTAGTTTCGAAACTGGATTTCAATTTTCAGATTTCCAGCGAAGTAAAAAATTTTACCTATTTTCAGTTGTCTCAAATGCGGTTAGTTTTGTCAAAAGAATGTCATTATGAAAATTGTTCGAGAATTTCAAAGAGCTTTAAGATCATTTATTTTTTTTTAAGAGTCAAAAAACTTAGTTCAGATTCTTATATAGGTCGTGATGAAAAGTGATAATATTTGTTCACGCTCAAATTTGAGTTTTCGCGGTTTGATCGATGATTTCTTTTTAAGTTAAGTGCTTTTCCATTGTTAAAAGGAGGACAAACTCCACTATTGAACAGCAAAAGCGTAGAGGTCACGAAAAACGTGATCGACTTCTAATTTCGAAAATGAAAATTATTTATCAGATTTCCCAGCGAAATAAAAGTTTCACCTATTGATCCAGTTTTCTCAAATTCGGTTTATTTTAACAAAAAAGTGTTCATCATAAACTGTTTCTTCAAATTCAAAGAAGTTTAAGGCCATCTATTTTTTTTCGAAATTCAAAAGTTGAAGATTTTTGAAAAACCAGTCGGTTTTTTTTCAGTTTCCTTGCGTTCATTGCTCTTTTTCAACTGTCAGTTGGCTATGTTCTATTGACATGCGTTCTTTGGCTCTTTTCCAAATGGCTTTCGGATGTTTTGTTTTGAGAATATTATTTTGAAAATTTTGAGAATATATTTTTGAAATTACTTGATCGCAATCGAAAGTTCTCTGCTATATGTCCAGCAATCTGGTATCTTTCTAATAGTTGAATTTCTTATATGAATTCAATTCGATCATAGTAACAAATTCCAAAGTCATAAAAGAGAGGGGGAATGCGCTAACAGCAAAGGAACAAAGGAGCACCAGAATTGGGAATGCAAAAAACGTAATAAACTGCACAAGACTAGATGGCCCGGCTGACAATCATAGTGGCGTTTCCTCTCATGAGGCACACTGAGAGGCTCTGGAGAAGGCGAACTGGGGCAACACGAGCGTCACGTGAACCAGAACGTCTGGCATCAGCGAGGATAGCAACTGACTTGAGGGTTTTGATAGCTAAAGCGGACCAACCCCTGAGCGTTTCGACTGCTAACGGGAAAAAACTGATTCCTTGTTCCTCACAGTTCTAATAGATATTAATTTTCAAAATAGACATAATTTTTTTCTCACGCGTTGTCCTTTTTTGTTATTGTCTTGCTCCGATATACCGTTTTACTGCTTGGTTATGAAGTGCGTCTACATCTGTGCTCCAAATTTGAGGCCTTTTACTTAAAGTTTTTCTGATCCCTCTGTTTGAAATGAACCTTTTTGAATATCTGTTAATTACTTTCAGGCTTTCATTCTGTCTTTTCAAAAACTAACGATATTGATCTCATATACTGAAAAATTGTCTTTTTCAAATTTTCTGTGCCATTACGCTTGCGATTAGGAAGCGTTATAAAACGGAATACATACTTTTTCCGCGTCAATAAAAAGTTTACCTATTGATCCAGTTTTCTCTAGTTGGGTTCATATTATTAAAACAGGGCCAATCATAAATTGTTCTCAAAATTCAAAGACCTTAACGGACACTATTTTTTTTCTTCGATTGGCTTTGTTTAGAAAGCGCAATCAAATCTTAATAAAGATTTGCTGGTACTTGATTTTTTCTGCAATAATTACTGAATCATTTGATGGCTTGATCAATATATTCTGCCGATTCTGCTTTGAGATAACTTCAATACCTGGAGATTTGAGGGTTCGAATCCGGTTCTGAAAGTTTGCTGCCCAAATAATAGTCAATGGCATAATATTTGTTTTTTTATTTTTGTTGGCTGCCAAGCCACAGCACGGGCTTTTTAGGCTATTTTCCCTATACAGTCGAATCCATATAAAAAACTCGTACGGGGTCAAGTGTACTTTTAAATTAAAGCTTTTTCATTCGTAATTCAGAATCCACTAAAAATTTCTAAAACGTTGTTTCCATGTCCAGAAAAATTCGTAAAATTGTTTTATTTCAGACTAAATTACATGAAAGTATTGGGTTTTCAATTGAACTCTACAGTTTTTCCCTCGATTCGACCCCTTGCCGACCCAAAGGGTCCTGACCTGAAATGTTTTCTAAAGGCGCCTTTGGCGCCAATTTTTACTAATTATGAGGAGCGCGCGCCGAAAAAACGCGATTTTTGGTCGAAATTTTCCTGAAAGTGCCTAAAAACGCCATTTTTTAAAAAAATTTGCCTGCGGCGCAGAAAATTTCGTCAAATTAGGGTCTTTATAGCGGTTTAGAAAAGCCAAGAAATCAGTTTGGTCGACCTAAAAAAAAGGTCGACAAAATTTTAAAAAATTTTTTGAAAATCCGCCCCCCCCCTCTCGAGAAATTCCTAGATCCGCGCCTGGTCTATCTATATCTATATCTATCTATCTATACTATATTTAAATGCGAGTGACAGCTATCTCCCATTTTAAGCGTAATAATTTTGCATGTTTAACGAAAGAATTTTTTCATGTTTACGCTATATCATATATTGCAATGCTTATGAAAATTTTTCAATTAGTTTTCCGCAAGGTCATTAATTTTTCAGTAATTTTTTTGAAGCCAAATTAAGTCTGTCTGTATACCTGCTTTTTTAATTAATTTGATTATATCTGTCTACCCGTCTCCTAATTTTTTAATTTTCTTTTTGGTTTCGACGATTCAGTTCAAAATAGTACTACTGTCAATCGGTTGTCTCCAATCTTTCTTTCTCTTTATCTGGATTTTCTGTCTTTTTTGTGTCTTTTTTTCGATCCTTCTTTTTCGATCTTTTCTATTTTTTTCTATCTGTTTTTTTTTTAAATCTTCTCTGTCTTTTTTTCGATCTTTTTATCTTTTTTCGTCTTTTTTTTCTATTCTTCTTTTTCGATCTTATCTTTTTTTTCTAACTTTTCTGTTTTTTTTTCGATCCTTCTTTTTCGATCTTTTCTTAGATTTTTTTCTGTCTTTTTTTCGATCCTTCTTTTTTCATCTTTATCTTTCTTCTTCTATCTTTCTTTTTTATCTTTTCTATCACTTTTTATATATCACCTGCCTCCAATTATGACTGCTCAAATCCTTGTAGTTTTCGAGATGACTTTTTGACTTTTTGAGATGATTTTTTGTAATTTTTACAAATTTGGATTAATTGAAAAACTTTGCCCTCTAGTTGGGTGCTGTAAGGGTACTCTCAGGGGTTGCGAATCTTGCTTCCAAATGTGACTGCTCAAATCCTTGTAGTTTTCGAGATCTGACGTTTATTTTGTAATTTTTCAAAAAAAATTCAGAAAACTTAACATTTTTTTTCTTCAAAATTTAAAATTCCAAACCCTATTTTAAAATTACTCTCAGAGGTTGCGAACCTAGCCTCTTTTTAGGATTGCTCAAATCTTTCTTGTTTTCCAGATATGAAATTTTTTGTTTTTGTTTTTTTCAAAAAGTTTTCCGAAAAATTAAACGAATTTTTTTCTTCAAAATTCGAAATTACCACCCCTGTAGTTCGAGGCTATCCGAGTACTCTCAGGGTTTGCGAGCCCTGCATCTTATTAGGAATACTCAAATTCTTACCCTGTAGTTGGGTGCTGTCTGGGTACTCATAGTTGTTGCAAATCTTGCCGCCAAATATGACTGCTCAAATCCTTATAGTTTTCGAGATCAAGTTTTCATGGTTTTTTCAAAATTTTCAGTTAACTTAGATTTAGAAAAATTCACTAAATTTAAATATCCCAACCCTGTAATTGGGTCCTGTCAGAGTAATCTCAAAGATTGTTACTCTTGCCTCCAAATATGACTGTCCAAATCCTTGTAGTTTTCGAGATATGACGTTTTTTGTGATTTTTTTCAAACAAATTTTCAGAAAACTTACATTAATTTTTTTTTGCAAAATCTGAAGTTCCCAACCCTGTAGTTGGGTCTTGTCAGAGTAATCTCAAAGATTGTTACTCTTGCCTCCAAATATGACTGCTCAATTTTTTGTAGTTTTCGAGATATGACGTTTTTTGTGATTTTTTCGAAAAATTTTCAGAAAACTTAAATTATAAGTTTTTAAAAATCTGAATTTCCCAACCGTGTAGTTAGGTCGTGTCAAAGTACTCTCAAAAATTGCGAATCTTGCCTCCAAGTGTGACTGCCCAAATTTTACTAGTTTTTGAGATATGACGTTTTTTGTGATTTTTCATAAATCTTCAGAAAACTTAAATTACTATTATTCTTTAAAAATCTGAAATTCCCAACCCTGTAGTTAGGTACTGTCAGAGTACTATCAAGGATCGCGAATCTTGCCTCCAAATATGATTGCTCAAATCCTTGTAGTTTTCGAGATATCATGTTTTTTGTGATTTTTTCAAAAATGTTCAGAAAATTTTAATTCTTTCTCCAAATTTGAAATTCCCAACATTGTAGTTGGGTGCTGCCAGGGTACTCTCAGGAGTTTTAAATCTGGCCTCCGAAACTGACCACTCAATTATTTGTACTTTTCGAGATATGACGTTTTCGAGATATGACGATTTGACGGAAAATAGAATTAAAATTTTTTATAAAATATGAAATTACCAACCATGTAATTGGGTGCTGTCAGAGTACACTAAAAGCCTGCAGATCTGGTTTCCAATATATGCGGTTTTTCATAAGTTGTAAAAAGTTCGAAGCACCGGCGGTGCGTTACACTAGTTGATTTTGATTATCTGACTAGGCATGTTTTTGTATTTTTCTAGATTTTTATTCCGCTGTTTTTGAAGTTTTTAAGTTGAAACGAATAAAATGATTTTCAGTTATAATGATTTAAATTTTTTTTTAATCAAAGAATTGTCAATCACAAATTGTTCATGAAATTCAAAGACTTTTAGCCTTCTATATTTTTTTCTTCGAAATTGGATTGTTTTTCAAAAATTTTCAATCATTTTTTTGTTTTGTTTTTTGTTCTAAACTTTTTCAACCTTCTGTTGGCTATCTTTCCGCTGGTCTGCGAAGTGCAGGTTAGCCTCTGTGTTTTAAAATTTGCAGCCTGAGTTGAAGTTCTTCTGATTTTTCTGTTTTCTAGTCAGTAATTTTGAATATTTTTTAAAAACGTTTCAGGCTTTTAGTTCATTCAATTTAAAACAATCATCATGATCATACGCAACCATATTTCACTTAGATAAAAAAATCTTTATGATGTAATCCTGTAATGGTACATACAATTGAGTTCCTGGAGTTGATCAGATTTTTTTTAAAATAAGCATAGCTAGTTGTTGCTCTGACCACAATATGAAATCACAATAGCTGCTAAATACTTCGACAATAAAAAATAATGATAGCCGGTTACTATCAAGTAGCTCAGAACGTTCCGATCATATTCCTAAATAATATTTTAAAGTTTTTCAAATTTAGTGTCCTTTTCTGCGTGGTGTGATAAAAGACCTAACGAAAAAATTGAAATAAGGCAAACTTGATAGTCATAGTAAAATGGGCCAATTGGAAAACAGTTTTTATAGAGAAAAAATGTTAATAAATAGTAAAAATTGACGATGTTCGTATTTGTCCGATCCAAATTTAACCGAAAATTTTGAATTTATTATGAAATGTGTAAAACATGTGAGAAATTGTTTCAGATTTGTTGTGATTTTGTTGTTTGAATATCATTGATGATTATTTTTTTGCTATTCTGGAATGAATCAAGCCAGAGCTAAACTTCTGTTGAAACAAGCTGTAATTCAAGCTCAAAGAAGAACCGTAAGACGAGAACAATGGAGAGTAGAAGATCTCAAATGTGCAATCTGTTTGTTGCTACCAATTGATCCTTGTAGAATCATTCCATGCGGCCACTCATTCTGCAACATTTGTCTATCAACATGGTTGAAAACTCTTAATCATTCCTGTCCAGTTTGTCGAGGAATGCCGAAAAAGTTCATAAAAGATAAAATTCTTAGGGCGAAGACAGAAATCGTTGTGCGAAAATTGAATGCGCGCGGGAAATCGGACCTGGGATACAAGCGTCGTTTTTCGTGGTACGATAGTCAGTGTTCTGTTATCAAGCAAAACATGCCAATAAAATCGTTGAACCGAATAGCTGCGAAAAATTTTGTGAAAATATTACAAAAGTTTCCGGCTTTTGTGAGGGACGCCGTACAACGAGCTCAGAGAAATGTGTTGGAAATGAGTAGAACGCCAGAGGAGTTAGTTCTTCATGTAAACAATTTCACGACTACTATGAACTCGCTGACCGATGAAATGATGGATCTTACCAACCAGATAAATAGGATAATTGAAACCTTGGTTAATGATAGCAGCTACGAAACATCTGACGAAGATGAGTGAATCTTTGAGTTAAAAAACAGAAATCGCATTGAAATATTTTGTTGAAATTGAATATTGTCGTTCTAAACTGGTTAAATTCAGTTTTTTTCTTATTAATTTTGAGTCGGAAATGATTACATGGACTTTGTTCAATTTTGCTCTTTCAAGAACTTTGGAATAGCAATTTTTGTCGAATATTGAAGTCATAGTTTTTTGTTGCGTATTATGAAATACATCACAGAAGTTGCTGAGGGTATAGCAAGTTATCACTCACTTTTCTGCAACAGATCCGGATTGAGATGAAGTTTGTCTGAAAATTTACTCGTTTCAGGTAATTATGAATGTGGACGACGCAAGATACCTTAAAAAGTAAGCCAATAATGAAATCCTATTCAAATACCTAATTTAAACAAATCAAATCTTGTGAATATGGCATTTTTGAAACTCCTTTCAAAGTGTTAATGAACCACGCGAAGGCATTTATTTAGGTCTTGTGCTTTCAGGAATACGTCTTGGGTCTTTCTTCGCTGTTTGACTTCTGGTTTTTAAATTCATTTTGAATTAACTTGCTTAGAGGAAGGCAAATTACGCTCTTTAATTAGTAAAGTGCAATATGTGCAAAAAAAAACAGGGGAAAAAGTTTCAAAGTTTGATTTTAATTTTATTAATGTAACATTAGGGAATAAAATTATTATCTATTGACCCTGTGTTCCTATAATTGGATTGGTTTATCAAAAAAAGTCACTCATAAAAGATTTTTAAAATCCAGAAAGCTTCAATTTGATGTATATTTTTTCGAACTGCGAACGTTATAAATGTTTAGAGAAAAGCAATTTTTTTTGAGTTTCTTGACACTAACGTTTTGTTGGCTATGTTTGTAAATATCCGTTTAGAAACATGTTTGTAAATATCCGTAATTATCTGTTTTTCCTCAGATTAATGTCTCAATTAGAAATTACATAGACAACCTTAAGATGATGCCGAAGTAACATAGAACCTTATCAGTTTGGCGGAAGCTCATTGGTTACCATTCCCGAAAAACAAATTTTTCAATGTTTTCTAATTACATTTCAAATGGCAGACCCAAAATGTTGAACATTTTCGTTTGCTATGCAGCTCAGTGAAAATTAGCAGAAGGTAGAGGTGGTACGAGAGACTAAAGTTGAGCAAAAAATTGATTGATTTATTGCACTAATCCTCATTCCTTCACTTGCTTTGAAAGATTTATATCATATTAACGACATTGCAGTGTCGTGTTATCAGGAACTAGACGTTTTTTTTTCGGTATTAATTGTTCGCATACATTTTTTTGGTAATAGTTCAGCTAATCTTTTAGTGTAGTGGTAGAGCGCCTGCTTGGGGCTCCAATGTTCCGGCCTAAATCAAGTTTTTGGACTATCGGGTGCCTGACTATCTTCTCTCGGCTCAGTTACCGCGCTCGTAACATTGAATAACATTTTTAAAAACTGTTTAACAGCGTCGTCTTTCAATTTTTATATTCGGAATGTTGCTCATGAGGTCACTGCTGGTTTTGCTAAATATTTGAATTGTTGCTAAATATTGAAAAGAATATATTGAAAGTTTTCAGCGCATTTAAAGGTAATTTTCATTTTGGGCTTTCTATTTTATTCATAGTTAGTAAAAGATATCAGATGAGTGCATCAATCTGCTTTAGACTGATCTGTCCAGTAAGAATCTGTCTGCGGAGGTTGATCTTGTTCAAACAAGATGGTAGCTGCAAACAAGACTGCTCGTGTATCAGGGCCGAGCCCTGAATGTTCCGACTGCACTTTTAGCTCAATTGAAATCTGTTTTTGGGTGAAAAATGGACTAACTATTAATATGAAAAAACAAAAAAAATTTTGTCAGTTTTTTCAATTTATTCCCCACAAGCTAACGTGAATTACAAGGGATGTATGCAGCGTCTTTCCTAATAAAAAGACTAAATGGTTTGCCTCAGTTCAATTTGGAATGCATTAATCCGCCGCTTACGCGTGTTGTAAGAAACATCGCGCGTTGCTTAGCCCAACTTCAAACCCATTTTCAAACCCCCATAACTTTCAAAAAAAATGATAACAGGTGAGATCTTTTGTTTACATTTGAGCTCCGGATAGCAATATTTTTCAGTCGAACATTTGAAAATTGACTGAATGAAAAAGACCGGCGCAAGCATAATTATTACGTTTTCTTCGAAAGTCGAATTGCTAATCCTGCAGCCAAGTATTTCGAGGTCTGCTGTTTAATTTTTATTTTGTAATATAAATGTTTAACAAGACGTTTTTAAAAATCGATCATGTTCTCCGATTTATTTTTTTGGCCTTACGTCGTGATTGTTCCGACTTTCGAAGAAAGTGAAGAATATATATGCTCGTGGTGGTTTTTTTTATTCAGACGAATTTCACTAAATTCTTCGCTCCCTCGGGAGCTCGATCTCTTAAATTTGCATGTGCCCAGCTGTAATGACCCGAACTACAAAATGATTCCAAATTGATTTGAGGTGGCTAAGTGGTCTTAATTATTCCATACACGACATTAATTACATATTATCAGCTTAAATTTCACATTTTTGCGAATAATTGATTTACTAAAAACCATTCGATACCAATTAAAGGGCAGTCGGGAACAGTCAAGGCTTTGCCCTGATACAAGCACTTTTGTTTTTATTATTTTGTCTGCCAGCTGCTTTTGTTGAGTTTAAATTTATTTTCTTTGAAAAATTGTTTTCGCATTTTCAAAGTTCTCTCTGTCTCAAGTGATGTGATGCTCCGCTTTACTTCTAGTTTAGAATATAGTTTAAAAAGCGAAAATGTTCGGACCGTTTTTTTTAAATGAAGAAAACTTTTGAGAAAGAAATGTTGAATTTTGCCAAAAAAAAAAACAGGTTTCTTTAAGATGTCAAACTTGTTAACCGTTCATTTCGAGCATATTTTTTTGCTTGGCTTTTGTTATTTTTAACTTAACTTGAAATTGTGTCGTTGCTTCTTTCGTTTCTCTTTAGTTGCCTTTGTTTTTGTCTAAGACTATCTTGCTTGTAGGAGATAATTTTTTGGCTAAATTTTGGAAAAAATTATTTTCGAATTTTCGTTTTTTCTTAAGAATTTTTATTGTTTTCAGTGTACCAAGTGATGCGATGTTCAATTTTGCTTTTGTTTTAAAACATAGTTAAATATGCGAAAATATTCTGGCCGTTTCTCGAAATGAAGAAAACTTTTTGGAAAGCAAGGTTGAATTTTGCCAAAAAAAAAACAGGTTTCTTTAAGATGTCAAGGTTGCTAACCGTTCGTTTCGAGTATTTTTTGCTTGGTTTTTTTTTTACTTTACTTGCAATTGTGTCGTTCCTTTTTCCCTTTTTTTATTTCAAGGGCTACCTTTGTTTTTGTTTAAGATTATCTTACTTTTTTAGGAGATCATTTTTTGGCTGGATTTTGGAAAAATGTTTGAAAAGTTGTTTTCGATTTTTCATTTTTTCTTTTAGCAGTTCAATCTTTTCTGTGTCTCAAGTGGTGCCATGATCTGCTTTGCTTTTCATTTTAAAACATAGTTTAAAAAGCGAAATTATTCTGACCGTTTTTTTTGAATTGAAAACTTTTTTTGGAAATAACGAATAAAGACTGAAAAGTTCTCAATATGATATATCTACCCAAAACCAACCGTGCTCGGAACACAAACATGGAGTATGTTAAGACTAAGAACATGTGTATAGGAAAGTAAAGTCGTGTGGCGTGGATGTACACCCTACGGAGAAGGCGCTGGTGGTGCAATATGAAGTGGAGGCGACCATTCTGGGGGAGCTAGGAGACCCCATGCTCGGAGAGAGGAAGAACTGTACCAAGACGTAGGTCAACTCACACATCTCTTGCATCATTAGAATGAAGCTTTGAATAGTTACCAACATAGATCTCAAGGCACAAGATGATTTGGGAACCAGGGCATATATACAATGTTCAGCATTAATGGTATCAGGGGTATATGTTTTTGCTACTCAGGGTTTCAAGCGTGCAATCATGAAAACGTTTTGCTGTTAAAATATTTCTGAAACTTTTTGAACTGAAATCATCCTAGAAAGTAGCAAAAAGTAACCTAGCAGCATAAAAATTTCCTATTGTCGATCGGAGTATAAATGTTGAGTAACTTCCGCAGTTCATTATTTTCGCCATTTTACTTTACCTTCTAAAGATTCCCCATGCTGGAGTAACGACTGAAAAAATTGAAGCTGCAACAAATATTAAATCTAGCAACAAACCAGCACGTCCCCGCTGCAATACTTTTGCTCCATCATATTTTGAATTTTCATTAAGTTAATCGTTGCATTTGTCGTGCAGCATCCGGGTGAAGAATCTGACGGAGAGTACTGACGTTAAGACGTTGAGTGAGGAGATAGTGAACATGTGCAAACTCATTCCTCAGAACAAACAGCCAGAAGTGGAACAGCTTCTCTTCTACCTCCAGAACAGGAAGGACAACCCAGGTAACACTGATAATCGGGCTTCATCTCATTTTTGTTCAAAACGATGGCATAAGAAAAGACTCATCTTGATGCCCTATAGTCAAGACCCATTGCAGTTATCTTCAAATTATATGTCAAACTAAATTGAATCTACACGGAGCGGAAGCTTCCATCATTGTCCGTCACCTTATCTTACCTTATTTTTCTGTGGTAAATTTAATTCCATTCTCGCATTTTTACGAAAACTTCACATTTGTCACGAAAATTCAAATACCGATCATAATTTTAAATCCAGACTCTCGTCACAAAACTTTATTAAATTTAAGATTGGAGTTCTGGCTCCATGATGATCGATTTTATTTAACATAATTTCGGCAATGAGTACCATCAAAAAATTTAGATAAGTTTGACAAAGAACGAAAATTAATTATGAAATAGATTTATGTAATCTCCTGCAGCTATCAGCCTGTGGGACCACCGTCTAACATAAAATGACGGTGACGGTGGAGAATTTGGCGTCTCATTCTTGTTGAACTGTTGTTTGCACTCAAGTTCATAGACACCTATGTGTAAATAATTTCGTGCAGCGTAAGTTTGATGAACTCTTTGAGAAAGATAACATTTTCAGTTTCCAAACCCGGGTTGTGTTTGGCCGGTTGCCTATTAATGTCCATTAATTTATCGTGGTAATGCTGTAGGTCAGTTTAGATCCATCAACCAATGAGATATTACTTAGGAATGTTTCAGCTGCGGTTGCGAAGAACGTGAACAAGTTGGAGGCGCCTTCGCTGGAGGGCACTGAGGTTAATGAAGTGGCAAACCTGAACGATCTGGACGACTACTGTGACCTGATGTACGAGGACATACCAGAGAAGGTGAGGGGCACTGCGCTCATTCTTCAACTAGCCAGGAACCCAGACAACCTCGAGGAAATACTGCAGAATGGTAAGTCAATCATACGTTACATATTTGCATACTAAGGTTTGCCTTGTTGTTCGAAAGTATCTAAAATCACCAATGAGGCACAAAAAGAGTAACAAGGTTTGAATTAGGTGTCAAACATTAGCAAATGGTGTATCTGACATTAATGTATCGCGCAATATATTCCAAGGAACAGGATATCATCCTGTATAGTTTTTTGAGCCTGAATATCACACAATAATTGACTAATTTGAGACCACAATTGGCAAATTGGAGCGCCTTTACGATAAATCTAGAGTAATTGAATTATTAGACATATTGTAATCATTTCTTCGTTTGTTTCTAGAGACAGTGATTACTGCGGTGGCGCGTGTGCTGCGTGAAGACTGGAAGAAGGACATGGATCTGGCCATCAACATCATCTACATCTTCTTCTGCTTCTCTTCCTTTTCTAACTTCCACGGACTCATTCATCACTTCAAGATAGGCGCACTATGTGTAGAGGTGAGAGTAGCTCTTTGTTTTTTAACAAGTGCGAGTATGAGCAGCATATGAGGCTTAAGTTAAATTATTTTAAATCGCTTGGTAAAGGGGCTTTTTAATCGCACTATTTCGAAGGCGAATTCAGGTATTTGAAAACTTTACAGGAGCATGTACCCAGTGATACTATCTTAAGACAATCAGACCTGAGGTGTTTAAACTGCGGTTTAGATTGGTTCATTTATTCCCCATTAGAGTGGTGGTGTCGGCCGTTTGCTGCGATAACCACAAGGTATTTACAATAGCCATCAGCTAGCGATTTTTTTTCTAACCTAATTCGCAAATTTAACTGTTCTTTGAATATGGAAAGTGTTCTTATTGCAATTTATAGAGCTTCTTTTTGTCGTGTTCTCGCTATAGTGTTTGCGAAGCAAAGCTTTGCCTCAGTGTTTAATAACTGCTCGTGCCTCTGGACTGGCAAGCACGCAGCTCGAATCAGCCCGATTTCAAACTTTAAACGTTTTCGTAGAACAAGTTAAAACAATGGGACAAAATTTGCAATTATTTTGAATAATTTGACATATCGGTCAGTTTGTTATTTGACGAATTCTGTCGAACAAATAGAATGGAAAGGGACAAAGTTTCTTTAGCCCAGTGTAATTGTGTGGCTTTTTTTGAATCATTCTTCTTTTGTTTTGGTGTACGATAATAACTAATGTAATTTGTTGTTTGTGTTGTGTTAAAGATAGTGGAAACAGAAATAGAGAAGTTTGAGCAGTGGCAGCAGGACTTCCTGAAGAAGAAGAACAGCAGCAGTGTCAAACAGAAGGACCTCGATAAACTCACTGCCAAGTTCGACGCGCTCAAGAAGAAGCAGGAACAACTGCTCAGAGGTGCGTCGAATGGGATAGTTCAGTACTGCTACTTTTGACATGAGGCTTTGGGAAAATATAGTTTTTATTTTGAAGGCCGGCTATTTTCATTTTTCGGGCTGTGGCAACTAGAATGACTCTTTTTTCAAAAACAAAATTACGTTTAGGGTTTTTTCGAAGGCTTAGAGCATATATCACGTTTTTCTTCTCAAAAATTGGTCCAAAGAGCAGTCGGTCAAAAGCGAATGTGGGATGGGGGCAAACTATTGTGTTACACTGCATTTTCACTTTTTTCTAAGCTCAGTAACATTTTTTGGTGTTCAATTTCTGTCTGCAGTGTAAATCACAATCGATGCCGAACATTTTGATGCAGGCTATTATTAAGCACGCGAGCTAGCGTAGTGTAATAGTATGACTCTAATTTTTCCCACTCAAACTTGTAAATAAAAGTATTTATTTGGTGGCAATTTTGCTATAGTCACGATCTGAAGCAGTAGAATTTTGACTTTTCTACTTTATTCGTGGCTACTGTTTACACTAGCGTCAGCTTAGTGTATTATTCATAGCCTTTTTTTTCAAACCGCAAGAAGTCGCAAATATTGGTGCCACTTTTGAGGCAGCTGTAGAGCTTTTTGGTAGCATGCGTTTGGACATTTGAATAGCAATAAGATAACTTAGTTTCTTGCAATTTAATTTCATCAAAGGAATCGAAAAAATCCATTTGTTTCTAACAACATAACTCATTAAAAACTCGGTTTCAGAAATTTTCAAACTCAATATATCTCGCAATTTTTGGCTATTTGTATTTGGTGCCACGTTTGCTGAATTGCATTGGCAATTTATTAGCATATTTAGCTGCTGTGTTCGTGACTAGTGTTTGTTGGTGGTTAAGTGTACGTGGCTGAGTGGTTAGTGTATGAGACTCAAAATCTCTTGATTGTTGTAGGTCGCAGATCGAATCCTAGACCTAGAGGAATTTTTGCTAATTCGAGGCTTGTTTCTATTTTTTCGTATTGCATATTCTAGAGCTCCTTTTTTGTCGTGTTCTTGCTAGTGTTTGCGAAGTGAAGCATCGCCTCTATGTTTCAAGCTATCGTGATACAGATGGATGGACGTGAGAGTCTTATTCAGCAGATCGCAGGTTCAATTCGCTAGCAGCAATTGTTTTTATTGGGAGTCGATGACCGTAGTGAAGACTCTTATTTAGGCAGTCGTGATGTTTTTTCAGGAAAACAATTTGTGCACGATCATTTTTAATTTGTCGCGATTAGAGTTGTGATTTCTTTTAAGTTCAGTGCATTTCTATTGTTTAAAGAGTGATTTCTTTTAAGTTTAGTGTATTTCTATTGTTAAAAGAAAGGCAAACTCCACTATCGAACAGCAAAATTGTGAAGGTAACAAAAAAAAATAGTGATCGACTTCTAATTTCGAAAGTGGGTTTCAGGTTTCGGAGTAAATTATTCATTAATCCATTTTTCTCAAATTTGGTTAATTCTATCAAAAAAACTGATGATCATAAAGTGTTTTTTTATATTCAGAGAGCTTTAAACTCATGTTTTCTCTTTCAAATCGAACGTTGAAGTGTTTTCAAGACATGTCGGTATCTTTTTCTGTTTTCAAATTGTCTGTTGGCTGTTTTCTTTTACTTTTAGAGCTGCTTCGCTTGTGCTTGCGGCTTCGCCTCTATTTTATTGTTCCTATTCACGCAATATCTGTGCTCGGTCTACTTTTTTCAGATCTATCCACACAAAGTCTCCGTGGTAGCAGCGTTATCGGTAATATTTTGTTAAATATGCGAAGGGCAGTTGTGTTTTTTTACGCTTTGTGTCGTGTTTTTTTTTTCTAATTTAAATTATTATTGGCAATCGAAAAAAATTGACGATTTTGATCTGAATTAATGTGATTGAAGCTCTGATTATTTTGTTCTGATTTTCGAGTAACACTTGTGTTGAGAGTGGTTTTTGCTACAAAAAATATTTTTGGGCTTAACATTTTTTGACTGATTAAGAGTCGATGAACAGAGTTTCTCAGGAGAAGTCTCGTTGTTTTCTTGTTTTTCAGGAAAAGTCTTCAAATTTGTTCAGGCTCAAATTTACGGTTTCGCGGTTAAACTTTCGATTTCCTTTTTAATTCATTTCTTTTACTTTGTTAAAAGCCAAGCAAAAGCAAATTCCACTATCGAACAGCAAAAGTGTAAAGGTCACGAAAAACGTGATCGACTTCTAGTTTCGAATAAGGAATTTAATTTTCAGATTTCTCAGAGAAATAAAAGTTTTAAATGTTGATACAGTTTTCTCAAATTGAATTAAATTTATCAAAAAATGTTAATCATAAATTGTTTTAGAAGTTCTAAGAGCTGCAAGTCAATCTTTGAAGTGCGAAAGTTGAGATTTTTTCTTAAAGTAAGTCCATTTTTTTCTGTTTACTTGCGTTGCTTGACTTTTTTCCAACTGTTTATTGGCTAAGCTGTATTTTTGCATTTCTAAATGATAGAACACTAGGAGCAAAAAGTCTATTGAATAAGTTGCTCAAATTTGTTTAGTCTTGGTAAATATACCATATAACTCTTTAAGTTTCTACCATATAACTCATTAAGTTTCGGTAATGTTATTTTTTTCAATTCTGTTGGGCACGTGGTTTGTTTTTTTTTTAATTCAACGGAAGTCTAAAACTTGAGTTCTAGGAAATCATTTAGTTCATGGACTCTGCCAACAGTTCATTGACTTCATATTTTGTTTTTCATTTTTGGTGTTCCCTAACTTTTGCATGTCAATTTGTGTCTGTGTTGTTCTAGTGACGCTGTACCTGCTGTTGAACATCAGTGAGGAGGAGAAAGTGGAAGTGAAGATGAGGAACAAGGGCATGGTGTCTCTGTTGACCACTCTGCTGGAGAGGAGACACAACCCAGACCTCCTCATGCTAGTAGTCTCATTCCTTAAGAAACTCTCCGTCTACAAAGAGAACAAGGATCAAATGGTGCGTCAATTCAATCATAAATCTATTTAGTTCACCTTCACTTTTTTCACAATATGTTCAGTTTATAGACGAATGAAATTTTTTCAGATTAATGGTCATTTTCAGATTCGTTTTTGCAAAAATTAATTGTTAGTTTAAATGTAGGATGTTAGGGATTTCGGATTTCATAAGATTATATTTTTTCCGTTTGTTTTAGAAACAGCTGAACATAGTGGAAAAGCTTTCGAAGCTGGTGACGGAGTCTAATCATGAAGTAAGTCTAAGTATTTTAAAAAGGGGTTCAAAGTTCATGCTATTACCAATTTGATTGTATGCATATGGATATTAAAAAATTAATTCCAATTTGATTGTATGCTCGAATTCGATTGTATTGTATTGTTGATCTAAAAAAAAAGAATTCAGTGTGAGCAAAATATATGCCTTCTAAAATAAAGAGTTTCTCGCTTTTGAGCATAATTAGTCTCCTATTGTATGATATCTAGAAGAAGAATAGAATAGAATGAAATGTAAGGATGTTTTTAAATGGAGCTTTAAATGGCTCTGTTTTTAATGTAAGAATAAAATAGTTAATGGTTTGAAAATAGTTCATGGTTTGAATGAAACAGATAATGGTTTGTTAGGATCTTCTGAACTTGACTCTTCGCCTGCTGCTCAACCTGTCATTTGACACTGACTTGAGACAGTCTGTGGCGAAGGGGGGCATGTTGCCCTCATTGGTCAAACTGATTGGCCACGAGTACCACCACTCAACTGTTCTGCTGCTCCTGTACCAAATCAGTATTGAAGACCGATTCAAGGCACTCTTCACTTACACTGACTGCATACCAATTGTAAGTCTCGCAATTTGATCGAATCAATAGTCGTTGAATGAGGAATGATTTTTCCCTGAGAATTTTGAAAACGTGGGAACTTTTGAAAAATCAGTTTAAAATAAGAATCGAACACTTTAATGATTTAAAACAGCCAATGTGACCAGGAACATTTTATTCAGGTGATGCGACTGTTGTTGGAAAACCCACAAGAGAAAGCAGACTTGGAGCTCATCTCACTCTGCATAAATTTGGCGTGCAATGTACGAAATGCGAAGCTCATCTGCGACAACAAAGGGTTGAAGTTGCTGATGAAGAGAGCCTTCAAGTTCAAGGACAGCTTCATTCTCAAGATGATCAGAAATATCTCGGAACATTCTTCCTTGAAACCTTTGTTTGTGGTAAGTCTCTGCTTCGCTCATTTTTGTAATGCGACTCGTTTAAATCGTCTCTGTACAAAACAGTCCCATTCAAAACAGTCCAATACAAACAAAACAGTCCGGAAAAGTATGAAAATGAATGAAAAAACAGTCCGATACAAAACAGTCCCAATTAAGAGTTGTTTTAACAGGCCGAGAATTGTCCTTCGTTCGACAAGCATAATGAACAAAATAGTGACCGCCGCAGTCGCGCCAACGTGTTGCGAGCTTGCCAATAGAGGGTAGGACTTAATACGAAATTTAGAGCCGGTTATCGCCGCGAAGCGGCGACGCGCGCATAGAGCGGCGACCTTAAACCGGACTGTTTTGTATTGGACTGTTTTTTTCCTCCATTACATGGTTTTTGGGACTATTTTGTATATGCACCGTTTAAATGAAACTCTGCTAGGAAAATTTCGCAGAGCTTCAGGGTAAACTTTACGTTTTTCGCATTTGGCTGTTCTAGACAAAAGCATATGAGAGCAAGAGTAAGAAGATTGCTAAGTCGATTGTCGAGAAAAATTATATGTACTTAGTTTTTATCAAAAGCACTTTATCAAATGAATTTATTGGATTTAGGACTACGTGGGTGACCTGGCGAAGGCGATCAAGAACAACAACCACGAAGACGACTTCGTCATAGAGTGTTTGGGCATCTTGGGCAACCTCAGTGGCCTCGAGATCGACTGGGCCCTGGTGATTCAGAAGTGTGACCTCATGCCCTTCATTGACTCAAAAATCACTTCGTCAGGTCAGTATTGTGCAGAAGGAAGATCGAATACGAGTTTAGCTGTGATAGCTTTCTGCGGGGATTGAATCGGCTCTCAGTTTTTTTTACACGTGCGATCAGCTGAGTGTGTTATTACGAACCTTTTTTTTCAATCTAACTCGCAAATAAAAGTTCATTAAAAGCAGGGGCGGATTTAAGAGGGGGCGGACCCCACCACCCCCCCCCCCCCCTCCGGGATTCGACCCCCCCCCCCCTCCGGGATTCGACCCCCTTTGGCACTTTTTAAGAAATAGATTTTTGGCCGATCGACCCTAAAATTTTTCTAAAGGCGCCTTAGGCGCCAATATATACTAATTTAGAGTGGGGAGCGCGCGCCGAAAAAACGCGATTTTTTTATCAAAATTTTCCAAAAAGTGCCGAAAAACGCCTTTTTGGCCTGTTTTTCAAAAATTTTGTCTGCGGCGCAGAAATTTTTGCCAAACCAGGGTCTTTTTAGTGCTTTAGGAGAGCTCGGAAAATCAATTTGGTCAACCTAAAAAAAAGGTCGACAAAATTTTCGAAATTTTTTTGAAAATCCGCCCCCCCCCCCTCGAGAAAATCCTAGGTCTGCCCCTGATTAAAGTGTTCACTTGGAAATTTCACTAGCATTGGAAAATGCATAGCATCTGTTCTCTGCTTTATTCGTGACTGAGTGGTTAATGGAAACAATTATGCTTCCGTGGCTTAGTGGTTAGTGTGCGAGACTCTTAATCTCTAGGTCGCATTTTCGAATCTCAGAGGTCGACAAAGTTTGCTAATTCAAGGATTATTTCTAATTTTTATAATTGCACTTTTTAGAGCTGAAATGCTGATTTTGTCGTGTTCTCGCAAGTGTGTTTGCCTATGTGTTCAATTCATGATTAATGTTGCGATTAAAGCTTGCTCGTCATCATACGGATCATCTTATTTTGTGAAGCGCAAATGATTTTCATTACTAACGGAATTAGACGCTGGTTTAGTCCAAGAACATAGTGAAAACCTTTATATAGGCCGTGAAGATTTTTTTGCGTTCTTTTTTAGGAAAAACTAATATTTGTTCACACTCTAAATTGATATTGTTTTAGCACACTCTACCAATGTAATACTCGCAATTCTTTTGCAATATACGGTAGCTGAGTTTCTAGTAAAAGATTAAAAGTTTTAGTTGCTTTAGTACTTTAATTGCAATTTTAGTTATCCAGGCATTCGAGGTTTAGTGACAGCTATTTTAGCATGAGCAACTATCAAGAGAAAACAATAAGTCTTAAAAACGAACCCTAAAAGTCTTAAAAAATAAAAAGTTTGGTCAAGTGTTTTTTTTTGCTACAGGAGGTGCTGAGGACGACATGTTGCTGGAGATAGTGATTCTAATTGGCACTATGGCCACTGACGAGGATTGTGCTAAGCTGATGGCAGATCTAGGCATCATTCACAAACTCATCGAACTACTCAACCGTGAGGACACTTGAATAGATTTTGGACACTAGCTATTCAAAATTGATGAAAGTTTCTTCTGAATTTGTTGGCCACAAATACCGCGTCTGAACATGTTTTAATCGTCAAAACATGTTTCGGGCTAACATATCTGCCTAATATAAATATTAGGTTCCATTAAATCGTTCGATTGTACCTGTCGTTGCATTGGGACTGAATGTTTCTGATCTGCCAGATATGAAGTAGTCTAATTTGAGCAAATGATTATTGTATGACCTTCTTTTTCTGCTTGCAGTGAAGCAGGAAGATGACGAGATAGTGTGTCAGACGATCTATGTGTTCTACCAGCTGACCTTCCACCAGACCACACGGGAACTGGTGCTGCAGAGGACTCAGGCACCCGCTTACATAATCGACCTCATGCACGACAAGAACGCCGAGATCAGGAAGGTGTGCGACATGACACTCGACATCATATCGGTCAGTGCAGTTCCAGTTCGTCAGAACAAAAAAGATTAAGATTGATCTCCGAAAAACAGATATGGTGTCCTTGATTAACACATGCATACCATTCTTGTTTACACAAGCAATGCTTGTGTTATAGTGTGATTTATCTTTTTTTTCCAACCTAAGTCGCAAATATTGTTGCGATAAATTGTGTTCATTTTGAAAGTGTTCATTTTGATCAATAACCAGCTATTAAGTACAGCCAATGCTAAGGATGTTAACACAGACTATTATTATTCCGACTTTCGTAACGAAAGTAACGGAATATCTGTGCTCGGGGTGGTTTTTTTCTTCAGACAAATTTCAGACTTTTTAACAAGCCATTTTTGAGGGCATTTTTTATATCATTCAAAAAGTATTGTTGTCCTGAGCTTACATATCTTACCTGTGATTTATGGAGGTTTAAAGATTGCCAATTTGGGACAATTAACACGCGATATATTTCGCGCTATTAACGCGTAAGCGGAGATTTAATCATATTTTTGCTTGTGTATGCGAAGTGCAACTTCGCCTCTGTGTTTTATTTTGATCCGGGAAATATTGAAACACCGGGACTGGCTAGTGAAACGAGCACTTATCATGGTGTGCTTGAAACTACATATATCAATTGAAAGGCGAATATATAGTCGAACAATTTTATTCTCTAAGCTGTAGAGGCCCGATAAGCTGTGTCAACTCAAGTAAGCTAGCGAGCGTAGTTTGAGACTACTGATTACACTAGCCAGCTTGCGAGAGTTAGTGTTTTAGTACGAACCTTTTTTTTTCTAACATAACTCGCAAATAAAAGGGTTCATTGAAAGTGTTACTTATTTGGGGACACTTTTGCTATAATCACGATCTGTAGCATTGGAAATTTCATAGCATCTGTTCTCTGCTTTATTTGTGGCTAGTGTTTGTGATTAATTAAGCGTCCGTGGCTGAGTGGTTAGTGCGTGAGACTCATAATCTCTGTCGCATATCGAATCCGAGACCTAGCCAAAATTTTATCAATTCGAGGCTTATTTCTACTTAATTCTTATTACAATCTATAGACCTGCTTTTTGTCGTGTTCTCACTAGTGTTTGCTAAGCACAGTTTCGCCCCTATGTCCACTATTTTTCCAACCTAATTCGTAAATGAAACTGCTAATTTGTTAACATGGTGACACTTTTGCTGCATAGCATCGACAATTTAATAGCGTCTGTTCTAGGTAGGCGATTCGATTCCGCCACTTAGCAGAAGTGTTACCTTTCAAGGCCTTTTTTATCTTTTCTTTCCTTATTTCCCGTTTCTACACTAGCTTAAGCGAGAGTAGTGTTATAGTACGACTTCCTTTTTTCCAACCTAAGTAGCAAATATTTGTGCCATTCTTGGGGCACCTATACGGCTTTTTGATAGCATGTGATTTGTCTATCGATTAGTAATAAGTTAACACTGTTGATGCCTTTTTCATTTATCAAACGAACCCAAAAAGCTATTTTCTTTCAACAACAGTACATTAAAAACTCGATTTCAGACATTTTCTAACGTAATATATCTCACAATTTTATGAAATGCAAATTTTATAAATAATTTGGCAGAAGCTTTCCAATTGATTACATGGAAAGTTAGAGTGGATGCTTGTTTGAAATCTTCTAAACTATTGCATGCAAAACTGTGTCTATTTGTACTTGTTGCCACTTCTGCTGCATCGTTTGGCAATTTATTAGCATATGTAGCTGCCTTTTTGTGGCTAGTGTTCGCAAAGTATCAAGGCACGTAGTGCAGATGCGATGACAGAGTACTTTAAATCTCCTGGTCGCCACACCAAAATTTTCATTTTTCAAGGCTTATTCTTTTTTTATTTCACTTTATGGATCTACTTTTTTGTCATTTTTTTGATAGTGTTTGCGAAGTGCAGCTTCGCCTCTGTGTTAACTTTTTGGAGCTAGTTTTTGCGGTTTTATCTTTTGTCTTCAAGATGTGCAGCTGCTCTATGTCAGATTATGCAGCGTAAGCAAATTTTTCTTTTTTGATGATTCTCAAACTGTCGTCAGGAGCTGGACAAAGAGTGGGGCGAAAAAATCCAGCGAGTCAAATTCGACTGGCATAACTCACAGTGGCTGGAGCTGATCGAGAGTGCGGACGGACAAGATCCACTAGAGCAGAATGGAGGCGTGGGAGGGGCGCTCTCGCATGACATCAGTGGGGACTCAGAGTTCGGACATCTGCTACAGAATTCGGACATTCTGGAAAACTCAGACCTTTACTACCGTTAGTCGGAGCATTTCTACGAAAGAGTCTACCATTTAATTGCCTTTGCAATAGTTACCCTTGCGATATTACAATCGCGTACTTGACTTTTTTTCCGTAAATAACTTTGTTCACAGAATGGTCAGTTTTGCCTAGCACAAAAATTTAGCAAACACAGTTTGCTAAAAAAAAAGGTCGACAAATTTTTCGATACATTTTTGAAAATCCGTCAAACCCCCCTTTTCTCCCTCCCTCAAGAAAATTTTAGATCCGCCCCTGAGAACAGTCGAGGTGAAAGTGGCGTATTGAATAAAAAAATTAGATGAGTCCAGTTGAATGACATGTTTTTTTTTCTGTTCATTTTTCGTCCATCTTATCTTGCTAAAGTTTTTTTTTCCAGCTCAACTTCTTTTAATTCACATCATACTAAGTGTTGATTTATTTTTTTGCTTTTTGGAAAAAATCCAGGCAATTTTGAATGAAGGACAGTAGAATCATTTAGGAAGGCGATTGATTCATAATCCGGCGGTCAATATTTCCAGAGTGTCAGTCCAAAAGCTAGCGACCATATTTTTTCGCTGTCTTTTAATTTCTCCCCATGTAAAATGATACAAGGAGAATGCGTATGGGGCAGAAAAAGAGAAAGCATAATGTAGATGTCTTTTTTGTTATCTGTTTGGTACAGAAGGGACAGACTATGTGAGTGAACAAGGGCCGAACTACATAGAGGAGATTGCAAGATACAACGCTATGGGGTCAGGCTATATGGACAGAGAAGATATGATGGACAATGGGTAAGATTTCTATTTCGGGATGGCAAATAACCAGCAAACCTATTACTAATTAAACTTATGAAAAATAGTTTCACCATTATTTTAAATAGCGTACGATCAACCTTCGCATAAAAATTCATTTGCCTTAAAAATGAAACAGTTGTTTTGCCTAATGATCAAGCGCGGATGGATGGTATAAGATTGACGACACAGTGTACGCGTTCAAAATGTTGTCATTGTGAATGATTATTTGGACGTTTTTCTGTTAAGACGAGGCTCGCCCGACGAAATAGCAGACATGTATGGAGACCTGCGCACAAGCAGCAGCCAATTCGCGCTTCAGTCACAGCACAAATTAAGCCAGATGGACAGTCAGAATGAGCTCTATGGAAGAGATGACAACCTGATGTATCACCAACACCAACTGAACCCAGCCGGGCCAGGGGGCATGCCCCAGTTCGATGACAGTGAGGATGATGAGGACGATTTCAACCCGGACTCCCCGTCTTTGAGGTTTCACCAGGCCACGCACGCAACAGCATCCATGATTGCAAAGAGACAGGATAGATATTGATGAATTGCTGGAAATTTTCATGCTATAATTTAATAAAAACAAGACATGCTGTAGTTTAATAAAAACAAGAGAGTATTAATTGCAATGCATTTAAAATAATATATTAGTTTTTTCTTGTGACTTATAACTATTTTTTTTTCTTTATCGAAAATTCACCAGTTCGTAAAAGATGTCATGACCTCTTGTAATTGGTACGAAAAAGTTACAAAATATCACCAGTCATCTTGTTTATGAAAAGTAATAGCGAATATCGTTGATTCACGTGAAATACAAGAATTATATAAGGTTTTGTTGTGTCAAATTCAAATATCAAAAAAGCAAGCAACCGTTCATTGAAACTGATTTTGTTCAGCATGTAAGAGTATTTGTAAATAGAAATAACTTTATTGTTTATAAGTTTATTGTACATAGTTCACTGTTGTTCAAATGCAAAATAATTATAAATTTACAATTTAGATGCCATGAAAAGTTCTTGATCCGAGTTCACAGCTATCGCGTAGCAAAAAATTATTGAATTTGAAAAATTCAAAGCGCTTCTTGAAACTTTAAATTTCTGCGATTTATTTTCAGATATTGAAGCTGATGTCGAAACCTGTTGATAAAAGTCCTATTTGGGACTATTTCAAAAAGAAAGGGGATTTCAGTTATATTTGCAACACTTGCAAGGAATCCATGATATGCAAAAAGGGAGAGAACCCAAGCGCGTCTCACTTAGAAAAGAAACATCCTAACCTATTCCGTGAGTACACTAAAAAAATGGCTTCGGAAAAATCTTTGAAGCCGGAACTGGAAATAAAGCCGAAACCGCGAAATAAGCCACTACGAGACGATTTTCCTGGCTCATCCGGCAGAGTTGATTCTGAACTTAATCGTGAGCCAATCATGTTCCACCAAGTTGCACATGATTCAGATTTGATGGCAATGAGACAAGATGACGATTGAGCGAGACATTTCAAAAAGCTTAAGTGTTCTATCTTGAATGGCTGACGCGACATATTTATGATATGTTTTGTAAATAAGGCTGTAAATGAATGTGATAAATGTAGACGATGTAATAAGTTGTAGTTAATCTAAGTAGATAAGAAACAGTTTATATGATATAAGTAAATATGATATAAGTTTTGTAAATCAGGTTGTAAATGAATGTAAATAAATAATAACGATTTTGTAATAAGTTGTAGTTAATCTAAGGAGATATATATTTGTGGACTGCATTTGAATTGTGATGGAAAGAAAGAAAGTTTGTTTCTCCAATATCAATTAAAACTCATTACACTAGCCAGCTTGCGAGCGTTAGTCTATTAGTACGAACCTTCTTTTTTTTCTAACCTTACTCACAAATATAAATGTTCATCAAATCGAATCAGAGACGTAGACGAATTTTTGCTAATTCGAGGCTTATTTCTACTTTTTTTCTTTTTGCATTTTATAGAGCTGCTATTTGTCCTTTTCTCTCTAGTGTTTGCGAAGCACAGCTTTGCATCTGTGTACATAATTTGAATCACGCTCGAAATTTTATGATACGGAGGGGATAGACGAAAGGCATTTAGTATGCCTATTAGGGGTCAACCTGAAACACAATATGTACACTTAATGATGTCAGTGATCCTAAGACGAAGGCGTTAACAACGGCTAGCCACTACAATCTGGCACATCGCCACCTATTTTCGATCAAGCATCGATACTACATTTACACACCGTAAGACGTCTGTGAACAGGCGATAAATGAGAATAATCGATGACTGGGAACTTGTTTTGGTCATTTACACTAGAGAGAGAGAGAGAGAAGGACTTAATTTACCCCTTGGGGAATTTACAAAACAATCTACAACTTACAAAACTTAACAGCAATAATAGAAATAGTTTATATTTTTAAAATAGATATTAAGAACGACAATACAGGCAAATACATTTTGCCGACCACGTACAGCTCACTTTTTCATTGTAAGTTTGAAGCTTGCTCTTGTAGAAAAGATGAATTTTCCTCTTCCGTTCACAAAATGAGTCACGAGCATCAATTTTGAGTCACGAGCAAATTTCTCGTATTCAAATATCTTCGATTTTTCAAAAGAAACATGCAGTAATTTGAGCTCCGCAACGGCGAACAAGATTCTGAAAGGGTAACGTAATCGAAAATATTCAGGTCATGTTTCCCGTGGAAAAGGAGTAAATCACTTATCTCTAACTTATAGGAGTAAATATTCAAGTTCAAGAGTGTAGAATTATAATCACCAGTCATGCCAATCCCTTTAATGCAACGCTTATTTAAAGACTCCAACTTCTGAAGATCTGTTTTGCTTGGGGACCAAATTGGAGATGCATAAGATAAAATGGAGAGAATACAAGTTTTGATAAATTAATTTTGAGTGATCTAGATGCACTCATCGGAACATTTCTTTTCTGCATAAAGAAGACCTTATAGCACTTCGAAATTTTGTCAGCAACGTGGAGGGACCATCTTAAATTCGAAGTAAAAATAACACCAAGGTCTTTAAAACTTTGAATGCTATCAAGCAAAGTATTACCGACATAGAGAGTCGTTATGGAACAGTGAAAAAATGAGAGTATTTTGCACTTCTCTGGATGTAAATCGAGAAAATTTTCACTGCACCACCGCTGTAGAGCGGACAAGTCAGTCTGTAAGGAATTAGAATTTACGCTGCAGCATTTCAGATCATCAGCAAAGAGAAAAGAAGAGGTGCTATGGGTCGAGGGAAGATCGTTTACAAACAGTAAGAATAATAAAGGCCCTAAAATGCTACCTTGGGGCACCCCACTTGTCACTGAGGCAATTTCAGATAGCATGCCATCTATGCGCACACGCTGGTAGCGATTGGATAAATAACTATGTAGAAGTTCTAGGAAATCATGATCAAGGCTATATGACGCAAGTTTATAAAGCAGCCTGTCATGTCGCACTGAATCGAAAGCTTTCTTAATGTCAGCATAAAACACGGTAGTAAAAAGACTCTGCTCATGACCTTCAAAAATTTTATCACAAAAACTCAAAAGTTGAGTTACAGTTGAACGCCGAGACATGAACCCATATTGCGATGACGAAACTTTGTACCGGATTTTCAAATAAACATGATCGAATAAAACTCGTTCTAGACCTAGTGATAATTTCGGCAATAAGCTGATTGGCCGATAATTGGTAACATCACTGTAACTTTCTTTCTTATGAAGAGGCGAAACATACGCAGTTTTCCAAGCATTAGGCCAGACTTTGTGCTTCAAAATATTCTCGTAAAGCGCATTAACCAAGGGACACAGTTGATTAGAGCAGTACCTTAGAAATGCAGGAGGTACATTATCACAGCATACTGAGGATGAATCATCAGCAGTGCTTAAGAAGTTGAGAATTTTATCGAAAGAGATATCAATGCAATTTAACGAAATTGACGAACAAGTTTAGAGCTGTAACACATCGACCGAACAGTAGGGTTTGAAGACTGAAGCGAAAAAGCGATTAAATAAATTGGATTTTTCTAAAATGGTGCGAGCTTTAAATGACCCCCAATGTAAGGTGCCAGGAAATGTACACTTGTTGGAAATGCTCTTGAGAATTTTGAAACAGTTGTTAACATTCAAATTTGCAAATGAGTTGAGATAACATAATTTATCTAGTTCTAAGTTTTGGTCAAGCTCAAGTGCCAGAGAACTATGATTGCAAGCCGGGAATTGTCGTGTCTTTGAAGTTAGTTTATTAATAAGGTGAACGGTAGATGAACTGTAGTGAAAAGGTAGTTGTTGTCGTTTTTTCCGTTTCAGCTGTGCAGATGCTGCCACTGCACCTGATATTGTAGGTATAAACAGAGTTGAAAAAGTTTCGAGTAAATGAGGATAACTTAATGCATCGTAGCATGCATCTAGGAAACTATTAAAAGTAACGAAATTAAAAGAACTTCTCAAATAAGATGTTGAAAATATCTCAGCGTTTGTATGCATTGAAAATGTAACCCCAACGGCACGGTGATCAGAAAATGCACAATCAAAGACAACAGGTTCATTTTCTAGAAAACGGTCAGTTAGAAGAATGTCAAGTATATTCCCACTATTATGAGTTGGTTCATGAATCAATTGCTTCAGATTGTAATCCTGGAAGATTGAAATCAAACTCATGTGATAGCTGGAAGAACTCAAGCTAGTACGCCAATCAATATCCGGTAGGTTAAATTCACCGCCAAGGAAGAAATAATTATTTAAACAACCAAGTTTTGAACATTCCGTCCGGTAAGCAGAATATACTAAGGATAGGAAATATTGAACTTCTGAACAGCGTTGCCTGAACCTAGAAGATGCAGGAGGATTATATACTGTGGCAATGCATAAAACATATGAAGAACTCGAAAGTATAGCAGCGCATCCAACATTAGAGTTGCAATGAACCGGTATGATATCAAAATGTGAATTTAAGGTAAATTTCATGGCTATAAGAGCACCCCCGTGTTCGCCATTTGATCTATCAGATCGAGCAATAACGAAATAATCAGAGAAAGGAAAAACGTGGTTAGATTCGGTAGAGTCATTTAGCCACGTTTCGGAGGAACAGAAGATACCACAGTTCCACGAATTTAGTCATCTATTTAATGAAACCAAACTTTGGCAATTTAAGAACACTATAAATAATTCAGAATATAGTCAGTCTTCATTGGAATTTATTGGAACCTCTTGGTCATCCAAATAAAGTTTTAAATCTCTAATTTTAATGAGACTTTTGTCATGCCCAGATTCGCTAAGTTCAAATCGCTTTTTCAGAAGGGTTCTTTCAAGTTCTTGCCCAGTTTTTGTGAGGGACTTACTAAGGAATACGGCAGATGAATAGTCTTTCAGCTTGTAGGCTTTGCTCAATAACTTGCGAGCAGACCACTCTGAATTCAATTTTACAATGATACTTCGGGACTTTCCTGAATTGGGTTTCACCTTGCCCGCCCTATAAACGTCTTGAATACAACCTGAAGCATCCTTTTCAATAAATTCCAGCACATCGGTGACTAGTTTCGAATCATCTTCGAATCGTTTCGCTGTGATTTGAGATGAGCTCTCAGGTATGCCTTGAATTCTGATTTCACCTACTTTATGGAGGGTTTCAGACTGTGGAGAGGTAGAGGGGTTGGAGATGACGGTTTGGACAGCAGGGGTGACTGGCACAGACTTGATAGATTTTTCTACCGCAGATATCGAATCGACAATTAAGGTAGTGGACTTCACCCTGGACAAGGCGTCGCGTAATAAACAAGTGAGATTGCTTTTATTGACTGGCGAGAAACTTATTCATTTCTTCAGGATTACAACCAAGCAGCTCGTCAATCGCAGGATAATAGTCCTTGGTAGACGGTAACCGCCCACGTCCACTATCGCCGTCCACCATGACAATCAAATCAGTTGTCTCTATTTTAGCTCTTTAAAATAAATCAAGAAGAAGTATCGGCAATAAAGCAGAGAATGATAGAGTTAACAACCAACAACGTCACGTAAGTGAAGTGAATATATATTTTGTTCTTCTGGTTCAAATGCTTTGTACCATCAATCGGATCTCTAAAATCCTTTAGCATAGGGCTATCCACGTAAGTATCCGATTCGCCGAACAGTGCGCTCTATTTAATAAGTTTATCACAACAATTATGCTAAATGCTGAACGTACTACGTGTTATTAATGACGCTAAAGCAATAAGATGATTTTTTTCAGATAGTAAACTGACTGCTCCATATTTTGCCGCTGTTCGGAATAGAGTGGCTTCACGTCTCTCTTATCCTCTCCTTTTCTCCACAGTCACCTGCTCTGCGGGTCTAGTCTGTCTGTCTCTTCTAGCTGGAGGAAGTTCAACTTGGTATCACCAGAAGAGTAGCATCAGTAGGTTGAACCAGCCTTCACCTACTACTCAACATTGTGAGGGGAAAAGACATTTTTGCACCATGGACTCTCCCGTCATTGGTCCTTCGGGCAAGCACGATGCAACGGTAAATAACCTTTGCGAAACTTCACACGATAAGTATATCTCTGTTTTTAAACCAAGGAACATTTCATGGCTCAAAAACGTCACACTGATCCGTGTAGTCGACTTGTCACATTAGATCAAAACGTGGCTCCAAGAGTCAATTTTCTTAGTTTTGTTGTAGTTGCTTCGGCAATAATCCGGAAGGCTTTGAGCCACGAATCCGAAACTTGACGTCTTATGATTAGTTAAGTTCTGCTTTAATTACACGTAAATTGGTTCAAAGTCCTTGAGCCCGGGCTTCAACTATAGTTTATGACAGACTTCGTTTTTTTAAGCGTTTCATGCAGTTTTTCGTTATTTGCTTGTGTTTGCGAAGCGAATCCTAAATTTCATCACACTGATGTGGTAGTTGGTTTTTTGAACACGCTTTTCCAATTAAGTTTCCATGCGGATCCCAATATGCTCTAATATGCTCAATAAGGTGAAAATGGGAGTCAAAATTGCTTTCTGACGCTTGGATGCAAACGAATTTTAAAAAAATCGCAGTGCAATGAAAAAATATATATATTGGCCAGTTTGCTTATTATTGGTCAATTATTATTGCATCATGAAAATAGCCGTCGCGAACGTTCTCCGAGTTCGAAATGGCTTTCATCTAATAAGACAAGTGTAGCGTATGTGATAGTACGATGCATTTTTTTCCAAACTAAGTCGGAAATAAAAGCTACTTCTGTGGCACTTTTGAAGCAGGAGGCAGCATTAACAGTATAATACCATGTGCTTTGATTTCATAAGTAATAACTTAATGTAGTTGATGCTTTATTAATTGATCAAATCAACCGAAAAATTATTCGTTTTATTTAACAGTATAATTAGAATTCGATTTCAGAATTTTTTCAACTCAATATCGCGAGATTTTGAAATGCATAACTTATTCACTATTTGGCTTTATACTTTTCAATATCAGGGCCGCCACTGCATCTAAGCTGTGTTTACTTACGAATCATTGTAATAAGTTAAGACGGTTCATCCACAAGGGAAGGCCAACATGCGAGCTGTTGTGCCCCTGCTTAAGAACTACATTCATTTTTTGGTTATTTTTCTGGGCTCGGTAATATTGCCTCTTCCTCAAGCAATGAGCATGTATCATGGTAGGCCTCGAGCATCCGGCCTTTCGACTGAGAGGCGGAGACGTAACCACTTCAACATCGCTCCCCCTTTCACCCACGCTCTCCATTTTTTCCATGAATTTCATTTCCTGTTAAAAGTTATAAGTGTAAAAGACAAATTGAAATAAATTACTCAATTATAAAGTGTAATTGAAATTCCAAAAGCTTCATTGTGATACACATTGTTTCTTCAAAACTTGAAACTTGGAAAATTTTCAATTCTTTTTTTTCGGGTTTCCTTGTTCTTAGTTATGTCACTTAGTTTTGCTTGAAAAAAGTAACCGAATTCCTGCTCACCCTTGGTAGTGATATATTGGTATATTTGCAAGAAGATAAGCCACAAATTGTTGTTGTTGTTTTCTGTTGTCTTCGTTTAGCGGTGAGTTCAAAACAGCACCGCAGCCGAAGGTAACTTATTACGCAAACACCTTTCAGATATCTTTGATCGCGATTCCTATTAAAATGACGCAGCTCGGCCAGGTTTTTCAGAAGTTTTTCACAGATGTTTACTTGTCTATGAGGGAACCATTAGCGTGCCGAGGGATGATAAGGCGACCCCCCCTCCTCAATTCTGGTTGCCAAATATTTCCGAAGGGTCTCCCTTTGATATAACTGTATGACATTTATTTTTGGCTAACCAACCTCAAAACTTTTCTAAGGGCGCCTATGGCGCCAATATAACTAATTTTGAGGGGGGAGGGGAGCCAAAAAAATTTCCAAAAAGTGCCCAAAAGCGCCGTTTTTGGCCTGTTTTTTGAAAACAATTGCTTGCGGCGCAGAAACATTATGACAAAATGGTCCTTATAGTACTTTCGGAGAGCTGGGAAAATCTAATTGGTCGACCTATAAAAAGGTCCCTAAAATTTTCAAAATTTTTTGAAAAACCACCTCCCCTAGAAAAATTTTTGGACACGCCACTGGAGGGACAGATGCTTTATTTAACTTCTTTTAAATTTTGGATGTTCTACTTATACTAGTTCTAAAGCAATTGAGAAAGTTGTCCAGCTCTTTTTGAAAAACAGCAGAACATTTTGAAAACAATTTGTGCAAATGAACTTTTCTCTCCTTTAGCTGTATCGTTGTTAGGGGGCTGTGAAAATTTGTGATCTTCGATTGGGTCTTTTTTTCCGATTCTTTTGACAATTTTTTTGTATTTGTACCCGATATTATTTACCTCTTGGTTTACTATTTCTACATTATTTATATGTAAGTTTGACTTACTCTTTCTGGTGGTCGAATCTGATTTCAGATAGGAAGAGGCCTTCTGTGTGACTTCTATGCCCATCTTTGAGAGATTGTCATTTCCCAGGATTTTGCGTTCGTGTTCACCCTTAAAAAATGGTGCATGTTTGTGTGCCCATCCGTTGGATCTTTCGGAAGTTCTATTTTTCCAATTATTTTTTATCGGGTCGTCCGTGAAGCCGCAGTAAAGGTCTTTTGATGCTCGGTATACTGGAAGGCTTTTTCTTTTCGTTAAGGATCTCTAAGTTTCAGTTCATGGATGATATTCTGCTTTAAAAAAGTAACTGGGCCAGCCGAGTCGACTTGAAAATTTTTGTACAAGGTTCTCTTTTCCTAAGCCATTGTTCAACAACTTAGTTTTTTTCCGTCTGAACTGAATAGTTGTCTTCGTCGCTTAATCCAGTTTCTGTCCATGCGTTGATTACACCGCTTTGATTATTTACAGAGTTATTTTTAGGTTGCTGAATTGGAGATCGCACATCTTTTTTAACAGAATTTAAGTTATCGACAATATTCACATTCATCTTTTGGATTTGCAATTCCTTCTAGAATGACTTCTTAGTTACAAGGTGTACAATGTGCGTTTTTTGCTGGACATACTGCAAGGTGTCTTTTCCTGAATTCATACACGAGTTGTGTAGAGCTGGTTCTCTTTTGGCATTTGAATTCAGAATGGAAGTTTGAGTGGTGGTTCTGGGCTTTCGTAGTGTTAGTCATTTTGAGACAGTTAGATATCCCTTTTTCGTCTACTAGAGCCAAGTTCATTGCGTCTTGTGGTGCGAGTGTCTCAGTTAACAGTTTACTTTGAAAATCGTAATTTCTCATGCTATTGATAAATATATCCCGAATCCATTCTTCTTCTTCGCTAGATATAACACACTTTTTGGCCTTTTCTGCAAGATTCCCCAGAATTGTTCTAGACTCTCTCGGTCTCTTGTCTTCTTTTCAACAGCTTGTGACGTTCAAAAGTGGTTTTCGGTTTTCTGGTGAAAGCGAGGTTCAAGTTTTCCCAAAACTTTTGGAAGTTAATCCGTAGGATTTTTACTTAAGTGAATTTCTGGGCAAAATTATTTTTCCTTCAGTTCCCAAGGCTAGAAATAACATAGATCTGATTTTCTTATCCATTTCCTCTTTTCTCATCCCGCCAAAATTTTTCAGCTCTGACTTGATTAAGCGTTTTCTTCATCTTCGTATCTTCGTTTTTCTTCGAGGTTTCTGGCTAGTCTTGCTGCCTTGTCTTGTGCGTTTTCTGAGTCTGGGGTTTCTTCTAACGTAGCTGGAGTTGCTATTTTCCGATCGGAAGGTCATCAATATCTATGTTTTCTTTGGCTATCAGTGCCAATTGAAACATGACACTCCAATCTTCACATGGAATAGGGGGTCGATCGTGTGATTCTGCCAGAATGGAGGTGCTCCCCTCACGCCTCAAACTAACTAACTTAAAAGAATACGAATGTAAAGCTGTATTAAAAGTTTTCTCTAAAATAAGAACAATGAAGCGTACACGGTTTCACTCCGAAGTAGTGTGTATGTTCGAAGTCAAGGTCAGACATAACCAAACAAACAATAAGTAATTATTTTAATAGACAATCAGAACACTGGTTTAATTATCAGTAGATTCTTCACCATCATAAGGCGGAGAAGCAAACTAATTATTTAGCATAATGAAATGATCTCGATCACTCTTGGATGGAAATAGGGTGACTTGTTTTTTGATTTTAGGTGATATTCCTACATGGACTAGGAGACACAGGACATGGGTGGGCTGCTGGATTCGAAGCCATCAAGGAGCCTAATATCAAATACATATTTCCCACTGCGTCAGTAACTTTGTCTGTTCTCCTTCCTCTGTTACATTTTTAGTTATATGAAGCTTAACTGCTTCAATCTACCTAACCATTTAGTCATATAATTTCTTAAACTTCATCTCTGCAATGAAAAGTGCCAATTTTTTTTTAAAAATTGGATAAAAATTAGTACTCTGAAATGGTTGCAATTGGTAAAGTCATGAGCGCTTCTGATCCTGAGTAGTATTCGTTTTAGCGCGCCAATGCCAGTAACATTAAATGGAGGTGTTCCCATGCCGAGCTGGTTAGTTTTTCAACTCTTAAACGTTTCGTCTCAAACACTTAATCGTCTCAAAATTTCTTATTTCATTATTTTAAATTTAGCTAGGATTATTTGATTCATAGTTGTTCCTAAATAAAGCGACTTCAGAGCCTTAAATTGGAAGTAGACAGGATATTTAAATTATACCGCCTTTCACCGTTGAGTTCAAAAACTGTTTGGAGGAGATATTTATTTGCCTTTTTTGACAGGTTTGACATCGTCAGTCTAGACCACAACGGGAAGGAGGACGAAAAGGGAGTGAAGAAAGCAGCTGCAGAGTGTAAGTAATTATATGTTAGTAATGGGATATGTCTTTAAATGCAACAGGATATAGCTGCCTTAATTAGTCACGACAATAATGTGAAATTTCTGGATTGACGATCCCGCAGTGACAATTTTTTTTGAAGAAAATCCCGGGCTTAAGTTGCATTGCAATTAAGAGATGTCTCATATTTTTTGCAGGTTTCAATCCATGAAGCATTTATGTTGCAGTGCCACTTTATCGATGATCATCTATGATTCATTTAAGAAATATGGATGCAAATTTCCTTGATGAATTATGACTGTAACATAGATGTCAATTCTATGGTTCATCTATGCAATATAGATGACAATTACTTTGATGATTCATTAATAAACCATGGCTTAAATATACTTGAAATGAGTTAGTTGCAGGGTTTCACGATCACAGGTTAACTGAACATAAATTGGACATTTTTTGGATGCCAACTTGATTAAAAAATTTTCTTCTAATTATCCGTCATAGTGTTGAGCAGCAACAACTTCGGGAAATTTGTTTACGGCACACTTTAAGTTTCATGGGGATCCATTACAGGTTCACATCTAAGAGCTCTCCCGCGGTGTGATAGCTTAAAATTAAATAAAAAAATTTTGACTCATATATTGTTAAATCAATATGTTTGGGAAATCTAGATTGAAGCAAAACTGGGAAATTTATCTATGTAAAATTCGTTTTGGAAACAACAATGCATTCCCTTTTCAACTTCTCTTATACTCTTGGTTAAATATCTTCCCAAAATACCATATGGAAGGCTTAAATTATAATTATACTGTCGCATTTTTAAAAGGAGTAAGAACGTCGATTGAAGATTGCTTAGTACTCGATAGGATATTGCTTATTTGTTGAAGAGTTATCGCTGACAAAAAATATATTTTTGAGCTACACAAAATGTACTGTTTTGTAGCTCAAAACTAATTGACAAAGGTTTGTTTTTGTTCAATGGGCGTATACCTAACTTGTGTCGGCTTATTAAGGGTCAATGAACCTAGGGCATTTTTTCACACCTAATTCATTGCTAATTTTCGTGGCATTTCTGAAGCTCGGAGGTTGGACTCCCATATATAGCAAATAGCAAAAGTTTTAATGACTCAGGCTTATTTTTTATATCTTCTTATTTCTCTTTTTAGAGCTGCCTTTTGTCGTTTTCTCGCTTTATTAGGAAGTGACGCGTTGCATCTGTGTATATACGTCGTGACGATTTTTTATCGTTTTTCTTAGAAAAATTCTTTTTTAGTCACGCTCAGTTTTGAGTTTTCGTGGTTTGACTTCTGTTTTTTTTCAAGTGAAGTTCGTTTGCATTGTTAAAGGGGTAGTAAATTTCACTATGGAACAGCAAAATTGAAAAATTTGTTTTAAAAAGATCGGTTTCAAAGTTTGAAAGTTTATATAATATAAATTTTATCAAAAAAGCACCCATAGTAAGTTGTTCTGGAAATTCAAAGAGCATCTATATTTTCTTTAAATTTCAAAATTTGAACTTCCAGAAAATCTGACAGCTTTTTTTCTATTTCCTTGCATTCATAACTCTTTTCCAAATGTCAGTTTGCTTTGTTTTGAAAAATTTTAGACTAAACTGCACAAAAAACAGCTGTTAAATTTGGTTGATTTTTTGCTGCTAAAATTTGTGTTGTTTTGAAGCTATTTTTACCTATCAATTTTGATTTTTATGCTTGCGATTAGCAAACGTGATCAAACCGGAATATAGACTTTCCAGAAATAATTCAGTTTTTCCTTTCAGTTTTTGTGTCCATCAGAGGGTCGCGGCAACTCTTTCTTAGTCCATCCCCTGCTGTTGGTTTGTTGAAAGTATGAAGCTACCTGATCCATTTTTTCGTGTTGAAGTGTTGTCAAGATCAAATTTGTTCGTTTTTTTTTCAATCTCCTTAAGCATTAAGACAAAATTGACAGTAGTCATATCAGCTGCTAGAAAGCTTAAAACTGAATAAGGACGCAGAGCTTCATGGAGTTCATGGTTGCTTTTGTACAGGCGCTTTAGTTCTCCTTTGTTTATTTCTCGGATAAAGCCTGACACAAATCAAAACAGCACCTTTCAATTAAAACACAGCAGCAGTATATTGACTAGCGAAAGCATGAAGTTCTCGCTCAAAACCAAGAAAAACGCGACGACGCTCGGTATTTTAGGTGATAATTGACGAACCGTTCAGTAGCTCCGTGTATGAATGCTCTGGTTTGTTTGACAGCAGTGCATAAATATAGGGGGGTTAATTTTGGTGAGCTGAATGTAGACGGTATAAAACATATGGAATTGAAAGGAGCGAGTTTTGGAGGCTGCTTCGCACAGCCAAGCATCTCGATACAATTGCAGAGATCGACATTGTCGCAATCTCCAGAAATCAGCACCACTTCATCATCACTTTTTTTAATCTTCATTACCACTATCAAAGGCACAAAAGTCATCGTGTTGTTTTGTATCTCAATTTGTCTGTTGATTGTTGGTGATCACCTTCTGTCTGTTTTGGGCATTTTTAATCTCCGACCGACAGAGGAGGAACGATTCCTTCTTTGTACACAGACTGCAGGTAATTGGCTATGATACTGTTCTTGACTGAGATTTCCTGAATTTAGAGTCCGGTTCTGTTTTCTGCTCGAGTAGCATTGCAGATGAAAGACTTGGAAATTTTTCGTGCGTGTGATCCTTGCTAGACGTTATTAGATCGTTATATCGGGTTGTCGCAATTTTGGATTTTGGGACCCACACCTTGAACACTTCCAGTTCCATTTTTGTGTATTAAAAGCTGTTGATATGTTCCGATTCTGCATAGATAGACATCAAGAATTTTAATTCTTTTTTGTTAATAGTTAGGCTAAGAAAAATTGAAACAATGACTTAGTTTTTGTTTCGTTTTGGTACGAGATTTTGAAATTTGGTGATTAAAACCTGTTATTGGATAATTTCCGAGTTTCTGGCTCAAATTGCGTCGTTTGAACAATTCTCTTAATTGAAAGTCGCAATTTGAAAAGCGTTTATTAATAATTCGCCAAATCGGTTTGAGGTGGATTCTTATAGGGTAGAATGGCATAGAGTGTAATGGTATTGGGTAGATCAGAATATTTGCAATTTTCCTTTGGTTTTGTGGTTTGATTCTCGTAGAGGTCGGCATGTTTTTGCTCAATATAAACTTCATTTGAGACAAATATGTGATTTTTTTTAACGATTTTTAGTTGATTTCCTCTAATTTTTCTATCAGCTAGCTTGCCATGCAATCTTTGTGATATATCGTAAGTGCTGATCCGCTTCGCCTTTCAGATCAAATTCAGCCATTCAGTATAATAAAGATTCTCTTCTATATTCTATAATAAAAACTTTTATTTGAATTGTGCAAAGACCTTGTCGTTAATTCACTTTTATGTTGTTTCTTATATCAATGGTTGTGTTGTAGTGTTGGAAATGGTAGACAAGGAGTCGGCGGCGTCTGGCCTGCCACACAACAAGATCATGATCGGAGGTTTCAGTCAGGGGGGAGCGACTGCACTGTATGCCCTGGTGACAGCCCAGAAGCAATTGGGAGGAGTTGTGGCACTCAGTGCGTGGCTGCCTCTTCACAAGCAGCTGGAGGTATCATTAATTGTTTTTAGCTATTTTTAAAACCTTTTTATTGAAAAAACTTCCTCATTTTCAGCGTGTAACTTCAGAGTAGTGATGCAAAACATTATTAAAGTAATTATACATGGTTTGTTTGGACTAGTAATATTCAAACAACTGCGTGCGTTTCGAAAAATCAAATATGAGTGTTTTTAGATGCGCAAGCGATGGCAATGGAACACTAAGTTCTTCGAAAAAGCTTATGCAGCTTTATTTGTGGTTGAAAAGATTTCAATATGATGTATCACCCGGCCGTATCTTTTTTCAAATAATAACTGGTGTGAAAGAAGTATTTTATACCTAACTGGTGTTGATATTCGAAGATGTTTTGTTAAGAAAGTGGAAATCGCTCACAAGGGTGTAGCGGTGCTGCAATGCCACGGGGACTGTGACCCCATGGTCAGCTTCACCTTCGGAGACATGAGCAACAAGATGCTGGTGCAGAAGGGTATGACCAAATGCACCTTCAAACCATACCCAGGAATGTCACACGGATCATCTGCAAAGGTAATTGCGCGCAAGAGTGACAGTTTACATCAAGATCAATGCAACAAAAAGTTGATTGTTGAAAAGTTCATGGCAAAAAAATTTAAGAGTTTTAAGAATTGTTGAAGTAAGTGACGTTGAGTAAGTTATTTAGGTCTTGTGGTTTTTTGGAAAAGTCTAGAAATTTATTGAAGCTGAAATTTGATTTTTCGCAGTTTGATTTCATTGTGAAAGTCCAAATGGCGCGAAAAAGTGAATTCCTTAATTTCGAAAGTATGAATTATTTTTGGGTTTCTTAGCGGAAAATTTCCTGACCTGTTTTCTCATATTGGGTGAATCATATCTAAAAAACGTCAATCATATTCTTGAAAGTCAAAGAAGTTACGACTTTTTTTTAAAAAAATGTTTAAAAATGAGCAGTCTATTGTTACGACTTCCGAAAGTGGGAAGAACTTGGTCTTTGGACGTATAGCAGTTTTTTGTTTTACACGCAAAATCAGGTACCATAATCAATCATCAGAATGGGTCGAGTGATTGTCGAGAAAAACCGGTCTGAAGTTTGGAGTTTCAATCTAATTCGAGCGAATAAAGCAAGCGATCACGCTTATAATAAAGAGGTTACTAATGAGAAGCTCATTCTTCAACTTAAGTCAGACAAAAATAATGTTTATGAATTTTATTTAAGGCGCCTTTCTTCTTGGGAATAAAATTTTTAAAAAATCAAAAAATTTCAGCAATTATTTAGTTATTGAGCAAAATTGTTGTCAAAAAGTTTCTATCATTATAGAAATTCTAGGCTTTCTTTCAGACTCCATCAAACTACGAATGAAATATTACGCCTTTTCAAAGAAACCTTTTTTAGTTTTCTATTGTTAACGGAACTGTCTGTGCTACTTGCACAGCAACCGTCTATCCTTGTTGCTGTCTGTATGTAGATTTGCCAGCCAAAAAAACTTCATTGATCCAAATTTCTCAAATTGATTCAGTTATATGATAAAATTAAAATTTCAGTTTGATCAATCCAATAAACATTTGAATTTAAATGGCAATGTAAATTCAGATACTCTTATAACACCGCTAACAAAAAACTACGCAATTATAAAAAGAGAAATTGATTTTTTTTAGTTTTTATTTTTGGTCGGAACTTTCTCTGCTAATTGAGCTATAGATTTCCCTGATGAAAAATTTAAATTGATCATTTTTTTTTCAAATCTGTTTAATTTTATGATAAAATGCAAAAGTTAGTGTGATCAGTTAAATAAACATGTAAAATTATATGGCAATTTCTAATTGCTCAGCACAAATTTATCAAAAAAGTGTAAACCATGAAATGTTCTTGAAATTCAAAGAGCTTTAAAGTGAGTATTTTTTCGAAAGTTAAAATCGAAAAAAAATGAACCGAAGTTAAAATTTTTTGAGAAATAAAGTCATTATTTGGTCTTCTCGAGTTAATCGAAAGTTCAGATTTTTTGAGAAAGTACGTCCTTATTTTGAAAAATAAAATTTGAAATTTAAAAATTTCGAAAGTTGAAATTGATATTAAAATGATTCAAAGTTTAGTTTTTTTTTCAGTAATAAAATCATTATTTTGTTTTTTTTAGCTCAATGAAAGCTGAAATTTTTTTTGAGAAAGTAACGTTTTTGTCGAAAAAAAAATATTTTAGAAAAGTGTAAACGAAGTCAAGAAGAACAAAAAATGACTTAATTTTTCAATCTGTCCGTTGGCTGTGTCTGATTTATCAATATTAAGTCGGTGCCATGAGGCATATGTGTAATTTAGTGTGATGGTGATTAAACTTATCAAAAATGATAGCCGGTAGCAGTGAAAAAAAAACTTTTTTTTTTACAATTTTTAAATTTTTTTTCTAGAACAATTAATTGAATGAGGTGAAAAATAAGGTATGAGTTGTAAAAAACGGATCCCTGCCCAGACCCTGTGGTGATGGTCTGAAAATTTTTTTTTGATAACTTCTCGAGATAAGCTTTGAAGCTTGCATGTGTGGTTTGTTCAGGAAATGAATGACGTGAAGAACTTCATCGAGACTACACTCCTCTGATTCATCTACTTCTTCTTCACACAATCTCTCGATGCAGGCACTAGATACGGAGAGGGGAGGAAGGGAGACTATTATGGGTTAACACTGATACATGAACTCTGTAATTAATACACTCACTGCGACTACCTCTCCGGGGAAGGGTTGGCTGGACTGATCTTTCCAACAACTAGCCAGTCCATTTGTAAATTCCAGTTCTTTATCTGAATGATTGACGATCCGTACCATCCGAAAAACTGATAGACTTTTAGTTGATTCTACTGCCTATCGATTAATTATATATATTACTTTGCAATACGGGAGAGTTGTTTTTGATTTAAGTAGTTATTTTCATCTTTCTGATGAGTAGGAGAAATATTGCATGGCTAATATGTTGCGTAATATTAATATGTTGCAAGTCAGAAATGGTACAGAGTTTGATTAATAGACCATTTTTGCGGCAAATTGTCCAGGGCGCTTATTTATTATGTGGAGTCCATTTTTGTTGATTCGTTGTACTTATTTTTGATGCGATAGTTTCAAAATAGTCTGAATTATATTTGAACTTGTCAATTGGCAAATTGTGCATAATTGATTGGTTTTCAAAGCTAGTGAATATAGCGATAACAAGAGGCTGATAAAGCCCAACAATAACTAAAAAAATATGTTTGGATTTGTAATTGCTAGCATTTAGTCTCAAGTAGATGGTCGGAATTTGGACAGCTGATAAATTTAGTTTTTTCAAAACTAATCGCGTCGAACATTGCGAGTGGAAGGAAACACCAGTTATTGCGTTAGGGCAACTCCGTAGATGTTCCAATTGCGCTTTAATCTGTCATAATTTTTTTTCTTCAGAATTTGATGAACGTAGTTGAGACTATACACTAGTGGACAAAATTAAACGCAAGTGTACGTTTTAACTATGAAAAGTGTCTTATTTTAAGGACCATATTGGACACCAATAACTTGGAATGTTTTTAAAACGTTAACATCGATCGACAGCAAATGATCTGAACTACTTTCTCTGAAAGTATCATTTTTAAGAGTAATGAACGTAGCGAGTACTCTTATATAGGTCTTGCTGATTCTTTTTACAGGAAAAAGTCTTAATTTGTTCACGCTCAGTTTTGATTTTTCGCGGTTTGACTTGTAATTATTTAAGTTCAGCGCATTTCTATTGTTTAAAGGAAGGCAAACTATTATCGAACAGCCAAAATGTAAATGTCACGAAAAACGTGATCGAATTCTAATTTCGAAAATGAAAACTAATTTTTAGGTTTCCCAGTGAAATAAAAGTTTTACCTATTGATCAAGTTTTCTCTAATTGGGTTAGTTTTAACAAAAAAGTTTCCATCATAAATTGTTCTTCAAATTCAAAGCGATTTAAGTCGGTCTATTTTTTTTCGAAATTCAAAAGTTGAAATTTTATATAAAAAAAACTGTCAGTTGGCTATGGTTGGATTTGAAACACGTTCCAGTTTTTTCTGGGTCTGAAAATGCCAGTTTTCATTTTTCGTAATAAGTTTTTAATGGGTGTGAACTGTTTTTTGATTAAGCGGAGTTTAAAAGGTAGACGTAAAATTATATCTAAAAGTCTAATTAAATATAGTCCAAAAGAGAAAACAACCCGAATTTGCGTTTATTTTTGTCCTCTTGTGCTATTCATGATGATTATTTTTTCGTTTTCCAGAAAAAATTTTAAAACTTTTTCACTCTCAAATTTGGTTTTTTGCTGTTTGATTTTTGATTTATTTTGCAGTTCGTTCATTTCTTATGTTAAAAGGAAGGCAAACTACCTCATCGAACAGCAAAGTGAAGGGCACGAAAAACGTGATCGACTTCTGACTTCGAAAGAAGAATTTTACTATTCAGATTTCCTGGCGAACAAAAAGTTTATGAGTTGATCCAGGTTTTACACTTGCGAGCGGTAGTGTGTTAGTTTGAACCTCCTTTTTTCTCACCTAACTCGCAAATGAAATTGTTTATTGAAAGTGTTCATTTCATGCAAATTTCACTATAGCATTGACAAGTGCATAGCTTGTGTTTTGTTTGGGGATAGTGTTTGTTACTGATCAAGCGTCCGTTTATGAGTGGCTACTGCATTAGACTTATATTCATTAGATCGAATTAGGATGTAGGTTTGAATTCGAGACGTAGCCAATTTTTTATTGATTCGAGGCTTATTTCTACTTTTTCTAATTGCACTTTTCTAATTGCTCTTCACGTCTCAAACTGGGTTGATTTTTGAGGAGCCGGTGAATGTAGTTCTGCCTCTTATTCAAGTCGTGATGGTTTTTTTTCCGTAAAAAGTCTCCAAATTAGTTCAGGCTCAAATATACGTTTTTTGCAGTTTGACTTTCGATTTCGTTTTAAAATCATTTTATTTTTTTGTTAAAAGAAAAACAAGCTACACTGTCAAACCTCAAATTGTCTAAGAGTCACGAAAAAAGTGATTGGCTTCTATTTCGAAAATGGATTTGCATTATCCGATTTTTCAGGGAAATGAAATTTTCACCTTTTCATCCAGGTTTCTCAAATAGAGTTAGTGTTATCATAAAACAGGGTCAACCATGATTTGTTTTCAAAGCTCAAAAAGCTTAGAAGCCACATGTTCAAAACCAATGAAGGTAGAGTTGAGACTCTTATATAGGTATGGTTGACTTTTTTAAGAAAAATCTTAAAAACTGTTCATGTTCAAATTTTTATTTGCCGTTTTTGCATTTGATTGATTTTTTTTTCAAATTCACTTCATTTCCTTTGTTAAATCAAAGGCAAACTACCTTATTAAAAAGTAAAAATGCAAAAGCCGCGAAAAAGTTGATTGATTCTATTTTTGAAAACGGAGTATATTTATCAGATTTTCCAGCGAAAAAAAAGCACTGAGACCATCTAACTTTCGTTTTCTTAGGTTTCTCTGCGTTCATTGACTCTTTTCAAACTGTCTGTTTGCTTTGTTTTTTTTAAATCAAAGCAAACATTTTGCTTAAAGCCTTTGTTTTGTTTTTCAGTCCAAGTCAGGTAAATTAGAAAATTAGAGATCAACCAACAAATTAAATTTCAGAATCTGTGTTCTGCTCATGAGGACCAGATTCTTGAGGTCCAGATGATTTTTTTTAAATTCTTGAATTTTGTTTACGCTCAATTTAGATTTTTTGCGGCTTGATCATTGATTTCTTGTTCCGATTAATCATTCTTTTTGTAAAAAGGAAGACAAGTTTCAGTCGAACTGCAAGTGATGCGTGAAGATCACGATAAATGTGATCGACTTCCTAATTTCGTAAGTGAATTTTAATTTCGAATTTCCCAGAGGTATCACAACTTTAACTGTAAACCCAGTTTTGTCAAACTGCGTTAATTTTATTTAAAAAACCAATCAAACATTGCTCTGGAAATTCAAAAGCCTTCAAGTCCCTGTATATTTCGTTTATTTCCTAGCATTCATAACTATTTTTAAAGTCCAACTGTCTGTTAGCTATGTTTTATCTGTAGTCTATCCAAACTTTTGGTGACTGGTACTTTAAGGACAGCAATGGCGCATGGCACAATTTTAGAAACAATGGAACAAAGGAATCGCGCGCTAAAATCTTTTATGTTTTTAATTTTGAAGAAAGTGTGGAATGCTTATGCTCTGTTTTTTTTTTTTCATTTCCGCAATTTTCTTCTTTATCTTAGCGTTTCAGCGTTTGAGGGATTAAAAAAAAACAGTTTTAAACATATTTATCAATGTTTCAACCAAAAATTTTAATTGGCCTTAGAGTCCAGTCGGATCATTCAGTCCTTTGCCCTGAAATACGAGCAGTCTTGTTTGGTTAAATATTTTTCATTTGTTGTTTTTACAATTTTCACGCTCCCCTGCTGCTATCTTTCGCTCTGTTTTAAGTAGTGCATCTTCGCCTTGATTGAAAAAGTTCTTACAACATGCATATTTTCAAACCAATTATTATTTGACACAGTTCTTTTTTGGAATGATTTTGAACAAGAATTAAAACGATGATACTAAATTTGGCGCTTTCATTCTTACAGAATTGTTACACAAAAAGTGAGTTTTTAGATTAGGAAATCTTTTTGTTTTCAAAACGGGAAGTAATTTTCAGTGCAAATTTTCCGCGGCATTCAATCAGACTATACTTGTTAAGTTAAAGAACTACATTTTTGTTCCTACCAATTTCGAAAGAAATCGACGGAATATTTGTGCTCGGGTGGTTTTTTTCCAGCCAAACTTCGAAGCTTTAACTAGCAAGTTTTCGCCCAATTTATTTATATCATTCAAAAGGAATTGTTGTGTTGAGCTTAAATTTAAAAAGATATTTCGCCTCTGATTATTTTTTGTAAAGTAATGGGGGTTTAAAACTGGCATTTTGTTCAATTTGTGACAATTAACGCGCAATTTATTTCGCTCATTCAACGCGGAAGCCGAGATTCAATTAGTCTGGGGCATTGTTCCAAATTGGAATAGGTAGCTATTTGGTCTCTTTCAAATTCCGCTATGAGCAAAGTTTATCACTTTGTTCTTTAAATAGCGTGTGAGAGAGGTGATAATTAGAAAAAACGGCTTCACCCTGTTGCGAGCAGTCTTGATAATTTGATTTGTTACTAGGAGCAAAATCTATCAATTTGTACTTTATATGGCGTGTGGGGGGATATTTTCACAAAATAACTCACAAAAAAATTTCTAGTTAAAATAAAAGTTTGGTTTAATTTTTTTACCTTTAGTTTTTCATGTTTTTCTTAATCTTTCGAAAAGTATTCTTGGGTTGCATTGAAATTTAAAAAGTTATTTCACCTGTGGTTGTTTTTTTAAAGCTATGGGGATTTAAAGATTGCTAATATGGCCTAATTAGGACAATTAACGCACGATATATTTCGCGCTATTTATGCGTAGGCGGAGATTTAATCCGTCTTAGAAATTGTTCCAAACTGGTTGAAGCAAGCTAGTTGTCCTAATTGCTACGTTACCAGTTGCGGCAGCATAATCTATCACTTTGTATTTGATACGGCGTGTCGTGGAATGATTTCCGAAAAATCTCATAAAAAAAAAATCGAAAAATTCATAACTTTTTGAAGAAAAAAACTGCTCCATAGACCTTAAAAGTCTGTCGGAACACTCAAGGTTTTGCACTGATACGAGCAGTTTTGTTTGATTTGTGAATAAATTGCATAAATATGATCTGATTTTTACGTTCTGAGGCATATTAAAACAACAAAAGCGCGCTAGAAGACTACTGTCATACTGTTTGTGGTCGTGGTCTTAAATAACTACAATTTTCAAGCTCCATTACAACTTCCGTGTCATTACAAAAATCCAGAATTAAATTAGCGATTATTTGTTTTTTTTAAGAACAAAGGTTGCACATAGCTGTTTGTTGTTCTTCAGTTTTCCGATTCGTCTTTATTTTCCTTTTTCGTCTATCTGTTAGGTGACAACTCAAATAGCATAAAGCTCGATTAGCCTAAAAATTTAAAACATGAAAATGTGTCGACTAGCTTAGTTTTGATAAATATATTTCCCATAAATACAAAACAAGAGTAATCCGTTTAAATTAAATCTTGTATTTCTGAGAAATAGAAATGTGAAATTAAGCAAACAATTTGAAA